AGCATTTTTTTATTTATTGCATTAAAATACGTTTACAAAACAAGAAACCTTATAAATAATGCTGCAGAATGGGCTGCTGCTTCCGCTGTGGCCACCGCCTCTAGTGCTGCTGCCTACAGCGGTAGCTGGTACTTCCGGAGCTGCTTCAGGGACAGCTCCATCGGCCGCTACTGCCGTATCGGTGGCTGCTTGTGGCACTGCTGCTCCTTCCTCGGCGGCTGGTGATCCTTCTTCTGCCACAGGAGCTCCTTCTCCACCTTGGGCTGGCGCAGCCTCTCCGCCTTCCGCTATGCCGTCCGCCGCTTCCATCGTAGGGTCTGCTTCTATGCTGCTTCACGGACAGCTCCATCGGGCGGTACTGCCGTATCGGCGGCTGCTTGTGGCACTGCTGCACCTTCTCTCTCGGCGGCTGGTGATCCTTCTTCTGCCACAGGAGCTCCTTCTCCGCCTTGGGCTGGTGCAGCCTTGCCGCTTTCTGGTGCGCCGCCGGCCGCTTCCATCGTAGGGGCTGCTGCTTCCGCTGCGGCCACCACCTCGGGTGCTGCTGCCATGCTGCTTCATGGACAGCTCCATCGGCCACTACTGCCGCATCGGCGGCTGCTTGTGGAACTGCTGCTCCTTCGCCCTCGGCGGCTGGTGATCCTTCTACTGCCACAGGAGCTCCTTCTCCGCCTTGGGCTGGTGCAGCCTTGCCGCTTTCCGGTACGCCGCCCGCCGCTTCCATCGTAGGGGCTGCTGCTTCCGCTGCGGCCACCACCTCGGGTGCTGCTGCCATGCTGCTTCAGGGACAGCTCCATCGGCTGCTACTGCCGTATCGGGGGTTGCTTATGGAACTGCTGCTCCTTCTCCCTCGGCGGCTGGTGCTCCTCCTCCGTCTGTCACAGGAACTCCATCTCCGCCTTCGGCTGGTGCAGCCTCGACCGTTAGTTGTACCACTGCTGCTCCTGTTCCATCGGCGGCTGGTGCTCCTCCTCCTTCTGTCGCAGGAGCTCCTTCTCCACCTTGGGCTGGTGCAGCCTCTTCGCCTTCCGGTAAGCTGCCCGCCGCTTCCGTCGTTGGGGCTGCTGCTTCCGCTGCGGCCACCGCTTCTGGAGCTGCTGCCTACAGCGGTAGCTGGTACCTCCGGTGCTGCTTCAGGGACAGCTCCATCGACCGCTACTGCCGTATCGGCGGCTGCTTGTGGCACTGCTGCTCCTTCTCCCTCGGCGGCTGGTGATCCTTCTTCTGCCACTGGAGCTCTTTCTCCACCTTGGGCTGGTGAAGCCTTGCCGCTTTCCGGTACGCCGTCCGCCGCTTCCATCGTAGGGGCTGCTGCTTCCGCTGCGGCCACCGCCTCAGGTGCTGCTGCCTACAGCGGAAGCTGGTACCTCCGGTGCTGCTTCAGGGACAGCTCCATCGGCTGCTACTGCCGTATCGGGGGTTGCTTATGGAACTGCTGCTCCTTCTCCCTCGGCGGCTGGTGCTCCTCCTCCGTGTGTCACAGGAACTCCATCTCCGCCTTCGGCTGGTGCAGCCTCGACCGTTAGTTGTACCACTGCTGCTCCTGTTCCATCGGCGGCTGGTGCTCCTCCTCCTTCTGTCGCAGGAGCTCCTTCTCCACCTTGGGCTGGTGCAGCCTCTTCGCCTTCCGGTAAGCTGCCCGCCGCTTCCGTCGTTGGGGCTGCTGCTTCCGCTGCGGCCACCGCTTCTGGAGCTGCTGCCTACAGCGGTAGCTGGTACCTCCGGTGCTGCTTCAGGGACAGCTCCATCGACCGCTACTGCCGTATCGGCGGCTGCTTGTGGCACTGCTGCACCTTCTCTCTCGGCGGCTGGTGATCCTTCTTCTGCCACAGGAGCTCCTTCTCCGCCTTGGGCTGGTGCAGCCTTGCCGCTTTCTGGTGCGCCGCCGGCCGCTTCCATCGTAGGGGCTGCTGCTTCCGCTGCGGCCACCACCTCGGGTGCTGCTGCCATGCTGCTTCATGGACAGCTCCATTGGCCGCTACTGCCGTATCGGCGGCTGCTTGTGGCACTGCTGCTCCTTCCTCGGCAGCTGGTGATCCTTCTTCTGCCACTGGAGCTCCTTCTCCGCCTTGGGCTGGTGCAGCCTTGCCGCTTTCCGGTACGCCGCCCGCCGCTTCCATCGTAGGGGCTGCTGCTTCCGCTGCGGCCACCACCTCGGGTGCTGCTGCCATGCTGCTTCAGGGACAGCTCCATCGGCCGCTTGTGGCACTGCTGCTCCTTCTCCCTCGGCGGCTGGTGATCCTTCTTCTGCCACAGGAGCTCCTTCTCCACCTTGGGCTGGTGAAGCCTCTCCGCCTTACGGTACGCCGCCCGCCGCTTCCATCGTAGGGGCTGCTGCTTCCGCTGCGGCCACCGCCTCAGGTGCTGCTGCCTACAGCGGAAGCTGGTACCTCCGGTGCTGCTTCAGGGACAGCTCCATCGGCCGCTAGTGCCGTATCGGTGGCTGCTTGTGGCACTGCTGCTCCTTCCTCGGCGGCTGGTGATCCTTCTTCTGCCATAGGAGCTCCTTCTCCACCTTGGGCTGGTGAGGCCTTGCCGCTTTCCGGTACGCCGTCCGCCGCTTCCATCGTAGGGGCTGCTGCTTCCGCTGCGGCCACCGCCTCAGGTGGTGCTGCCTACAGCGGAAGCTGGTACCTCCGGTGCTGCTTCAGGGACAGCTCCATCGGCTGCTACTGCCGTATCGGGGGTTGCTTATGGAACTGCTGCTCCTTCTCCCTCGGCGGCTGGTGCTCCTCCTCCTTCTGTCGCAGGAGCTCCTTCTCCACCTTGGGCTGGTGCAGCCTCTTCGCCTTCCGGTAAGCTGCCCGCCGCTTCCGTCGTTGGGGCTGCTGCTTCCGCTGCGGCCACCGCTTCTGGAGCTGCTGCCTACAGCGGTAGCTGCTACCTCCGGTGTTGCTTCAAGGACAGCTCCATTGGCCGCTACTGCCGTATCGGCGGCTGCTTGTGGCACTGCTGCTCCTTCCTCGGCGGCTGGTGATCCTTCTTCTGCCACTGGAGCTCTTTCTTCACCTTGGGCTGGTGAAGCCTTGCCGCTTTCCGGTACGCCGCCCGCCGCTTCCATCGTAGGGGCTGCTGCTTCCGCTGCGGCCACCGCCTCAGGTGCTGCTGCCTATAGCGGAAGCTGGTACCTCCGGTGCTGCTTCAGGGACAGCTCCATCGACCGCTACTGCAGTATCGGCGGCTGCTTGTGGCACTGCTGCTCCTCCCTCGGCGGCTGGTGATCCTTGTTCTGCCACAGGAGCTCCTTCTCCACCTTGGGCAGGTGCAGCCTTGCCGCTTTCCGGTGCGCCGCCCGCAGCTTCCATCGTAGGGGCTGCTGCTTCCGCTGCGGCCACCACCTCAGGTGCTGCGGCCACCACCTCAGGTGCTGCTGCCAAGCTGCTTCAGGGACAGCTCCATCGGCCGCTACTGCCGCATCGGCGGCTGCTTGTGGAACTGCTGCTCCTTCGCCCTCGGCGGCTGGTGATCCTTCTTCTGCCACAGGAGCTCCTTCTCCGCCTTGGGCTGGTGCAGCCTTGCCGCTTTCCGGTGCGCCGCCCGCAGCTTCCATCGTAGGGGCTGCTGCTTCCGCTGCGGCCACCGCCTCAGGTGCTGCTGCCTACAGCGGAAGCTGGTACCTCCGGTGCTGCTTCAGGGACAGCTCCATCGACTGCTACTGCCGTATCGGTGGCTGCTTGTGGCACTGCTCCTTCTCCCTCGGCGGCTGGTGATCCTTCTTCTGCCACAGGAGCTCCTGCTCCACCTTGGGCTGGTGCAGCCTTGCCGCTTTGCGGTACGCCGCCCGCCGCTTCCATCGTAGGGGCTGCTGCTTCCGCTGCGGCCACCGCCTCAGGTGCTGCTGCCTACAGCGGAAGCTGGTACCTCCGGTGCTGCTTCAGGGACAGCTCCATCGACTGCTACTGCCGTATCGGTGGCTGCTTGTGGCACTGCTCCTTCTCCCTCGGCGGCTGGTGATCCTTCTTCTGCCACAGGAGCTCCTGCTCCACCTTGGGCTGGTGCAGCCTTGCCGCTTTGCGGTACACCGCCCGCCGCTTCCATCGTAGGGGCTGCTGCTTCCGCTGCGGCCACCACCTCGGGTGCTGCTGCCATGCTGCTTCAGGGACAGCTCCATCGGCCGCTACTGCCGCATCGGCGGCTGCTTGTGGAACTGCTGCTCCTTCGCCCTCGGCGGCTGGTGATCCTTCTGCCACAGGAGCTCCTTCTCCACCTTGGGCTGGTGCAGCCTCTTCGCCTTCCGGTAAGCTGCCCGCCGCTTCCGTCGTTGGGCTGCTGCTTCCGCTGCGGCCACCGCCTCAGGTGCTGCTGCCTACAGCGGAAGCTGGTACCTCCGGTGCTGCTTCAGGGACAGCTCCATCGACTGCTACTGCCGTATCGGTGGCTGCTTGTGGCACTGCTCCTTCTCCCTCGGCGGCTGGTGATCCTTCTTCTGCCACAGGAGCTCCTTCTCCACCTTGGGCTGGCGCAGCCTCGACCGTTGGTTGTGCCACTGCAGCTCCTGTTCCCTCGGCGGCTGGTGTTCCTTCTCCTTCTGCAGCAAGAGCCCCTTCTCCGCCTTCGGCTGGTGCAGCCTTCCCGCCTTCCGGTACGCCGCCCGCCGCTTCCGTCGTAGGGGCTGTTGCGTCCGCTGCGGCCACCGCCTCAGGTGCTGCTGCATACAGCGGAAGCTGGTACCTCCGGTGCTGCTTCAGGGACAGCTCCATCCACCGCTACTGCCGTATCGGCGGCTGCTTGTGGAACTGCTGCTCCTTCGCCCTCGGCGGCTGGTGATCCTTCTTCTGCCACAGGAGCTCCTTCTCCACCTTGGGCAGGTGCAGCCTTGCCGCTTTCCGGTACGCCGCCCGCCGCTTTCGTCGTAGGGGCTGCTGCTTCCGCTGCGGCCACCGCCTCAGGTGCTGCTGCATACAGCGGAAGCTGGTACCTCCGGTGCTGCTTCAGGGACAGCTCCATCGACCGCTACTGCCGTATCGGCGGCTGCTTGTGGAACTGCTGCTCCTTCGCCCTCGGCGGCTGGTGATCCTTCTTCTGCCACAGGAGCTCCTTCTCCACCTTGGGCAGGTGCAGCCTTGCCGCTTTCCGGTACGCCGCCCGCCGCTTTCGTCGTAGGGGCTGCTGCTTCCGCTGCTGCCTACAGCGGAAGCTGGTACCTCCGTGCTTCTTGAGGGACAGCTCCATCGGCCGTTACTGCCGTATCGGCTCGACTCCAACTCCATGTTGTTATACAACTCGCTCTCGCCAAGCTCGCTCCAGACGGTGACCTGGAGCTTGGCATCCGGCATCCGGCAGTTGAAGCTGTTTTATAGATTCGTGGGCTGCGGCACGTTCTTCTTTGGCAGCTTCACCTTGGGTGGCACAGGACCTGCAGGCAAAGGATAGAAATTAGTTTATGTGACGCTCCTTGATTTGCCTTATCTCTGTTCTCACTCATTGCTGGAGTCATGCACGGTGGCCGGAGCGGTGCACCCGGACAGGGCGGCGGTGGTGGTGGCTTCATGGCCGAAGCCATCGCTGGCGTTAAGGCACAGCTCCATTGCAGACACGGCAGACCGGCCATCTTCTGGACATCGGATATGCTGCCCTCGGTGACAAGATGCTCGAAACGGGCCAGCTCCTGCTGTACACGAAGCGATGATAAAGAGCTACAATTACGTTGTAAAAAATGACAGTCACTCACAGATAATAGTGATAAAGTGGCTGCTCACTTTGAAAAAATGTACTAAATAATAACACTCACTTTTCGAAGGACATGTAATGAACCTTAGCTGGTCACACTTACTAATAAAGTAGTTAGAAAACGAGCTGGTCACACTACAAAAAATAGTAAGTCGATAACTTACGATGACGATAAATTTCTGATGGCGGTTGTTTGTGGCACTGCTGCTCCTCCCTCAGCGGCTGGTGATCCTTATCCTTCTGCCACTGGAGCTCCTTCTCCGCCTTCGGCTGGTGCAGCCTCTCCGCCTTCCGGTAAGCTGCCCGAAGCTCGTCGTTGGGGCTGCTGCTTCCGCTGCGGCCACCGCTTCTGGAGCTGCTGCCTACAGCGGTAGCTGGTACCTCCGGTGTTGCTTCAAGGACAGCTCCATTGGCCGCTACTGCCGTATCGGCGGCTGCTTGTGGCACTGCTGCTCCTTCCTCGGCGGCTGGTGATCCTTCTTCTGCCACAGGAGCTCCTTCTCCACCTTGGGCAGGTGCAGCCTTGCCGCTTTCCGGTACGCCGCCCGCCGCTTCCATCGTAGGGGCTGCTGCTTGCGCTGCGGCCACCGCTTCTGGAGCTGCTGCCTACAGCGGAAGCTGGTACCTCCGGTGCTGCTTCAGGGACAGCTCCATCGACCGCTACTGCCGTATCGGCGGCTGCTTGTGGAACTGCTGCTCCTTCGCCCTCGGCGGCTGGTGATCCTTCTTCTGCCACAGGAGCTCCTTCTCCACCTTGGGCAGGTGCAGCCTTGCCGCTTTCCGGTACGCCGCCCGCCGCTTTCGTCGTAGGGGCTGCTGCTACCGCTGCGGCCACCGCCTCAGGTGCTGCTGCCTACAGCGGAAGCTGGTACCTCCGGTGCTGCTTCAGGGACAGCTGCTGGTCCTCCCTCGGCGGCTGGTGCTCCTCCGCCTTCTGTCGCAGGAGCTGCCTACAGCGGCAGCTGGTACCTCCGGTGCTGCTTCTGGGACAGCCGGCTGGTGCAGCCTCTTCGCCTTCCGGTAAGCTGCCCGCCGCTTCCGTCGTTGGGGCTGCTGCTTCCGCTGCGGCCACCACCTCAGGTGCTGCTGCCTACAGCGGAAGCTGGTACCTCCGGTGCTGCTTCAGGGACAGCTCCATCGACTGCTACTGCCGTATCGGCGGCTGCTTGTGGCACTGCTGCTCCTTCGCCCTCGGCGGCTGGTGATCCTTCTTCTGCCACAGCAGCTCCTTCTCCGCCTTGGGCTGGTGCAGCCTTGCCGCTTTCCGGTGCACCGCCCGCAGCTTCCATCGTAGGGGCTGCTGCTTCCGCTGCGGCCACCACCTCAGGTGCTGCTGCCTACAGCGGAAGCTGGTACCTCCGGTGCTGCTTCAGGGACAGCTCCATCGACTGCTACTGCCGTATCGGCGGCTGCTTGTGGCACTGCTGCTCCTTCTCCCTCGGCGGCTGGTGATCCTTCTTCTGTCACAGGAGCTCCTTCTCCACCTTGGGCTGGTGCAGCCTTGCCGCTTTGCGGTACGCCGCCCGCCGCTTCCATCGTAGGGGCTGCTGCTTCCGCTGCGGCCACCACCTCAGGTGCCGCTGCCTACAGCGGAAGCTGGTACCTCCGGTGCTGCTTCAGGGACAGCTCCATCGACTGCTACTGCCGTATCGGCGGCTGCTTGTGGCACTGCTGCTCCTTCTCCCTCGGCGGCTGGTGATCCTTCTTCTGTCACAGGAGCTCCTTCTCCACCTTGGGCTGGTGCAGCCTTGCCGCTTTCCGGTACGCCGTCCGCCGCTTCCATCGTAGGGGCTGCTGCTTGCGCTGCGGCCACCGCTTCTGGAGCTGCTGCCTACAGCGGAAGCTGGTACCTCCGGTGCTGCTTCAGGGACAGCTCCATCGACCGCTACTGCCGTATCGGCGGCTGCTTGTGGAACTGCTGCTCCTTCGCCCTCGGCGGCTGGTGATCCTTCTTCTGCCACAGGAGCTCCTTCTCCACCTTGGGCAGGTGCAGCCTTGCCGCTTTCCGGTACGCCGCCCGCCGCTTTCGTCGTAGGGGCTGCTGCTACCGCTGCGGCCACCGCCTCAGGTGCTGCTGCCTACAGCGGAAGCTGGTACCTCCGGTGCTGCTTCAGGGACAGCTGCTGGTCCTCCCTCGGCGGCTGGTGCTCCTCCGCCTTCTGTCGCAGGAGCTGCCTACAGCGGCAGCTGGTACCTCCGGTGCTGCTTCTGGGACAGCCGGCTGGTGCAGCCTCTTCGCCTTCCGGTAAGCTGCCCGCCGCTTCCGTCGTTGGGGCTGCTGCTTCCGCTGCGGCCACCACCTCAGGTGCTGCTGCCTACAGCGGAAGCTGGTACCTCCGGTGCTGCTTCAGGGACAGCTCCATCGACTGCTACTGCCGTATCGGCGGCTGCTTGTGGCACTGCTGCTCCTTCGCCCTCGGCGGCTGGTGATCCTTCTGCCACAGGAGCTCCTTCTCCACCTTGGGCTGGTGCAGCCTCTTCGCCTTCCGGTAAGCTGCCCGCCGCTTCCGTCGTTGGGGCTGCTGCTTCCGCTGCGGCCACCGCCTCAGGTGCTGCTGCCTACAGCGGAAGCTGGTACCTCCGGTGCTGCTTCAGGGACAGCTCCATCGGCTGCTACTGCCGTATCGGGGGTTGCTTATGGAACTGCTGCTCCTTCGCCCTCGGCGGCTGGTGATCCTTCTTCTGCCACAGCAGCTCCTTCTCCGCCTTGGGCTGGTGCAGCCTTGCCGCTTTCCGGTGCACCGCCCGCAGCTTCCATCGTAGGGGCTGCTGCTTCCGCTGCGGCCACCACCTCAGGTGCCGCTGCCTACAGCGGAAGCTGGTACCTCCGGTGCTGCTTCAGGGACAGCTCCATCGACTGCTACTGCCGTATCGGCGGCTGCTTGTGGCAGTGCTGCTCCTTCTCCCTCGGCGGCTGGTGATCCTTCTTCTGTCACAGGAGCTCCTTCTCCACCTTGGGCTGGTGCAGCCTTGCCGCTTTCCGGTACGCCGTCCGCCGCTTCCATCGTAGGGGCTGCTGCTTCCGCTGCGGCCACCGCCTCAGGTGCTGCTGCCTACAGCGGAAGCTGGTACCTCCGGTGCTGCTTCAGGGACAGCTCCATCGGCTGCTACTGCCGTATCGGGGGTTGCTTATGGAACTGCTGCTCCTTCTCCCTCGGCGGCTGGTGCTCCTCCTCCGTCTGTCACAGGAACTCCATCTCCGCCTTCGGCTGGTGCAGCCTCGACCGTTAGTTGTACCACTGCTGCTCCTGTTCCATCGGCGGCTGGTGCTCCTCCTCCTTCTGTCGCAGGAGCTCCTTCTCCACCTTGGGCTGGTGCAGCCTCTTCGCCTTCCGGTAAGCTGCCCGCCGCTTCCGTCGTTGGGGCTGCTGCTTCCGCTGCGGCCACCGCTTCTGGAGCTGCTGCCTACAGCGGTAGCTGGTACCTCCGGTGTTGCTTCAAGGACAGCTCCATTGGCCGCTACTGCCGTATCGGCGGCTGCTTGTGGCACTGCTGCTCCTTCCTCGGCGGCTGGTGATCCTTCTTCTGCCACTGGAGCTCTTTCTCCACCTTGGGCTGGTGAAGCCTTGCCGCTTTCCGGTACGCCGTCCGCCGCTTCCATCATAGGGGCTGCTGCTTCCGCTGCGGCCACCGCCTCAGGTGCTGCTGCCTACAGCGGAAGCTGGTACCTCCGGTGCTGCTTCAGGGACAGCTCCATCGACTGCTACTGCCGTATCGGCGGCTGCTTGTGGCACTGCTGCTCCTTCTCCCTCGGCGGCTGGTGATCCTTCTTCTGTCACAGGAGCTCCTTCTCCACCTTGGGCTGGTGCAGCCTTGCCGCTTTGCGGTACGCCGCCCGCCGCTTCCATCGTAGGGGCTGCTGCTTCCGCTGCGGCTGCTTGTGGCACTGCTGCTCCTTCTCCCTCGGCGGCTGGTGATCCTTCTTCTGCCACAGGAGCTCCTTCTCCGTCTTCGTCTGGTGCAGCCCCTCCGCCTTCCGGTACGGCGCCCGCCGCTTTCGTCGTAGGGGCTGCTGCTTCCGCTGCGGCCACCGCCTCTGGTGCTGCTGCCTAGAGCGGTAGCTGGTACCTCCGTGCTTCTTGAGGGACAGCTCCATCGGCCGGTGCACCGCCCGCAGCTTCCATCGTAGGGGCTGCTGCTTCCGCTGCGGCCACCACCTCAGGTGCCGCTGCCTACAGCGGAAGCTGGTACCTCCGGTGCTGCTTCAGGGACAGCTCCATCGACTGCTACTGCCGTATCGGCGGCTGCTTGTGGCACTGCTGCTCCTTCTCCCTCGGCGGCTGGTGATCCTTCTTCTGTCACAGGAGCTCCTTCTCCACCTTGGGCTGGTGCAGCCTTGCCGCTTTGCGGTACGCCGCCCGCCGCTTCCATCGTAGGGGCTGCTGCTTCCGCTGCGGCCACCACCTCGGGTGCTGCTGTTAAGCTGCTTCAGGGACAGCTCCATCGGCCGCTACTGCCGCATCGGCGGCTGCTTGGGCTAGTGAAGCCTTGCCGCTTTCCGGTACGCCGCCCGCCGCTTCCATCGTAGGGGCTGCTGCTTCCAATGCGGCCACCGCCTCAGGTGCTGCTGCCTACAGCGGAAGCTGGTACCTCCGGTGCTGCTTCAAGGACAACTGCTGGTCCTCCCTCGGCGGCTGGTGCTCCTCCTCCTTCTGTCGCAGGAGCTCCTTCTCCACCTTGGGCTGGTGCAGCCTCTTCGCCTTCCGGTAAGCTGCCCGCCGCTTCCATCGTTGGGGCTGCTGCTTCCGCTGCGGCCACCGCCACAGGTGATGCTGCCTACAGCGGAAGCTGGTACCTCCGGTGCTGCTTCAGGGACAGCTCCATCGGCCGCTACTGCCGTATCGGTGGCTGCTTGTGGCACTGCTGCTCCTTCCTCGGCGGCTGGTGATCCTTCTTCTGCCACAGGAGCTCCGTTTCCACCTTGGGCTGGTGCAGCCTTGCCGCTTTCCGGTACGCCGCCCGCCGCTTTCGTCGTAGGGGCTGCTGCTTCCGCTGCGGCTACCGCCTCTGGTGCTGCTGCCTAGAGCGGTTGCTGGTACCTCCGTGCTTCTTGAGGGACAGCTCCATCGGCCGTTACTGCCGTATCGGCTCGACTCCAACTCCATGTTATACAACTCGCTCTCGCCAAGCTCGCTCCAGACGGTGACCTGGAGCTTGGCATCCGGCAGCTTGGACCAGTTGAAGCTGTTTTATAGATTCGTGGGCTGCGGCACGTTCTTCTTTGGCAGCTTCACCTTGGGTGGCACAGGACCTGCAGGCAAAGGATAGAAATTAGTTTATGTGACGCTCCTTGACTTGCCTTATCTCTGTTCTCACTCATTGCTGGAGTCATGCACGGTGGCCGGAGCGGTGCACCCGGACAGGGCGGCGGTGGTGGTGGCTTCATGGCCGAAGCCATCGCTGGCGTTAAGGCACAGCTCCATTGCAGACACGGCAGACCGGCCATCTTCTGGACATCGGATATGCTGCCCTCGGTGACAAGATACTCGAAACGGGCCAGCTCCTGCTGTACACGAAGCGATGATAAAGAGCTACAAATACGTTATAAAAAATGACAGTCACTCACAGATAATAGTGATAAAGTGGCTGCTCACTTTGGAAAAATGTACTAAATAATGACACTCACTTTTCGAAGGACATGTAATGAACCTTAGCTGGTCACACTTACTAATAAAGTAGTTAGAAAACGAGCTGGTCACACTACAAAAAATAGTAAGTCGATAACTTACGATGACGATAAATTTCTGCTGGCGGTTGTTTGTGGCACTGCTGCTCCTCCCTCAGCGGCTGGTGATCCTTATCCTTCTGCCACTGGAGCTCCTTCTCCGCCTTCTGCTGGTGCAGCCTCTCCGCCTTCCGGTAAGCTGCCCGAAGCTCGTCGTTGGGGCTGCTGCTTCCGCTGCGGCCACCGCTTCTGGAGCTGCTGCCTACAGCGGTAGCTGGTACCTCCGGTGTTGCTTCAAGGACAGCTCCATTGGCCGCTACTGCCGTATCGGCGGCTGCTTGTGGCACTGCTGCTCCTTCCTCGGCGGCTGGTGATCCTTCTTCTGCCACAGGAGCTCCTTCTCCACCTTGGGCTGGTGAAGCATTGCCGCTTTCCGGTGCGCCGCCCGCAGCTTCCATCGTAGGGGCTGCTGCTTCCGCTGCGGCCACCACCTCAGGTGCAGCTGCCTACAGCGGAAGCTGATACCTCCGGTGCTGCTTCAGGGATAGCTCCATCGGCCGCTAGTGCCGTATCGGTGGCTGCTTGTGGCACTGCTGCTCCTTCCTCGGCGGCTGGTGATCCTTCTTCTGCCACAGGAGCTCCTTCTCCACCTTGGGCTGGTGAAGCATTGCCGCTTTCCGGTACGCCGCCCGCCGCTTCCATCGTAGGGGCTGCTGCTTCCGCTGCGGCCACCGCCTCAGGTGCTGCTGCCAAGCTGCTTCAGGGACAGCTCCATCGGCCGCTACTGCCGCATCGGGGGTTGCTTATGGAACTGCTGCTCCTGTTCCCTCGGCGGCTGGTGCTCCTCCTCCTTCTGTCGCCGCCCGCCGCTTCCATCGTAGGGGCTGCTGCTTCCGCTGCGGCCACCACCTCGGGTGCTGCTGCCAAGCTGCTTCAGGGACAGCTCCATCGGCCGCTACTGCCGCATCGGCGGCTGCTTAGGCTGGTGAAGCCTTGCCGCTTTCCGGTACGCCGCCCGCCGCTTCCATCGTAGGGGCTGCTGCTTCCGCTGCGGCCACCGCCTCAGGTGCTGCTGCCTACAGCGGAAGCTGGTACCTCCGGTGCTGCTTCAAGGACAACTGCTGGTCCTCCCTCGGCGGCTGGTGCTCCTCCTCCTTCTGTCGCAGGAGTTGCCTACAGCGGTAGCTGGTACCTCCGGTGCTGCTTCTGGACAGCCGGCTGGTGCAGCCTCTTCGCCTTCCGGTAAGCTGCCCGCCGCTTCCGTCGTTGGGGCTGCTGCTTCCGCTGCGGCCACCGCCTCAGGTGCTGCTGCCTACAGCGGAAGCTGGTACCTCCGGTGCTGCTTCAGGGACAGCTCCATCGGCTGCTACTGCCGTATCGGCGGCATCTTGTGGAACTGCTGCTCCTTCTCCCTCGGCGGCTGGTGATCCTTCTTCTGCCACAGGAGCTCCTTCTCCGCCTTGGGCTGGTGCAACCTTGCCGCTTTCCGGTACGCCGCCCGCCGCTTCCATCGTAGGGGCTGCTGCTTCCGCTGCGGCCACCGCCTCACGTGCTGCTGCCAAGCTGCTTCAGGGACAGCTCAATCGGCCGCTACTGCCGCATCGGCGGCTGCTTGGGCTAGTGAAGCCTTGCCGCTTTCCGGTACGCCGCCCGCCGCTTCCATCGTAGGGGCTGCTGCTTCCGCTGCGGCCACCGCCTCAGGTGCTGCTGCCTACAGCGGAAGCTGGTACCTGCGGGACTGCTTCAGGGACAGCTCCATCGGCCGCTACTGCCGTATCGGTGGCTGCTTGTGGCACTGCTGCTCCTTCCTCGGCGGCTGGTGATCCTTCTTCTGCCACAGGAGCTCCTTCTCCACCTTGGGCAGGTGCAGCCTTGCCGCTTTCCGGTACGCCGCCCGCCGCTTCCATCGTAGGGGCTGCTGCTTGCGCTGCGGCCACCGCTTCTGGAGCTGCTGCCTACAGCGGAAGCTGGTACCTCCGGTGCTGCTTCAGGGACAGCTCCATCGACCGCTACTGCCGTATCGGCGGCTGCTTGTGGAACTGCTGCTCCTTCCTCGGCGGCTGGTGATCCTTCTTCTGCCACAGGAGCTCCTTCTCCACCTTGGGCAGGTGCAGCCTTGCCGCTTTCCGGTACGCCGCCCGCCGCTTTCGTCGTAGGGGCTGCTGCTACCGCTGCGGCCACCGCCTCAGGTGCTGCTGCCTACAGCGGAAGCTGGTACCTCCGGTGCTGCTTCAAGGACAACTGCTGGTCCTCCCTCGGCGGCTGGTGCTCCTCCTCCTTCTGTCGCAGGAGTTGCCTACAGCGGTAGCTGGTACCTCCGGTGCTGCTTCTGGACAGCCGGCTGGTGCAGCCTCTTCGCCTTCCGGTAAGCTGCCCGCCGCTTCCATCGTAGGGGCTGCTGCTTCCGCTGCGGCCACCGCCTCAGGTGCTGCTGCCTACAGCGGAAGCTGGTACCTGCGGGACTGCTTCAGGGACAGCTCCATCGGCCGCTACTGCCGTATCGGTGGCTGCTTGTGGCACTGCTGCTCCTTCCTCGGCGGCTGGTGATCCTTCTTCTGCCACAGGAGCTCCTTCTCCACCTTGGGCAGGTGCAGCCTTGCCGCTTTCCGGTACGCCGCCCGCCGCTTCCATCGTAGGGGCTGCTGCTTGCGCTGCGGCCACCGCTTCTGGAGCTGCTGCCTACAGCGGAAGCTGGTACCTGCGGGACTGCTTCAGGGACAGCTCCATCGGCCGCTACTGCCGTATCGGTGGCTGCTTGTGGCACTGCTGCTCCTTCCTCGGCGGCTGGTGATCCTTCTTCTGCCACAGGAGCTCCTTCTCCACCTTGGGCAGGTGCAGCCTTGCCGCTTTCCGGTACGCCGCCCGCCGCTTTCGTCGTAGGGGCTGCTGCTACCGCTGCGGCCACCGCCTCAGGTGCTGCTGCCTACAGCGGAAGCTGGTACCTCCGGTGCTGCTTCAAGGACAACTGCTGGTCCTCCCTCGGCGGCTGGTGCTCCTCCTCCTTCTGTCGCAGGAGTTGCCTACAGCGGTAGCTGGTACCTCCGGTGCTGCTTCTGGACAGCCGGCTGGTGCAGCCTCTTCGCCTTCCGGTAAGCTGCCCGCCGCTTCCGTCGTTGGGGCTGCTGCTTCCGCTGCGGCCACCGCCTCAGGTGTTGCTGCCTACAGCGGAAGCTGGTACCTCCGGTGCTGCTTCAGGGACAGCTCCATCGGCCGCTAGTGCCGTATCGGTGGCTGCTTGTGGCACTGCTGCTCCTTCCTCGGCGGCTGGTGATCCTTCTTCTGCCACAGGAGCTCCTTCTCCACCTTGGGCTGGTGAAGCATTGCCGCTTTCCGGTGCGCCGCCCGCAGCTTCCATCGTAGGGGCTGCTGCTTCCGCTGCGGCCACCACCTCAGGTGCAGCTGCCTACAGCGGAAGCTGATACCTCCGGTGCTGCTTCAGGGATAGCTCCATCGGCCGCTAGTGCCGTATCGGTGGCTGCTTGTGGCACTGCTGCTCCTTCCTCGGCGGCTGGTGATCCTTCTTCTGCCACAGGAGCTCCTTCTCCACCTTGGGCTGGTGAAGCATTGCCGCTTTCCGGTACGCCGCCCGCCGCTTCCATCGTAGGGGCTGCTGCTTCCGCTGCGGCCACCACCTTAGGTGCTGCTGCCTACAGCGGAAGCTGATACCTCCGGTGCTGCTTCAGGGACAGCTCCATCGGCCGCTACTGCCGTATCGGCGGCTGCTTGTGGAACTGCTGCTCCTTCGCCCTCGGCGGCTGGTGATCCTTCTGCCACAGGAGCTCCTTCTCCACCTTGGGCTGGTGCAGCCTTGCCGCTTTGCGGTACGCCGCCCGCCGCTTCCATCGTAGGGGCTGCTGCTTCCGCTGCGGCCACCACCTCAGGTGCTGCTGCCAAGCTGCTTCAGGGACAGCTCCATCGGCCGCTACTGCCGCATCGGCGGCTGCTTGTGGAACTGCTGCTCCTTCGCCCTCGGCGGCTGGTGATCCTTCTTCTGCCACAGGAGCTCCTTCTCCACCTTGGGCTGGTGCAGCCTTGCCGCTTTGCGGTACGCCGCCCGCCGCTTCCATCGTAGGGGCTGCTGCTTCCGCTGCGGCCACCACCTCGGGTGCTGCTGCCAAGCTGCTTCATGGACAGCTCCATCGGCCGCTACTGCCGCATCGGCGGCTGCTTGGGCTAGTGAAGCCTTGCCGCTTTCCGGTACGCCGCCCGCCGCTTCCATCGTAGGGGCTGCTGCTTCCGCTGCGGCCACCGCCTCAGGTGCTGCTGCCTACAGCGGAAGCTGGTACCTCCGGTGCTGCTTCAAGGACAACTGCTGGTCCTCCCTCGGCGGCTGGTGCTCCTCCTCCTTCTGTCGCAGGAGTTGCCTACAGCGGTAGCTGGTACCTCCGGTGCTGCTTCTGGACAGCCGGCTGGTGCAGCCTCTTCGCCTTCCGGTAAGCTGCACGCCGCTTCCGTCGTTGGGGCTGCTGCTTCCGCTGCGGCCACCGCCTCAGGTGCCGCTGCCTACAGCGGAAGCTGGTACCTCCGGTGCTGCTTCAGGGACAGCTCCATCGACCGCTACTGCCGTATCGGCGGCTTCTTGTGGCACTGCTGCTCCTTCTCCCTCGGCGGCTGGTGATCCTTCTTCTGCCACAGGAGCTCCTTCTCCGTCTTCGTCTGGTGCAGCCTCTCCGCCTTCCGGTACGCCGCCCGCCGTTTCCATCGTAGGGGCTGTTGCTTCCGCTGCGGCCACCGCCTCAGGTGCTGGAGCCTACAGCGGAAGCTGGTACCTGCGGGACTGCTTCAGGGACAGCTCCATCTGCCGCTACTGCCGCATCGGCGGCATCTTGTGGAACTGCTGCTCCTTCTCCCTCGGCGGCTGGTGATCCTTCTTCTGCCACAGGAGCTCCTTCTCCACCTTGGTCTGGTGAAGCATTGCCGCCTTCCGGTAAGCTGCCCGCCGCTTCCGTCGTTGGGGCTGCTGCTTCCGCTGCGGCCACCGCCTCAGGTGCCGCTGCCTACAGCGGAAGCTGGTACCTCCGGTGCTGCTTCAGGGACAGCTCCATCGACCGCTACTGCCGTATCGGCGGCTTCTTGTGGCACTGCTGCTCCTTCTCCCTCGGCGGCTGGTGATCCTTCTTCTGCCACAGGAGCTCCTTCTCCGTCTTCGTCTGGTGCAGCCTCTCCGCCTTCCGGTACGCCGCCCGCCGTTTCCATCGTAGGGGCTGTTGCTTCCAATGCGGCCACCGCCTCAGGTGCTGGAGCCTACAGCGGAAGCTGGTACCTGCGGGACTGCTTCAGGGACAGCTCCATCTGCCGCTACTGCCGCATCGGCGGCATCTTGTGGCACTGCTGCTCCTTCTCCCTCGGCGGCTGGTGATCCTTCTTCTGCCACAGGAGCTCCTTCTCCGTCTTCGTCTGGTGCAGCCTCTCCGCCTTCCGGTACGCCGCCCGCCGTTTCCATCGTAGGGGCTGTTGCTTCCAATGCGGCCACCGCCTCAGGTGCTGCTGCCTACAGCGGAAGCTGGTACCTCCGGTGCTGCTTCAGGGACAGGTCCATCGGCCGCTACTGCCGCATCGGCGGCATCTTGTGGAACCGCTGCTCCTTCTCCCTCGGCGGCTGGTGATCCTTCTTCTGCCACAGGAGCTCCTTCTCCGCCTTGGGCTGGTGCAGCCTTGCCGCTTTCCGGTGCGCCGCCCGCAGCTTCCATCGTAGGGGCTGCTGCTTCCGCTGCGGCCACCACCTCAGGTGCTGCTGCCTACAGCGGAAGCTGATACCTCCGGTGCTGCTTCAGGGACAGCTCCATCGGCCGCTAGTGCCGTATCGGTGGCTGCTTGTGGCACTGCTGCTCCTTCCTCGGCGGCTGGTGATCCTTCTTCTGCCACAGGAGCTCCTTCTCCACCTTGGGCTGGTGCAGCCTTGCCGCTTTCCGGTACGCCGCCCGCCGCTTTCGTCGTAGGGGCTGCTGCTTCCGCTGCGGCCACCGCCTCAGGTGCTGCTGCCTACAGCGGAAGCTGGTACCTCCGGTGCTGCTTCAAGGACAACTGCTGGTCCTCCCTCGGCGGCTGGTGCTCCTCCTCCTTCTGTCGCAGGAGTTGCCTACAGCGGTAGCTGGTACCTCCGGTGCTGCTTCTGGACAGCCGGCTGGTGCAGCCTCTTCGCCTTCCGGTAAGCTGCCCGCCGCTTCCGTCGTTGGGGCTGCTGCTTCCGCTGCGGCCACCGTCTCAGGTGCTGCTGCCTACAGCGGAAGCTGGTACCTCCGGTGCTGCTTCAGGGACAGCTCCATCGGCCGCTAGTGCCGTATCGGTGGCTGCTTGTGGCACTGCTGCTCCTTCCTCGGCGGCTGGTGATCCTTCTTCTGCCACAGGAGCTCCTTCTCCACCTTGGGCTGGTGAAGCATTGCCGCTTTCCGGTACGCCGCCCGCCGCTTCCATCGTAGGGGCTGCTGCTTCCGCTGCGGCCACCGCCTCAGGTGCTGCTGCCTACAGCGGAAGCTGGTACCTCCGGTGCTGCTTCAAGGACAACTGCTGGTCCTCCCTCGGCGGCTGGTGCTCCTCCTCCTTCTGTCGCAGGAGTTGCCTACAGCGGTAGCTGGTACCTCCGGTGCTGCTTCTGGACAGCCGGCTGGTGCAGCCTCTTCGCCTTCCGGTAAGCTGCCCGCCGCTTCCGTCGTTGGGGCTGCTGCTTCCGCTGCGGCCACCGCCTCAGGTGTTGCTGCCTACAGCGGAAGCTGGTACCTGCGGGACTGCTTCAGGGACAGCTCCATCTGCCGCTACTGCCGCATCGGCGGCATCTTGTGGAACTGCTGCTCCTTCTCCCTCGGCGGCTGGTGATCCTTCTTCTGCCACAGGAGCTCCTTCTCCGCCTTGGGCTGGTGCAGCCTTGCCGCTTTCCGGTACGCCGCCCGCCGCTTTCGTCGTAGGGGCTGCTGCTTCCGCTGCGGCCACCGCCTCAGGTGCTGCTGCCTACAGCGGAAGCTGGTACCTCCGGTGCTGCTTCAAGGACAACTGCTGGTCCTCCCTCGGCGGCTGGTGCTCCTCCTCCTTCTGTCGCAGGAGTTGCCTACAGCGGTAGCTGGTACCTCCGGTGCTGCTTCTGGACAGCCGGCTGGTGCAGCCTCTTCGCCTTCCGGTAAGCTGCCCGCCGCTTCCGTCGTTGGGGCTGCTGCTTCCGCTGCGGCCACCGCCTCAGGTGTTGCTGCCTACAGCGGAAGCTGGTACCTCCGGTGCTGCTTCAGGGACAGCTCCATCGACCGCTACTGCCGTATCGGCGGCTTCTTGTGGCACTGCTGCTCCTTCTCCCTCGGCGGCTGGTGATCCTTCTTCTGCCACAGGAGCTCCGTCTTCGTCTGGTGCAGCCTCTCCGCCTTCCGGTACGCCGCCCGCCGTTTCCATCGTAGGGGCTGTTGCTTCCGCTGCGGCCACCGCCTCAGGTGCTGCTGCCTACAGCGGAAGCTGATACCTTCGGTGCTGCTTCAGGGCCAGCTCCATCGGCCACTACTGCCGCATCGGCGGCATCTTGTGGAACTGCTGCTCCTTCTCCCTCGGCGGCTGGTGATCCTTCTTCTGCCACAGGAGCTCCTTCTCCACCTTGGGCTGGTGAAGCATTGCCGCCTTCCGGTAAGCTGCCCGCCGCTTCCGTCGTTGGGGCTGCTGCTTCCGCTGCGGCCACCGCCTCAGGTGCTGCTGCCTACAGCGGAAGCTGGTACCTCCGGTGCTGCTTCAGGGACAGGTCCATCGGCCGCTACTGCCGCATCGGCGGCATCTTGTGGAACTGCTGCTCCTTCTCCCTCGGCGGCTGGTGATCCTTCTTCTGCCACAGGAGCTCCTTCTCCGCCTTGGGCTGGTGCAGCCTTGCCGCTTTCCGGTGCGCCGCCCGCAGCTTCCATCGTAGGGGCTGCTGCTTCCGCTGCGGCCACCACCTCAGGATCTGCTGCCTACAGCGGAAGCTGATACCTCCGGTGCTGCTTCAGGGACAGCTCCATCGGCCGCTAGTGCCGTATCGGTGGCTGCTTGTGGCACTGCTGCTCCTTCCTCGGCGGCTGGTGATCCTTCTTCTGCCACAGGAGCTCCTTCTCCACCTTGGGCTGGTGAAGCATTGCCGCTTTCCGGTACGCCGCCCGCCGCTTCCATCGTAGGGGCTGCTGCTTCCGCTGCGGCCACCACCTCAGGTGCTGCTGGCTACAGCTGAAGCTGATACCTCCGGTGCTGCTTCAGGGACAGCTCCATCGGCCGCTACTGCCGTATCGGCGGCTGCTTGTGGCACTGCTGCTCCTTCTTCCTCGGCGGCTGGTGATCCTTCTTCTGCCACAGGAGCTCCTTCTCCACCTTGGGCTGGTGCAGCCTTGCCGCTTTGCGGTACGCCGCCCGCCGCTTCCATCGTAGGGGCTGCTGCTTCCGCTGCGGCTCCTCGGGTGCTGCTGCCATGCTGCATCAGGGACAGCTCCATCGGCCACTACTGCCGCATCGGCGGCTGCTTGTGGAACTGCTGCTCCTGCTCCCTCGGCGGCTGGTGATCCTTCTTCTGCCACAGGAGCTCCTTCTCCGCCTTGGGCTGGTGCAGCCTTGCCGCTTTCCGGTACGCCGCCCGCCGCTTCCATCGTAGGGGCTGCTGCTTCCGCTGCGGCCACCGCCTCAGGTGCTGCTGCCTACAGCGGAAGCTGATACCTTCGGTGCTGCTTCAGGGCCAGGTTCATCGGCCGCTACTGCCGCATCGGCGGCATCTTGTGGAACTGCTGCTCCTTCCCCCCGGCGGCTGGTGATCCTTCTTCTGCCACAGGAGCTCCTTCTCCGTCTTCGTCTGGTGCAGCCTTTCCGCTTTCCGGTACGCCGCCCGCCGCTTCCGTCGTTGGGGCTGCTGCTTGCGCTGCGGCCACCGCTTCTGGAGCTGCTGCCTACAGCGGTAGGTGTTACCTCCGGTGCTGCTTCTGGGACAGCCGGCTGGTGCAGCCTCTTCGCCTTCCGGTAAGCTGCCCGCCGCTTCCGTCGTTTGGGCTGCGGCTTCCGCTGCGGCCACCGCTTCAGGTGCTGCTGGCTACAGCAGAAGCTGGTACCTCCGGTGCTGCTTCAAGGACAGCTCCATCGGCCGCTACTGCCGTATCGGCGGCTGCTTGTGGCACTGCTGCTCCTTCTCCCTCGGCGGCTGGTGCTCCTCCTCCTTCTGTCGCAGGAGCTCCTTCTCCGTCTTCGGCTGGTGCAGCCCCTCCGCCTTCCGGTACGGCGCCCGCCGCTTTCGTCGTAGGGGCTGCTGCTTCCGCTGCGGCCACCGCCTCTGGTGCTGCTGCCTAGAGCGGTAGCTGGTACCTCCGTGCTTCTTGAGGGACAGCTCCATCGGCCGTTACTGCCGTATCGGCTCGACTCCAACTCCATGTTGTTATACAGCTCGCTCTCGCCAAGCTCGCTCCAGACGGTGACCTGGAGCTTGGCATCCGGCGGCTTGGACCAGTTGAAGCTGTTGTATAGATTCGTGGGCTGCGGCACGTTCTTCTTTGGCAGCTCCACCTTGGGTGGCACAGGAGCTGCAGGCAAAGCATAGAAATTAATTTATGTGACGCTCTTTGACTTGACTTAACTCTGTACTCACTCATTGCTGGCGTCATGCACGGTGGCCGGAGCGGTGCACCCGGACAGGGTGGCGGTAATGGTGGCATCATGGCCGGCGCCATCGGTGGCGTTAGGGCACAGCTCCATTGCAGACACGTCAGACCGGCCATCTTCTGGACATCGGATATGCTGCCCTCGGTGACAAGATGCTCGAAACGGGCCAGCTCCTGCTGTACACGAAGCGATGATAAAGAGCTACAAATACGTTGTAAAAAATGACAGTCACTCACAGATAATAGTGATAAAGTGGCTGCTCACTTTGGAAAAATGTACTAAATAATGACACACACTTTTCGAACGAAATGTAGTGAACCTTAGCTGGTCACACTTACTAGTAAAGTAGTGAGAAAACGAGCTGGTCACACTACAAAAAATAGTAAGTCGATAACTTACGATGACGATAAATTTCTGCTAGGCGGTTGTTTGTGGCACTGCTGCTCCTCCTTCGGCGGCTGGTGATCCTTATCCTTCTGCCACTGGAGCTCCTTCTCCGCCTTCCGCTGGTGCAGCCTCGACGGTTGCCTATAGAACTGCTGGTCCTCCCTCGGCGGCTGCTGCTCCTCCCTCGGCGGCTGGTGATCCTTATCCTTCTGCCACTGGAGCTCCTTCTCCGCCTTCGGCTGGTGCAGCCTCTCCGCCTTCCGGTAAGCTGCCCGAAGCTTCCGTCGTTGGGGCTGCTGCTTGCGCTGCGGCCACCGCCTCAGGTGCTGCTGCATACAACGGAAGCTGGTACCTCCGGTGCTGCTTCAGGGTCAGTTCCATCGGCTGCTTCTACCGTATCGGGGGTTGCTTATGGAACTGCTGCTCTTTCTCACTCGGCGGCTGGTGCTCCTCCTCCTTCTGCCGGAAGAGCTCCTTCTCCGCCTTGGGCTGGTGCAGCCTTTCTGCTTTCCGGTACGCCGCCCGCCGCTTCCATCGTAGGGGCTGCTGCTTCCGCTGCGGCCACTGCCTCTGGAGCTGCTGCCTACAGCGGTAGCTGGTACTTCCGAGCTTCTTCAGGGACAGCTCCATTTCCGCTAATGCTGTATCGGCGGTTGCTTGTTGGACTGCTGCTCCTCCCTCGGCGGCTGGTGCTCCTCCTCCTTCTGCCGCAGGACCTCCTTCTCCGCCTTGGGCTGGTGCAGCCTTTCCGCTTTCCGGTACGCCGCCCGCCGCTTCCATTGTAGGGGCTGCTGCTTCCTCTGCGGCCACCGCTTCTGGAGCTGCTGCCTACAGCGGTAGCTGGTACCTCTGGTGTTTCTTAAGGGTCAGCTCCATCGGCCGCTACTACCGTATCGGCGGCTGCTTATGAAACTGCTGCTCCTGCTCCCTCGGCGGCTGGTGTTCCTCCTCCTTCTGCCGGAGGAGCTCCTTCTCCGCCTTGGGCTGGTGCAGCCTTGCCGCTTTCCGGTACGCCGCCCGCCGCTTCCATCGTAGGGGCTGCTGCTTCCGCTGCGGCCACCGCCTCAGGTGCGTCTGCCTACAGCGGTAGCTGGTACCTCCGGTGCTGCTTCAGGGTCAGCTCCATCGGCTGCTACTACCGTGTCGGGGGTTGCTTATGGAACTGCTGCTCTTTCTCACTCGGCGGCTGGTGCTCCTCCTCCTTCTGCCGGAGGAGCTCCTTCTCCGCCTTGGGCTGGTGTAGCCTTTCCGCTTTCCGGTACGCCGCCCGCCGCTTCCGTCGTTGGGGCTGCTGCTTGCGCTGCGGCCACCGCTTCTGGAGCTGCTGCCTACAGCGGTAGGTGTTACCTCCGGTGCTGCTTCAGGGTCAGCTCCATCGGCTGCTACTACCGTGTCGGGGGTTGCTTATGGAACTGCTGCTCTTTCTCACTCGGCGGCTGGTGCTCCTCCTCCTTCTGCCGGAAGAGCTCCTTCTCCGCCTTGGGCTGGTGCAGCCTTGCCGCTTTCCGGTACGCCGCCCGCCGCTTCCATCGTAGGGGCTGCTGCTTCCGCTGCGGCCACCGCCTCAGGTGCGTCTGCCTACAGCGGAAGCTGATACCTTCGGTGCTGCTTCAGGGCCAGCTCCATCGGCCGCTACTGCCGCATCGGCGGCTGCTTGTGGCACTGCTGCTCCTTCCCCCCGGCGGCTGGTGATCCTTCTTCTGCCACAGGAGCTCCTTCTCCGTCTTCGTCTGGTGCAGACTTTCCGCTTTCCGGTACGCCGCCCGCCGCTTCCGTCGTTGGGGCTGCTGCTTGCGCTGCGGCCACCGCTTCTGGAGCTGCTGCCTACAGCGGTAGGTGTTACCTCCGGTGCTGCTTCTGGGACAGCCGGCTGGTGCAGCCTCTTCGCCTTCCGGTAAGCTGCCCGCCGCTTCCGTCGTTTGAGCTGCGGCTTCCGCTGCGGCCACCGCCTCAGGTGCTGCTGGCTACAGCAGAAGCTGGTACCTCCGGTGCTGCTTCAAGGACAGCTCCATCGGCCGCTACTGCCGTATCGGCGGCTGCTTGTGGCACTGCTGCTCCTTCTCCCTCGGCGGCTGGTGCTCCTCCTCCTTCTGTCGCAGGAGCTCCTTCTCCGTCTTCGGCTGGTGCAGCCCCTCCGCCTTCCGGTACGGCGCCCGCCGCTTTCGTCGTAGGGTCTGCTGCTTCCGCTGCGGCCACCGCCTCTGGTGCTGCTGCCTAGAGCGGTAGCTGGTACCTCCGTGCTTCTTGAGGGACAGCTCCATCGGCCGTTACTGCCGTATCGGCTCGACTCCAACTCCATGTTGTTATACAGCTCGCTCTCGCCAAGCTCGCTCCAGACGGTGACCTGGAGCTTGGCATCCGGCAGCTTGGACCAGTTGAAGCTGTTGTATAGATTCGTGGGCTGCGGCACGTTCTTCTTTGGCAGCTCCACTTTGGGTGGCACAGGAGCTGCAGGCAAAGCATAGAAATTAATTTATGTGACGCTCTTTGACTTGACTTAACTCTGTACTCACTCATTGCTGGCGTCATGCACGGTGGCCGGAGCGGTGCACCCGGACAGGGTGGCGGTAATGGTGGCATCATGGCCGGCGCCATCGGTGGCGTTAGGGCACAGCTCCATTGCAGACACGTCAGACCGGCCATCTTCTGGACATCGGATATGCTGCCCTCGGTGACAAGATGCTCGAAACGGGCCAGCTCCTGCTGTACACGAAGCGATGACAAAGAGCTACTAATAAGTTGTAAAAATGACAGTCACTCACAGATAATAGTGATAAAGTGGCTGCTCACTGGAAAAATGTACTAAATAATGACACACACTTTTCGAACGAAATGTAGTGAACCTTAGCTGGTCACACTTACTAGTAAAGTAGTGAGAAAACGAGCTGGTCACACTACAAAAAATAGTAAGTCGATAACTTACGATGACGATAAATTTCTGCTAGGCGGTTGTTTGTGGCACTGCTGCTCCTCCCTCGGCGGCTGGTGATCCTTATCCTTCTGCCACTGGAGCTCCTTCTCCGCCTTCCGCTGGTGCAGCCTCGACGGTTGCCTATAGAACTGCTGGTCCTCCCTCGGCGGCTGCTGCTCCTCCCTCGGCGGCTGGTGATCCTTATCCTTCTGCCACTGGAGCTCCTTCTCCGCCTTCGGCTGGTGCAGCCTCTCCGCCTTCCGGTAAGCTGCCCGAAGCTTCCGTCGTTGGGGCTGCTGCTTGCGCTGCGGCCACCGCCTCAGGTGCTGCTGCATACAACGGAAGCTGGTACCTCCGGTGCTGCTTCAGGGTCAGTTCCATCGGCTGCTACTACCGTGTCGGGGGTTGCTTATGGAACTGCTGCTCTTTCTCACTCGGCGGCTGGTGCTCCTCCTCCTTCTGCCGGAAGAGCTCCTTCTCCGCCTTGGGCTGGTGCAGCCTTTCCGCTTTCCGGTACGCCGCCCGCCGCTTCCATCGTAGGGGCTGCTGCTTCCGCTGCGGCCACTGCCTCTGGAGCTGCTGCCTACAGCGGTAGCTGGTACTTCCGAGCTTCTTCAGGGACAGCTCCATTTCCGCTAATGCTGTATCGGCGGTTGCTTGTTGGACTGCTGCTCCTCCCTCGGCGGCTGGTGCTCCTCCTCCTTCTGCCGGAGGAGCTCCTTCTCCGCCTTGGGCTGGTGCAGCCTTGCCGCTTTCCGGTACGCCGCCCGCCGCTTCCATCGTAGGGGCTGCTGCTTCCTCTGCGGCCACCGCTTCTGGAGCTGCTGCCTACAGCGGTAGCTGGTACCTCTGGTGTTGCTTAAGGGTCAGCTCCATCGGCCGCTACTACCGTATCGGCGGCTGCTTATGAAACTGCTGCTCCTGCTCCCTCGGCGGCTGGTGTTCCTCCTCCTTCTGCCGGAGGAGCTCCTTCTCCGCCTTGGGCTGGTGCAGCCTTGGCGCTTTCCGGTACGCCGCCCGCCGCTTCCATCGTAGGGGCTGCTGCTTCCTCTGCGGCCACCGCTTCTGGAGCTGCTGCCTACAGCGGTAGCTGGTACCTCTGGTGTTGCTTAAGGGTCAGCTCCATCGGCCGCTACTACCGTATCGGCGGCTGCTTATGAAACTGCTGCTCCTGCTCCCTCGGCGGCTGGTGTTCCTCCTCCTTCTGCCGGAGGAGCTCCTTCTCCGCCTTGGGCTGGTGCAGCCTTGCCGCTTTCCGGTACGCCGCCCGCCGCTTCCATTGTAGGGGCTGCTGCTTCCTCTGCGGCCACCGCTTCTGGAGCTGCTGCCTACAGCGGTAGCTGGTACCTCTGGTGTTGCTTAAGGGTCAGCTCCATCGGCCGCTACTACCGTATCGGCGGCTGCTTATGAAACTGCTGCTCCTGCTCCCTCGGCGGCTGGTGTTCCTCCTCCTTCTGCCGGAGGAGCTCCTTCTCCGCCTTGGGCTGGTGCAGCCTTGCCGCTTTCCGGTACGCCGCCCGCCGCTTCCATCGTAGGGGCTGCTGCTTCCGCTGCGGCCACCGCCTCAGGTGCGTCTGCCTACAGCGGTAGCTGGTACCTCCGGTGCTGCTTCAGGGTCAGCTCCATCGGCTGCTACTACCGTGTCGGGGGTTGCTTATGGAACTGCTGCTCTTTCTCACTCGGCGGCTGGTGCTCCTCCTCCTTCTGCCGGAGGAGCTCCTTCTCCGCCTTGGGCTGGTGTAGCCTTTCCGCTTTCCGGTACGCCGCCCGCCGCTTCCGTCGTTGGGGCTGCTGCTTGCGCTGCGGCCACCGCTTCTGGAGCTGCTGCCTACAGCGGTAGGTGTTACCTCCGGTGCTGCTTCAGGGTCAGCTCCATCGGCTGCTACTACCGTGTCGGGGGTTGCTTATGGAACTGCTGCTCTTTCTCACTCGGCGGCTGGTGCTCCTCCTCCTTCTGCCGGAAGAGCTCCTTCTCCGCCTTGGGCTGGTGCAGCCTTGCCGCTTTCCGGTACGCCGCCCGCCGCTTCCATCGTAGGGGCTGCTGCTTCCGCTGCGGCCACCGCCTCAGGTGCGTCTGCCTACAGCGGTAGCTGGTACCTCCGGTGCTGCTTCAGGGTCAGCTCCATCGGCTGCTACTACCGTGTCGGGGGTTGCTTATGGAACTGCTGCTCTTTCTCACTCGGCGGCTGGTGCTCCTCCTCCTTCTGCCGGAGGAGCTCCTTTTCCGCCTTGGGCTGGTGCAGCCTCTTCGCTTTCCGGTACGCCGCCCGCCGTTTCCATCGTAGGGGCTGCTGCTTCCGCTGCGGCCACCGCCTCAGGTGCTGCTGCCTACAGCGGAAGCTGATACCTTCGGTGCTGCTTCAGGGCCAGCTCCATCGGCCGCTACTGCCGCATCGGCGGCTGCTTGTGGCACTGCTGCTCCTTCCCCCCCGGCGGCTGGTGATCCTTCTTCTGCCACAGGAGCTCCTTCTCCGTCTTCGTCTGGTGCAGCCTTTCCGCTTTCCGGTACGCCGCCCGCCGCTTCCGTCGTTGGGGCTGCTGCTTGCGCTGCGGCCACCGCTTCTGGAGCTGCTGCCTACAGCGGTAGGTGTTACCTCCGGTGCTGCTTCTGGGACAGCCGGCTGGTGCAGCCTCTTCGCCTTCCGGTAAGCTGCCCGCCGCTTCCGTCGTTTGGGCTGCGGCTTCCGCTGCGGCCACCGCCTCAGGTGCTGCTGGCTACAGCAGAAGCTGGTACCTCCGGTGCTGCTTCAAGGACAGCTCCATCGGCCGCTACTGCCGTATCGGCGGCTGCTTGTGGCACTGCTGCTCCTTCTCCCTCGGCGGCTGGTGCTCCTCCTCCTTCTGTCGCAGGAGCTCCTTCTCCGTCTTCGGCTGGTGCAGCCCCTCCGCCTTCCGGTACGGCGCCCGCCGCTTTCGTCGTAGGGTCTGCTGCTTCCGCTGCGGCCACCGCCTCTGGTGCTGCTGCCTAGAGCGGTAGCTGGTACCTCCGTGCTTCTTGAGGGACAGCTCCATCGGCCGTTACTGCCGTATCGGCTCGACTCCAACTCCATGTTGTTATACAGCTCGCTCTCGCCAAGCTCGCTCCAGACGGTGACCTGGAGCTTGGCATCCGGCAGCTTGGACCAGTTGAAGCTGTTGTATAGATTCGTGGGCTGCGGCACGTTCTTCTTTGGCAGCTCCACCTTGGGTGGCACAGGAGCTGCAGGCAAAGCATAGAAATTAATTTATGTGACGCTCTTTGACTTGACTTAACTCTGTACTCACTCATTGCTGGCGTCATGCACGGTGGCCGGAGCGGTGCACCCGGACAGGGTGGCGGTAATGGTGGCATCATGGCCGGCGCCATCGGTGGCGTTAGGGCACAGCTCCATTGCAGACACGTCAGACCGGCCATCTTCTGGACATCGGATATGCTGCCCTCGGTGACAAGATGCTCGAAACGGGCCAGCTCCTGCTGTACACGAAGCGATGATAAAGAGCTACAAATACGTTGTAAAAAATGACAGTCACTCACAGATAATAGTGATAAAGTGGCTGCTCACTTTGGAAAAATGTACTAAATAATGACACACACTTTTCGAACGAAATGTAGTGAACCTTAGCTGGTCACACTTACTAGTAAAGTAGTGAGAAAACGAGCTGGTCACACTACAAAAAATAGTAAGTCGATAACTTACGATGACGATAAATTTCTGCTAGGCGGTTGTTTGTGGCACTGCTGCTCCTCCCTCGGCGGCTGGTGATCCTTATCCTTCTGCCACTGGAGCTCCTTCTCCGCCTTCCGCTGGTGCAGCCTCGACGGTTGCCTATAGAACTGCTGGTCCTCCCTCGGCGGCTGCTGCTCCTCCCTCGGCGGCTGGTGATCCTTATCCTTCTGCCACTGGAGCTCCTTCTCCGCCTTCGGCTGGTGCAGCCTCTCCGCCTTCCGGTAAGCTGCCCGAAGCTTCCGTCGTTGGGGCTGCTGCTTGCGCTGCGGCCACCGCCTCAGGTGCTGCTGCATACAACGGAAGCTGGTACCTCCGGTGCTGCTTCAGGGTCAGTTCCATCGGCTGCTACTACCGTGTCGGGGGTTGCTTATGGAACTGCTGCTCTTTCTCACTCGGCGGCTGGTGCTCCTCCTCCTTCTGCCGGAGGAGCTCCTTCTCCGCCTTGGGCTGGTGCAGCCTTTCCGCTTTCCGGTACGCCGCCCGCCGCTTCCGTCGTTGGGGCTGCTGCTTGCGCTGCGGCCACCGCTTCTGGAGCTGCTGCCTACAGCGGTAGGTGTTACCTCCGGTGCTGCTTCAGGGTCAGTTCCATCGGCTGCTTCTACCGTATCGGGGGTTGCTTATGGAACTGCTGCTCTTTCTCACTCGGCGGCTGGTGCTCCTCCTCCTTCTGCCGGAAGAGCTCCTTCTCCGCCTTGGGCTGGTGCAGCCTTTCCGCTTTCCGGTACGCCGCCCGCCGCTTCCATCGTAGGGGCTGCTGCTTCCGCTGCGGCCACTGCCTCTGGAGCTGCTGCCTACAGCGGTAGCTGGTACTTCCGAGCTTCTTCAGGGACAGCTCCATTTCCGCTAATGCTGTATCGGCGGTTGCTTGTTGGACTGCTGCTCCTCCCTCGGCGGCTGGTGTTCCTCCTCCTTCTGCCGGAGGAGCTCCTTCTCCGCCTTGGGCTGGTGCAGCCTTGCCGCTTTCCGGTACGCCGCCCGCCGCTTCCATTGTAGGGGCTGCTGCTTCCTCTGCGGCCACCGCTTCTGGAGCTGCTGCCTACAGCGGTAGCTGGTACCTCTGGTGTTGCTTAAGGGTCAGCTCCATCGGCCGCTACTACCGTATCGGCGGCTGCTTATGAAACTGCTGCTCCTGCTCCCTCGGCGGCTGGTGTTCCTCCTCCTTCTGCCGGAGGAGCTCCTTCTCCGCCTTGGGCTGGTGCAGCCTTGCCGCTTTCCGGTACGCCGCCCGCCGCTTCCATCGTAGGGGCTGCTGCTTCCGCTGCGGCCACCGCCTCAGGTGCGTCTGCCTACAGCGGTAGCTGGTACCTCCGGTGCTGCTTCAGGGTCAGCTCCATCGGCTGCTACTACCGTGTCGGGGGTTGCTTATGGAACTGCTGCTCTTTCTCACTCGGCGGCTGGTGCTCCTCCTCCTTCTGCCGGAGGAGCTCCTTCTCCGCCTTGGGCTGGTGCAGCCTTTCCGCTTTCCGGTACGCCGCCCGCCGCTTCCGTCGTTGGGGCTGCTGCTTGCGCTGCGGCCACCGCTTCTGGAGCTGCTGCCTACAGCGGTAGGTGTTACCTCCGGTGCTGCTTCAGGGTCAGCTCCATCGGCTGCTACTACCGTGTCGGGGGTTGCTTATGGAACTGCTGCTCTTTCTCACTCGGCGGCTGGTGCTCCTCCTCCTTCTGCCGGAAGAGCTCCTTTTCCGCCTTGGGCTGGTGCAGCCTTGCCGCTTTCCGGTACTCCGCCCGCCGCTTCCATCGTAGGGGCTGCTGCTTCCGCTGCGGCCACCGCCTCAGGTGCGTCTGCCTACAGCGGTAGCTGGTACCTCCGGTGCTGCTTCAGGGTCAGCTCCATCGGCTGCTACTACCGTGTCGGGGGTTGCTTATGGAACTGCTGCTCTTTCTCACTCGGCGGCTGGTGCTCCTCCTCCTTCTGCCGGAGGAGCTCCTTCTCCGCCTTGGGCTGGTGCAGCCTCTTCGCTTTCCGGTACGCCGCCCGCCGTTTCCATCGTAGGGGCTGCTGCTTCCGCTGCGGCCACCGCCTCAGGTGCTGCTGCCTACAGCGGAAGCTGATACCTTCGGTGCTGCTTCAGGGCCAGCTCCATCGGCCGCTACTGCCGCATCGGCGGCTGCTTGTGGCACTGCTGCTCCTTCCCCCCGGCGGCTGGTGATCCTTCTTCTGCCACAGGAGCTCCTTCTCCGTCTTTGTCTGGTGCAGCCTTTCCGCTTTCCGGTACGCCGCCCGCCGCTTCCGTCGTTGGGGCTGCTGCTTGCGCTGCGGCCACCGCTTCTGGAGCTGCTGCCTACAGCGGTAGGTGTTACCTCCGGTGCTGCTTCTGGGACAGCCAACTGGTGCAGCCTCTTCGCCTTCCGGTAAGCTGCCCGCCGCTTCCGTCGTTTGGGCTGCGGCTTCCGCTGCGGCCACCGCCTCAGGTGCTGCTGCCTACAGCAGAAGCTGGTACCTCCGGTGCTGCTTCAAGGACAGCTCCATCGGCCGCTACTGCCGTATCGGCGGCTGCTTGTGGCACTGCTGCTCCTTCTCCCTCGGCGGCTGGTGCTCCTCCTCCTTCTGTCGCAGGAGCTCCTTCTCCGTCTTCGGCTGGTGCAGCCCCTCCGCCTTCCGGTACGGCGCCCAGCGCTTTCGTCGTAGGGGCTGCTGCTTCCGCTGCGGCCACCGCCTCTGGTGCTGCTGCCTAGAGCGGTAGCTGGTACCTCCGTGCTTCTTGAGGGACAGCTCCATCGGCCGTTACTGCCGTATCGGCTCGACTCCAACTCCATGTTGTTATACAGCTCGCTCTCGCCAAGCTCGCTCCAGACGGTGACCTGGAGCTTGGCATCCGGCAGCTTGGACCAGTTGAAGCTGTTGTATAGATTCGTGGGCTGCGGCACGTTCTTCTTTGGCAGCTCCACCTTGGGTGGCACAGGAGCTGCAGGCAAAGCATAGAAATTAATTTATGTGACGCTCTTTGACTTGACTTAACTCTGTACTCACTCATTGCTGGCGTCATGCACGGTGGCCGGAGCGGTGCACCCGGACAGGGTGGCGGTAATGGTGGCATCATGGCCGGCGCCATCGGTGGCGTTAGGGCACAGCTCCATTGCAGACACGTCAGACCGGCCATCTTCTGGACATCGGATATGCTGCCCTCGGTGACAAGATGCTCGAAACGGGCCAGCTCCTGCTGTACACGAAGCGATGATAAAGAGCTACAAATACGTTGTAAAAAATGACAGTCACTCACAGATAATAGTGATAAAGTGGCTGCTCACTTTGGAAAAATGTACTAAATAATGACACACACTTTTCGAACGAAATGTAGTGAACCTTAGCTGGTCACACTTACTAGTAAAGTAGTGAGAAAACGAGCTGGTCACACTACAAAAAATAGTAAGTCGATAACTTACGATGACGATAAATTTCTGCTAGGCGGTTGTTTGTGGCACTGCTGCTCCTCCCTCGGCGGCTGGTGATCCTTATCCTTCTGCCACTGGAGCTCCTTCTCCGCCTTCCGCTGGTGCAGCCTCGACGGTTGCCTATAGAACTGCTGGTCCTCCCTCGGCGGCTGCTGCTCCTCCCTCGGCGGCTGGTGATCCTTATCCTTCTGCCACTGGAGCTCCTTCTCCGCCTTCGGCTGGTGCAGCCTCTCCGCCTTCCGGTAAGCTGCCCGAAGCTTCCGTCGTTGGGGCTGCTGCTTGCGCTGCGGCCACCGCCTCAGGTGCTGCTGCATACAACGGAAGCTGGTACCTCCGGTGCTGCTTCAGGGTCAGTTCCATCGGCTGCTTCTACCGTATCGGGGGTTGCTTATGGAACTGCTGCTCTTTCTCACTCGGCGGCTGGTGCTCCTCCTCCTTCTGCCGGAAGAGCTCCTTCTCCGCCTTGGGCTGGTGCAGCCTTTCCGCTTTCCGGTACGCCGCCCGCCGCTTCCATCGTAGGGGCTGCTGCTTCCGCTGCGGCCACTGCCTCTGGAGCTGCTGCCTACAGCGGTAGCTGGTACTTCCGAGCTTCTTCAGGGACAGCTCCATTTCCGCTAATGCTGTATCGGCGGTTGCTTGTTGGACTGCTGCTCCTCCCTCGGCGGCTGGTGCTCCTTCTCCTTCTGCCGCAGGACCTCCTTCTCCGCCTTGGGCTGGTGCAGCCTTTCCGCTTTCCGGTACGCCGCCCGCCGCTTCCATTGTAGGGGCTGCTGCTTCCTCTGCGGCCACCGCTTCTGGAGCTGCTGCCTACAGCGGTAGCTGGTACCTCTGGTGTTGCTTAAGGGACAGCTCCATCGGCCGCTACTACCGTATCGGCGGCTGCTTATGAAACTGCTGCTCCTGCTCCCTCGGCGGCTGGTGTTCCTCCTCCTTCTGCCGGAGGAGCTCCTTCTCCGCCTTGGGCTGGTGCAGCCTTGCCGCTTTCCGGTACGCCGCCCGCCGCTTCCATCGTAGGGGCTGCTGCTTGCGCTGCGGCCACCGCTTCTGGAGCTGCTGCCTACAGCTGTAGCTGGTACCTCCGGTGCTGCTTTAGGGACAGCTCCATCGGCCGCTACTGCCGTATCGGGGGTTGCTTATGGAACTGCTGCTCTTTCTCACTCGGCGGCTGGTGCTTCTCCTCCTTCTGCCGGAGGAGCTCCTTCTCCGCCTTGGGCTGGTGCAGCCTTTCCGCTTTCCGGTACGCCGCCCGCCGCTTCCATCGTAGGGGCTGCTGCTTCCGCTGCGGCCACCGCCTCAGGTGCTGCTGCCTACAGCGGAAGCTGATACCTCCGGTGCTGCTTCAGGGCCAGCTCCATCGGCCGCTACTGCCGCATCGGCGGCTGCTTGTGGAACTGCTGCTCCTTCGCCCTCGGCGGCTGGTGATCCTTCTGCCACAGGAGCTCCTTCTCCGTTTTCGTCTGGTGCAGCCTCTCCGACTTCCGGTACGCCGCCCGCCGCTTCCATCGTAGGGGCTGCTGCTTCCGCTGCGGCCACCGCCTCAGGTGCTGCTGCCTACAGCGGAAGCTGATACCTCCGGTGCTGCTTCAGGGCCAGCTCCATCGGCCGCTACTGCCGCATCGGCGGCTGCTTGTGGAACTGCTGCTCCTTCGCCCTCGGCGGCTGGTGCTCCTCCTCCTTCTGTCGCAGGAGCTCCTTCTCCGTCTTCGGCTGGTGCAGCCCCTCCGCCTTCCGGTACGGCGCCCAGCGCTTTCGTCGTAGGGGCTGCTGCTTCCGCTGCGGCCACCGCCTCTGGTGCTGCTGCCTAGAGCGGTAGCTGGTACCTCCGTGCTTCTTGAGGGACAGCTCCATCGGCCGTTACTGCCGTATCGGCTCGACTCCAACTCCATGTTGTTATACAACTCGCTCTCGCCAAGCTCGTTCCAGACGGTGCCCTGGAGCTTGGCATCCGGCCGCTTGGACCAGTTGAAGCTCTTTCATAGATTCGTGGGCTGCGGCACGTTCTTCTTTGGCAGCTCCACCTTGGGTAGCACAGGAGCTGCAGGCAAAGCATAGAAATTAATTTATGTGACGCTCCTTGACTTGAGTTAACTCTGTACTCACTCATTGCTGGCGTCATGCACGGTGGCCGGAGCGGTGCACCCGGACAGGGCGGCGGTGGTGGTGGCTTTATGGCCGGAGCCATTGGTGGCGTTAAGGCACAGCTCCATTGCAGACACGGCAGACCGGCCATCTTCTGGATATCGGATATGCTGCCCTCGGTGACCAGATGCTCGAAACGGGTCAGCTCCTGCTGTACTCTAAGCGATGATAAAGATCTACAAATAAGTTGTAAAAAATGAGTCACTTTTCGATAATAGTGAAAAATTGGCTGGTCGCACTATAAAAAGTTGTAAGTCGATAACTTTCGATGACGATAAATTGCCGCAATGCGAGGATGACAAACCTGCTAATTTCTAGCTAGATTGAAAGCTCACACACAAAATAGCTTAAGGGACAGCTCTAATGTGCACCTCTTGCATTCAAATTATTCTGCTTTCTGTGGTTTCCGTTTGCCTTGTGCTTCAGATCCAGAAATTAATGAAAAATATACACAAACGTTTCTCATTTCTTTGATATTTTTACAAATAATTAAATCTTAAAAATATACCATTATTTTTATAAAGATATTTACATGTATAAATATGCATCTGGATAATTACGTTTTCACAAAATGTACTTCAACTTTATGCAGAACTATTATCAATATTTATATATAGACAAATGTGAAAACGTAATTATCCCAATGCATTGTACGAATCTACAGATTGAAGGAGTAATTTGGCTGGTGTCGGAAACTAGTTACCTGCTTGTGCTTTTGTGAGGAACTCGATGAGGTGATGCTCGTATCACGGTAATTATTATGGATGGGAGATACTGTTTTTGCTCGATGCCGTTGTTGCCCAAGTCCTAAGCCAGTCTTGGGCTGCGTTTGGGCTGTGCGATGATGTCTATCCGTCGCAATGCTAAGGTGAATATAAAATTGATTAAATAAGCTCCTAACCTGAGCGAAAAAAATCTATATATCTACGAACCGCCTCTCTCTCTCTTTTTCCTCTCGTTGCTTGGCCACTTGTATCTTTATTTGACGTATCCGTTGTGTTAACTTCTTGCGTTCCACGCGCATGATCTCTAGGTTAAAGTAGCGCTTCTGGCAAATCGACTTCGCCAGATCGATGTCCTTCGTCAGCTTGTGCAGCTTTGCTCCCTGCTCGACCATGAACAAAGTTAACATAATCACAATTAATTTAAATAGTTGCTTACCTTCTTTTCCTTAAACCTGTCGAAGTGGCGATGGTTCGCCATCTGGAACGTTGCGATGAATTCGTTGTTTAGGTTGAACGGCTCCGGGTGGAAGAATAGCTTAAAGCTGTTGGGCATCGTATTGTTAACCTGCCGACCGCGCACTTTGTTGTGGCAGACGGGACACTCGTATACCGGTGCGTCGCTGGGCGTGCGGCCCGCACAGACACTGACACACTTTTCGCAAGTAACGTGGTGGCAGGCGAGCAGGAAGAACTTGGACTTCTTCTGGACGTACTGTTCGCAGCAGCGGTTGCAATGGATCCATAGCTTGTGTGACTCCGGATCGGGAGAAGTAACAGCGGGAGCCGAAGCTCCTGGCTTTGCGTCGACTTTAGACACGGTCTTCGGCATTATTTGCGCTATAAAATGGTACCAACGCAAAAAGTTCTTCGCCTCTTCCAGTAAAATAATGCGCTAGACTGGAAGTTCCAATTAAAAAATGGCGGACTACAGCTGATACTTTTCCGCGGGGTGGCAACTCTAGGCATAACTGTTAATACAAGAGACCAATATTTATTAAAAAAAAACGGAACGAAAACATAAATTTGACTTAAAAATTAAATTGATCATTGATTTCTAGTGTTGACGCATGCGCTCGATGGGATCTCTGGGTCGGATGCGGTACCGCTTCGATGTGGAGGCACTGGATGGCGACAGATCGCTGTTGTACTGGTTGTCCAGCGTTTGCGTGCGCTTTCGCTTCAGCGGATGGGCGTCTGCCTTTTCGCCGGCATCCCGGCTACCAGGCCGCACCAAGGAGCCGGCTATGGAGGCACAGCGACGGATGAGAGAGCCTGAAACCGTGGTGGCGTTCTCTTTGTCGCCGCGCAGGCTGGCCGGCAGCCGCATCATGGAGCTCATAAGGGACCACAGACGCCCAGTGCCCGGATCCTGTTTTTTGTCATTGCGAGTGGACGCGTTAGTTGGCAGGAACACCTCATCCTCATCGTCCTCCGTTTCGCCAACGTCCTGGACACCACTAAAGGCCTTTGCCTGTTGGCACTCTCGCAGCGGAGGACGTGTCCGGGGCCATTGCAGTGGCGGTGACTTCAAGGAAATCGGGGCCTCCTTGGCCTTTTCCTTATTGGGCGAGAACTCCCCGCTCAGCTGGCGTGCCACACTAGCCTGACGTCTCCGTTCCTGGGGCTCGGGAGTGCCTGGATTCGGTGTATAAAAATGCTCACTGCTCTCTTCGCATTCTTCGCCATCTCCAGTTCCATGGTTCATGGCCTTTAACAGCAGCCTGTTCTTCGGCGGAGTCTCGAACTTGATCTGCTTTTTGTTAATTCCAGTTCCGGAGACCCGAAGAGGTGTAATGGGTGGCACGTGCAACTCCGCTGACTCCGAGGTAGAGCGGATGATCTCGACGCTCTCGCAGGAGTTGTAGACCGTGGAGGAGGTCTCACGCAAATTAGAGTTTGTCCTGGTGATAATGATCGATTCGGTAGTTAGCTTTTGCGCGGAGAGGATCAACTGCCGCTTATAGGGATCGCCGGCTTGCGAGCAGGATGTGGAGCTGGCTCCGGAGGCACTGGATTCGCTTTGGGTGCGTCGCATGGCCGGAGAGAGTCGTAAGTCCAAGGCGGAGGATCCTCCTGCAGCTGGACCGCCTTCTGTGGAGTAACTGTTGTGATCGCTAAGGTCCAGTCGCACCCGTCGTTGAACTACTCCGGGCGGGGGCTGCCCCAGCATCCCGCCATGCTCCACGAAGGCCTTCTGGATGCTCTTGGACATCACCTGACGCAGCGGCGTCGCAGCGCTCATTTTGTTGCGGCCGCTCATTTTCCAGGCACGCTGTTGTAACGGCTGTTGAACGAGATTATTTTCGGCGGCGGGACTCAACTCTTCCTGGTAAATGCTGGACACATGGCCGCCATTAGAGGCGTTGAAGGTAATTGGCTCCTTGGGCTTGGCAAACACCGATTCTACTTGTAGTGGCGTCGACGTTGACCTGATAACTTTTCCTTTCACCACTGTTTCCGGCGGATTCACAACCAACTGGCCAATGGAGCGTCGAATCGAGCTGTTGCCGCAGGAGGAGAATGAGGAGAGATTCCGAATTGAGGAGACGCTATCGCTGATGAACTCCTCGTGGGTAATGCGGTTTTTAGCCTTCCAGTGCATATTGATCACTGAAATGGGCGTCACGCCCGGCGACGTTTGCGTGGAGATGGTGGTGCTATTGATGGCGCAATTAGCATTCGGCTTTACAGTCACCTTGGAGGCCTCTGTGTCGCAGGTTTGATCGTTGATGGTACTGGCACCCGAGCAGTCCTGCTGCCGGTCCACACACTTGCTGAACTCTCGTAGATCAGCGATGTGTGTGTAGTTGCGCTTGCACTTACGGCACCGCAGCGGCAAATGGCAGGTCTCGATGTGGGCCAGCAGTTCGCCGTGCATTTCCTCTTGGAGCAGCAGCGGCCTCTGCTCACAAATGGGACAGAACACATAGATGGTAGTTACGCCCGACTCCATTTCCATGCGGTGCTCGGTGATTCTGCCGGCGCTGGAGTTTCCACCCAATGGCTCTCGGACAGCAATGGCGTGAGCGTTGAATTGATGTTTCTGGCGGCATTTGCCGCAACAAAAAATCCGCTTGCAAATGTGGCACTTGCCCTGGACAATAATTAATTAATTGTTTACTTATTGATAATAATTAGGAGATGCTAGGGATTCGGCGCTTACCTCGTCGTGCTGTCGCATGGCTAGGCCATTGAGAATAGACATTAAGTTGGGTCGCGAATTCTAAATAGGATGTAAAAAGCCTACCTTACCCATACAACCGCGCAAGAGCAACGGTTTCTCCGTTAGGTATGGTTATAAGTTCAGCTTAATATCGATAACTGGCGAAGCTATTTCAAATATTGATCGAGGAGGAAGCGCGTAAAATTTATCGTTTATAAGCGGCAAGGAAATATATATTTAAACAGACATATTACAATTAACTGAAAAGTTTACAAAGTTTATTTAAATGATCAAGAAAAAAAGGTTATTGTCATTACAAATCTCTGAGAGCTACATTAAAAGAGAAAGTAACACAATTTAGGTAAGCGAAATAATAAATAGTTAGATATTGATCTAACACCATGTCGAAGAAATAAAAACACTTGTAAACAAGCCTTAAAAATATGGATTTCAGGACTCGAAGATATCTAGAAATGATTTGCTTTACTTAACAAACTAAAGCAAAGCATAATGATTGAAGAATGCAGAGATAAAAGTCAAAATAAAAGAATATTACGAATCTTTTGGGGTAGGTTGGGACTCATCCACAATATTCATAAGCTTCTCCATAGACATGGCCTCCTCGCGGACGCGGAATCGATCCAGAAGAAAACTTCGCAGATCCTGTCCCTTGTCATCGACCACAGTCTCCACGAAGATGGTTCGCGACAGGACAAATTTTACGCGGGCAGAGAAGATACGCTTGTGCTGTTCCTGTAGGCGGCTAAAGAAACAGCAGCGCACCACATCACGCATATCCTTGGTCCAGATCCGATCTATGGTATTCGGCTCGATGCCAATTAGACGCACTTCCATTGCCTGGTAGGGCTTGTTCTGGAACGGAAGTGTTTAATGGAAGCTTGGATTTGAATTTCTATGAAATCTTACCTGGTGACGCTCTTCGCATATGAAAATCTGGCTGGGTTTGTAAGTGAGGACTTCGATTCCTGTGTCCAGCAGCCGTACTGTTATCTTGTTAATGTCCGTTCCGGTGATGACAACTCTCTCATACCGCTTCAGATTCCGCACGATAACAATCTCCCCAACCTTTGGTTTTGTGTGCTGGCGCCGGTTCTGCTCTAGCTCGTAGTACACATGAATTTCGTGGCATAGCTGGGTCATCGGTGTATTAAGGAAAGCTATCTTCGTGGGATATAGTTCATTCAGACGGACCGCTATATGGGCTGGGCTGTTGCACTAGAAAAATTTAGTTAGAACTACATTTAAATCTGTGTTTAGAGAGTGTTTTATCCGATATATATGTACTTACAGTCAGCACTTGGAAGCGAAAATGTCCCTCGGTGGGGTAGTTAGCTGGCGGCTGTACCTCCTCCTTCCACATCACGTGCCGATAACGACACGACCAGCGGAAACAATTCCCATAGGTGGCTATTTGCTCGCACAGAGAAAGTTTCGCCAGCTCCGAGCTTGGTTTATCCTTCATCTGGCGATTTTCCGCCAGGACCCGCAGGCAGTGATCGGGACGGGGAAGTTGGTGCCATATCATGAAGTCGGCCAGAAGCCAGATGCGTTCGAAGTTGTTCCGCTGCAGCAGTACCACGGATTTGCCTGGACCTTCCACAGATGATACGTAATTACTATAAAACATTGAAAACCGAAATTTGAACCTCATCCAGCTGATGGCGGGGGTGTAGTGGATGATTTGATCAATAGGACCGCACTTCATCTTATTCACCATATCATCCGTGATCAAGAGAACGAAGGCCAGCCTCTTCTGTCTCCACTGGCTGATCATCAATAGACCACTGTCGGAGTATATGCCCTGCGCTTGGATGCCTGCCTTCGTCAGCTTATATTTGAGATCTAGCACTTCTTCCTTGGTTTGGCACATGACAACGATTCGGTCCTCGTTAAGACTCCGGTTTTGGAGCATCTGAACCACAGCACGGCTCTCCTCGCCCGGTGTAATCACGTTTACTTCTAGGCTTGCTCTGCCATAGATAGTGGCCTCAAGGGGGTCCTTAAAGACGATAAGAACATCGGGCACAAGTGGCAGCAGGCTCTTTCGCATTAGTGTTTCCGGCCAGAGGCGTGTGGTGATAAACAGTTGGCACCCTTTAGCGCCAAAGTTCAAAAACTGTATGATCCAGTCGACCATTTTCTCTGTAGTATCCGGCAAATGGCGCATCATGTCGGAGAGGTTGTCCAGGACCAGACACTTGACCGAGTTCGCATCGAAAATAGGTGTCTCTCTGGTATGCAATTTTTTCAGCAAGACCAGCATTTCCGGTGTGGTGACAAGGATACCCACGGAACGGCTCAGTCTATCAGCCACCTCTTGAACATTTCCCTTTTCCCACAGGGTGACGACCTGTTCAAAACAAATACAACCCGCAGTGGTCAGCGGGTCCAAAAGCTTAATGATCCAATGCAAAATTTGGTTTCCCTGCTGCTTATTAAGGGAAACCACAATGCTGGTGGGCCCATACGCCTTTTTGGAGCAAAGGAGCATCTGCTCATAGGTTCGTTGGCACAGGCTGGGCAGGAAGCACCAGGTTTTGCCGATCCTCTCAGGTCCCACAGCGACTAGGGATTTTCCACACGACACATGTGGCCAGGCGTATCTTTGAATGCCCCGAGCCTGGCGATCTCTCATATCCCCCATCATTGCCGTCATGGTATCCCGAATTGAAGGATTCAAGTCCACCACGCCACTTATATCATAACAAGGAACGATCACATCACGACTCCAGACCAGAACGCCAAATTGTGCCTGGGTCATTCCATCCCTCTCCGAAGCTATTTCAGCAGCTGTTGGGGATCTTTTGTCTTTGATGGATTCCTCAGGAGGGGAGGCTTTACCAAGTCTGCTGCTCGCCTCTGAAATCAATTCCATTTGGCGTTGAATGCTTTCAGCATGCTCGAAATGAACTGCTTGAGTTTCTGGTGGAGTTTCCCATCCTTCAATTTCAGATTCTTGTGGCACCATAGCCGACACATCTTTTGGCCATCTATTCTCTGGATTAAGGGCACGAGTACCATGAGCAATATCAGAAGTCTCCTGTTCCAGTCTTTTGTTAAATAGTTTAACCACCAACTTTGGAGTCTTACCATTTTCCTTTTCCGGCTCAGATTGCAGGCTCCGAATTTCCTCTTCGGGGTCATCCAAGATAAAGGCCAACATTTCTGCATTAATTTTCGATTTAGTCAGAATGCTCAAACGGTCCTTGAATTTCTCGACAGGCGGCAGCGCAGTATGTATGACAAAATTAACGGGGACCCCCTCGAGCACCATTAAATTGTCGTCGCAGGCAATTAAAACATGTTGAATGTACTGAAAAAAAGAGGGATTGGGAAATTATTAAAAATTGGCATTCGTCAGGGAAAGATTTCAATTGAATAATCTTTAAAACTGGCTACTTACGCGCTGCGCCCACAGGGGAACTATATGGTGGACAGTAATATGGTCCGTTTCCAACAGCATTGTGTTTATTTTACGCTTGCCCAGCTCCGATTCCACATGATGAACCTCCGCTTTCTGCTGACAAATGACTAAAGTGCTGCACGTGCGCATATCTTTGGCTTTAATTGTGGCCACCATAAAGTCGAGGAGAGCTTCGGGAGACCTCGGGCTAGAAAAGGTGATTGGGACCCTAAAGGCCTCAAACTGAAAGCTGGACATCTCGGTTTCATTAGCCGATGAGAATTGTTTGCAGTTTTTTGTCAAATCATCGCTTTTAGGCGACTTCTCGCCAGTTTTCTTTTCCGGAAGGGCACTTGAAAAATAAACAAAGTTGTGTTTTTGGTGGGGGCGACAGAAAAGCAACGTAAGCAATAAATAAATAATAAACAGGAACTCTTACCCGCTGCGAAGCATCTTGAAGCCTCTAAAGAACAATTGAAAAGAACTAAGGGGGAACAAAATGACGCTCCAGAATTTTCAAAATTGTTGATGGTGTGTTTTATATTGGCACGGGTATCGCTATATTATCGATAACACAAACTGAGAAATAGAAGCTGGTTTTCAAAAAAATCAGCCGCCAAAAAATTAATTTGTTTTATTGTTTGAATTTTACTATTTTTTATTTTGTATAAAAAAAAGCTCACGTCGGAAAGACGATATTTGCAGATTGCAGCAATTGGATTAAAATTTGCTCTCTAGTTTTGTTTCAATATATTATTTAGACTCACTTAAGGTTCTGAATATTATAACATTTGGGAAAGCTTCTCTTCTTTGGTAATAATACGCTTTTAAGAATATGTCAAGGTTTTTTTATTTTTAATTACATTCAGGCGATTTCCTATACGACTGTATTACTGGATATACTGGACCCAAAGAAGTCAGAGACTGAATTGTTGAACAACGTCTAAACAATCGCAAAAATCCAAGAAAACTAAGTTAATAGAGTTTCAATATCCTAATTAATTGAATTCTTGTTTCAGATGAAACAACTTGCAAATAGGAGTCGCTGAACGACTGAAAATATCGTATAAGCTAAGTTTGTATGGGAACAGTTGTTTCCGGTTGCCGATATTTTCAGTTATTAATTTTGGTCACATTGCATTGCTAAATTTAATGTATTTTAACAATTCGCATGAAATTCAACAAATTCTACACGTTTTCTAAGAATAGTTACTACTATTGGCCGAAATAAGCATTGTAAATTGTTGTTGTCAAGTTAAGAGGCGGCGACATGCTGGACAACGACACCAGTAACAACAACAACAACAACAACGGCGGTAATCCACAAAACCTGCCACTCGGCGACCTGAAGTTTTCGCTTTCTGGGCAGGATGGTGTCCGGAAATATGTGCCAGCACTGGTACGTGGTGTGAGTAACGATGTCTGGAGTAAAATATTACAGTTCGCTGTTCGCAGGACGAGCACTGGGTGCGCCGAGAGAAGCCCTTTGGCAGCTATATTTGCCTGATGAGTTCGTATGGCCGGCTGAAATCTGGAGCCGCTTTGGAAGAGTGGACCTTTGCGGCGAACAACTGTCGGCAGGACATGGAGTTCCTGCTAGGCTTAAGTCAGCACGAGTGAGTATGGGGATATCCGCTGGCATGGCTGGTTCCATTAATTGCGCCTGCTTCCTCCAGATTCTGGTCGTATATGGTTTACGATGAGTCGGCCATGGCTGCCGTTGTGACATTCCTGCAGCGCTCCAATCCCTACTACAGACAGTCAGAGCCCAGCGAGGCGGATAGCCAGGAGAGGGCAAGGGAGTTGCAATCGGCCAATGAACTTTACGGCCAGCTTCTCGATCTTGTCGTGCGTCTGGTGCTGCGCCTCTCCACATCCAAGGAGTCGGACTCGGAGTGGATCAGCCCGCAGCAGCACAGTAGCCTGTTGTACAGCAACTACCTAATTTCGGTGCCAATGATCTTTGATCTGATAATTGCCGTTGGCGATGCGGAGCCCTCGAATATGGAGCTGCTGCGCCAGATCGTTGGAAATGTGCTGCGTCTGCAGCCGGAGTACAGAAAGGACCTGAAGGAGGCGCTCCTCTTCTACGAAAGCGCCTTCCTTAGTATGCAGATTCAAGTGGAGAACGAGGGCTGTGAGGGCGCCGGCGGTGGCGCTCCATTAGATGCTGACCTGGAGACGCCCTACGACGATGTCGTGCTCTTTGCATTGGACTGTGCCTACACGCTGCGCATGCTGCTTCTTCTTTGCCCGGAGCTGGTGGAGGTCATCGAACAACTGCGACTGGTTCAAAGGTGTGTGTTAAAAGTTCTTATATGTTCTTTAACCCTGGCATCGCCTCTTTTTTTCAGCATTGCCAACTTTTATGATCTGACGGTGCCGATGCTATACAAGAACATCTACATTGTCAATCCTCTAGCCAATTCTCTTCGCTGGCTCAACGAGACTCGCCAGCAGTTCCTCTTCGACGTCCGTCGTGTGATCACAGTTCAATTGGCGGAGGGACGCGGCCAGCAACTGGTAGAACTGCTTCAGGAGTGCCTCTCGGCCCAGGCCTTTGTGGTAGACTACCAGCGGCAGTTTCCCCTGGAACATGACATGGACCTTCTACTGCAAAGGTGCCCGAATATGTAAGATATCCTTATCCAGGAAGTGATCATTTTCTGAAAAAGCATTTCAATTTCAGAAAAAACTACAAGGTCGACTTTGTGATATCCGGCTATCAAAAGGCTCTGAGTAGTTGTCCTAGCGGAATCATGGCCGATGATATGGCCAGCAATCTGGATTCCGAGCTGGACGACGACGACGAAGACGAGGAGAACTCCTCGCCCATTTCCACACTGGCCTCGCCGAATGCAAATGGAGCAACGCGGGACCTCGATTTGGAGGTGGCCGCCGTGCTGGACGTGCTGCCCGATCTAGGTATTGGTTTCATCCGTAGCCTGCTTACACGCTACGACAATAGCGAGCAGGCTATCGCCGCCATTCTGGACGACAATCTGCCGCCTGATTTGGCGCAAATGGACCGACAGAAGGAGTATATTCCGCCCGATCCGCAAGACAAGCTCCAGCGTCAGACGGGCGTCCGTCACTACAATGTCCACGATGGCGACCGCTATGATGTGCTGACGCGCGATCAGCCCGAGTGCGTAATAAAGCAGGGCAAGGGCCTGCCGGGAGCTCCGCGCAACGCGGAGCAGTTGCTGGACGACAAGCGGGATCTGGTGCAGCTGAAGCAGCGTTATCAGGAGTACGCCTTGGTGGAAGAGACTCCGCTGGAGAACGGTGAATATGATGACGAGTACGACGATAGCTACGAGGCTCTGAACGAAGGTCAAGCACCGCCGATTAGCCTCCTCCGGTCTAAGCTCCAAGCAACGGCTTCCAATTCCGCCTATGAGGCACAGGACCAGGAGGACGACGATGATGAGGGCGAGAGCAGTGTCAGCGGCTCAGACGCAGAGCCTGCGAAACGCAACGCAGCTGACTTCTGCGAGAATCCCGAGGTGACACGGGCCCGTTACCAGCAACGTCAGCTGGCAAAATACGGTCATAGGAGTAGTGGCGGAGGCGGTGGGGGTGGACAACAGGCTGGCAGCTCCGTACTGGGCGCACCCAAGGGACAGGGACAATCCCAACAGACACAGCGCAATCGTGGACAAAAGGAGGCTCACAAATCCTCGCGTGCTAATCACAATCGGAAGGCTGGAGCGGCCTTTAAGCGAAGCAAGGGTATGATGGGATAAAAAGCAAATCCAGCTGAAAGCTTAATAAAATAAATGTATTTATACGTAGAAAATGTGTACATACACTTTTTAAAATTAGGCACACTTCATTCATTTCGGGAAGGGATGTCTCAGATGGAGTAATAATATTATAACGCCAATCGATTTCTACGCTATAATTTTGGGATTTTATATGAATCTTATTCTTTATATCTTTGTCCATGCGCGACCTGTATAAACAGGAATTTGGTTGGATTATGCTAATATTTGATTGTCGAACACAAATCTTCACAGTTTATTTCACATTGGTAGTTTCTCCTTTCTTCGAAAGCAAGAACTTAATTTAAAAAAAATATATATATATATTAAGATATATGCAAGACAAACGAAAAGTTTAAATAAAAAGAAAGAGAATAAGAATAGTAAGGTAATCGAGTTTGGATTAATCACAGACCGTCTACAACTTAATCTTCAGATACTGTTGGTTCAGGCATCGCATCTTGGTGCTGTGCGAGGTGCCCCCCTCCTGATCAGTCAGCTGCTGGTATTTATCGAAAATAAAATTCTTGAACTCAGTCATTGTCGTGTCCGGGCGGATGCAGTCGTAAAGGCAGTCAGCGCTCCACGGTTCTGCGACCACCTCGAACTGGCAGTAGTGACAGCGCAGCATATCCTTGTCCATACCGAAGTCCATGAGGCCGTAGGACCCGCGACCGCACATGGAGCACACGTACTTAAAGCGGGCGTCGCAGACATCAATTAACGTTAGCTCAGTCAGCTGCTGATTTGCCTGGTAGGCCCTGCAAAATTAAGATGCATTAGCGATCTAGAATTTTGATTGATCAATAAAATCTCACCACTGGCGACAGGCCTGGCCATGTCCAGTCTCGCGGTTAAAAACAAAGGCGGCGGCATGACACATTTCGTGGAGAAGGGGTTTGATCAGCATGCGCGAATGATTGATATTCTGCCACAAGAGAAAGCGGGCCGACCGCTGGCCGGACGAGTCAATGGTCATTTCGCAGCGACAAGGTTTTCCCAGACTGCGTTGCCACACTATGTCTGGCTGCAGGGCGCAGTGGAATATGGCGTGGTTAAACATGTTGAACAGATTCTTGGCCAACGCCTGCTTGCAGCTCTCGAAGTCTCTTTTGCGATAGGGCAGCGCCTGAGGATGGCACAGTTTGAGCGATGATACGGCTGCAATTGAAATTTAAACATAAAGAACGCATAAAAGTGAAGTCTTATCTCACGGTTAAGCGAATCTACGAAGCTGTAGAGTTGAGGATCCTGCTCCAGGCAGGCGATGCAGCTCTTGTGCCGTCGACAGTTGTTTGCCCGAAACTTCTCGCTTGGCAGGTCTGTTAAATCGATCGGCTCCTGGATGTAGTCCGGCGTCTCGGTCTCTATTGTGAAGGCATTGCCCAACAGCATCGTATCGTTCAGCATCTTATGATGCGATGCATTCAATCTCGTTGGCGTTGGCTTAGGCGACGGTGGAACCTGCGGTGGCCCGGAATTGACCGGTTGTGCTGGCGCCGAGGTAATTTGAAGAAAACTGCGCGAAGGTGCCACCTCTTTTTGGGGCGGATCATCCGGCTGCAGGTGGTCCTCGGGATTGTACAGTTTGCGACGACGCGGTATCAGGCCCAGGAACTTGTGAATCTTGGTTTTCAGATCGTCATCGTCGTCCAGAACTAAATTTTCTAATGGTTCATGCATAATGGTGGCCACTGAAGGCTCTAGGTCCAAGTAGATTAGTGTACCCTCCATCTGCGAGGAGCTGCCAGTGCTGGAGTTGGTTCGGCTACTTCCGTGACTGGAGCGGCGTCGCTTGGGACTCGACCAATTCGGCTCCTCTGTTTCGTCATCCTCCGGCTGTGATGACGAGTAGTCAAATTTCTTGTCCAGGCGCATTCGCACCGCACGACCGCTGCGTGTGACAACCTTGGGACTGGACGATAAGGCTGTCATTTCTTCCATAACTAAACATAAACATAAACAGGTTATTATATCAATAAATTTACAATTGATTGGATTTAAACAGGCCATCTACGGCAAAATTTGTTAGACGAACATGTTGTCAAAATTAAATTAAATTTCACCACCAACTAGTACTAACATCTATCGCAAACATCGTTTTCTCAACATTTTTCAAGGAGTAAACATGTCAGTGGACACCGGGAGAGTAATTACCTTTATTTGAATTTAGACTCAATTTGCAGCCAAAGTATGAAGTCCTGCAAAAATTTCTTGACGTTTTAAATTCACCTTCACGTCTTTAGAGATTTTTTCACAATAATGTTCGTGACAGTATTGACATCGGTTGTCAAACATTTTGAAACGAACACAATGAAGATAATTTATGTTTTTCCCGAACACAAAATGTGGATCCGAACCCCATCACCAACGACGAAAATTTCGTCGAACACAACATGATCGTTTAACAAAATCTATCTTGGATGGCCTGCTTTATACAAAACACTTAATTATGTTAGATCTATTGAAGAACATTCAAATGGTTATGATATCGAGGGGTTTTTGCTCTTTTTAATATGCGAGCCTAGCAGAACATATGGTTTCCAAACTCCCAACTCACTTTTCTTGGCCGGAATGTTTTTGCCCAGAGAAAACGGCGATGTGCGCTTTAATCCCTGCCTTGACGCCTCCGAGCCGGCACCACCGATGGCATCGAGCTTACCTATTTAAGGTTTCGGACAGATTACTCTAAATTTGTAGGATTAACCGAGTTTGTTTCATTAACACCAAGGGTATTCGTTGCTATTACATTAAATTTAAGCCCAATATGCCAAAAACCTTATAGGCTGTAACCAGTGATTCGAAACCGGAGGAGCCTTCTCCCAACTTACGTTTTTTAGTTTCGCTGTTGTCGTCGCTGAGGGAATAAGTCGAGCGCTTTAACGCAGACTTCGACGACATCGATGACCTCGCAGTATTCATGTCGACGGCACTGGTGGTAGTACCAGGACCTATGGCAACAACGGGGTCAGAAAGCGGTGAAGTTAATCCGGCGGACCCAGCGTGTTCATCCGCCGCCTCGCTTTCGGTCTCCTCGATGGTGATGGCCAAGTTGTCGTTGCTGTCTTCCCCGCAGACGCTGTATATCAAGTCACCCGGATCTATGAAACTGATCTCGGGCGACGCATCAGAGTCCACGACAATAATACTGCTGATGTCTCCCGCGTCGTCACAACTGTCGTTCGGGGCGCTTTGGGGCATTTTGCACGGATCTTCTTGATGTGCCTGAAGTGGAACCAGTTGCAGGTAGGTGTGCGGCAATTGATCATAAATGGCAACTCACCACTAAGCACTCTGTGTCGCTGAGCTGCATGTCTCCGAAGACGTCGGTTAGGCTTCTATCCTTGCCCTTGTTGGTTGTCATTTTTGGGTTTATATTTTATAACTTTTAATGTTGTGAGTGCGGCATCATTCAACAGTAAACGAACCCAGTGTTTTAAAACGACAAGCCTACATCGGTGTTGGTTAACACCACAGTTCAGCGGGAAAAATTAAAAGCAAAAGCCTGCGAAATATGTAACGACTTTGAAAATCTATATTTTAGAAATATTTTCAAAGGAATATTATTTGAAAAGCTTAAAAAAACATAACTATGTCAAGATACCAATAATTAAAATGGAAAATTGTTTGTGCTTGTTCTTATTAACTTAGAGAATCTGCGTACTAAATCTAACACTTTAAATATTAAAATGTTGTTCATTTTACGGTCTTTTAATGAAGTAAACCCTTTTAAAATTTTTGAAAAATTTGATTTAAAATAAGAAGCAAAAAATTTGCATTCTGAATAGAGCTTACAGGAGCAGTCCCGACATAAGGGGAATTCCATCGATATCAATTAAGGCATCGGTGTTGGAAAACTTCCACAAATATCGATAGAATCTATAGTGTTCCGATGTTTTGCAGCTCCACTCTACTGACAGAGGTTTAACGTTAATCTTTTTTTTCAACAAAGTGCGTGAGAACGACAATCAAGCCGCCAAAGGATTGCCGAAAAAGCACCGCCAAAGCGTTGAGTGAGTAGCTGATGTCGCGAAACAGACCACCGGACAAGTAGAATGGCGGATAACGGCCAGTCAGCCAGCCGCGCGCGGTAAAAAGGCTAACGACAAGCCACTCACCCGCGCACACGCAGACGCACACACACAGACGCACGCATGCATGCAGGGCGCTTGCAGAAACCGAAACACAAACACAAACAATTACAGCGAACCAAAACTCATTGCCATTTTCTCTCTTGGTTTCTTCCCTCCGCATCAGCCCGGTGAGCGCCCCCAACGAACGACGCCTGTGTCTCCGGTCCCGTCTCCGTTCCCGCTTTCCCGCTCCCGACTCGCCAACACCGCTGTCACCACCTCCGTCTTAAGATGTCGGACTACAGCGACCTGGACCGCCAGATCGAGCAGCTGAAGCGCTGTGAGATCATCAAGGAGAACGAGGTAAAGGCTCTCTGCGCCAAGGCACGCGAGATACTGGTGGAGGAGGGCAACGTGCAGCGTGTAGACTCGCCGGTAACAGTCTGCGGTGATATCCACGGCCAGTTCTACGATCTGAAGGAACTGTTCAAGGTGGGCGGCGACGTACCCGAGAAGAACTATCTGTTCATGGGCGACTTTGTGGACCGCGGCTACTACAGTGTGGAGACATTCCTGCTGCTGCTGGCGCTGAAGGTGCGCTACCCGGACCGCATTACGCTGATCCGCGGTAATCACGAGTCTCGCCAGATCACGCAGGTGTACGGTTTCTATGACGAGTGTCTGCGCAAGTATGGCTCCACGGCCGTGTGGCGCTACTGCACAGAAATCTTTGACTACCTCAGCCTGTCGGCCATCATCGATGGCAAGATATTCTGCGTGCACGGCGGTCTGTCGCCGTCTATCCAGTACCTGGACCAGATTCGCAGTATCGATCGCAAGCAGGAAGTGCCGCACGACGGACCCATGTGCGACCTGTTATGGAGCGATCCGGAGGACCAGACCGGCTGGGGCGTGTCTCCGCGCGGCGCCGGCTATCTGTTCGGCTCCGACGTTGTCTCCCAGTTCAATCGTACCAATGAAATCGATATGATATGCCGCGCACACCAGCTGGTTATGGAAGGCTTTAAATGGCATTTCAACGAAACCGTCCTGACAGTCTGGTCTGCGCCCAACTACTGCTATCGGTATGTCGCCCTTTCTGCCTCTCGAGTTCCTCTCTCTCTATTATTGTTTTTAACTATCTGTTAGCTTTAGATAAATAAAATAAATAAATATATATACAAATTTCTCTTGCAGTTGCGGCAATGTGGCTGCCATCTTGGAACTGAACGAGTACCTGCATCGCGACTTTGTCATCTTCGAAGCGGCTCCGCAGGAGAGTCGAGGCATACCCTCTAAGAAGCCCCAAGCTGACTACTTCCTCTAAGACGAGCGACCGCCCACCCGCGCTCCGGGCACACCTCGCTGTTGAGACGGGTCAGCGGGAGGCACCGTTCACTGGTCCATTGTTGGCTGCCACAAATCATCAAGGAAAAATGAAACTGCCTGCCTGCCTAAGCAAACGCAAACGCGACCAGCAACTGCAAATGCAGAAAATTATTTACATAATGACATCAAGTAAGCTAGAATAGCGAACCGGAGCCTCATATACATGGACCTCATCCGTGCGCGCATGTAGGTCCAAATTTCGGGCGATTCCGTATACTTTTTTCCCCCTTTATTCACATTTACACCCCTAATACCTTGCTATACGTCAATGTTTCTCATGATTATCGTGCGTTTTACCCCTGACAGTCACTTATTTGTTTAGAGACCATCATGAAATGTGTTGTCGCAAGCTACGCATTAATATAATAAAATAATTCGTAGGATTAACCCATCCCCGCCCCGGTCGGGCGAATTCGCCTGGACAAGGCGACCCGCAAGCGGTCCCTTCTCCATGCGAATTCCCCCGATATCGGGCCACATTCTATACGTTTAGACATAGCTTTAAGTCAGTAACTAACTAAATTTAACTTGCTAAGAGGCACACTGCATGAAGTAGGCAGAGCTCCCCCAGCGAGGACGTAGGAGCCACCTTCGCTTGGGGCTAGCCTATGTGTCGAAAGTGGGTGTGTAGAAATTCGTAGAGCCTAAGAAAATGTAATTTACGACCCAGATTGGGATATTATATACAAGTAACTATATATATATATATTAAAATAAAGAGTGTAAGGATGTATCACGAAGTTCAGTCAACTCTTTCTGTATAGTAGCTGTAGATATGCCAAGATCCCATACCAGGAGGTTGCCGGGGTTAGTTACCTTCATAAGCTTAGCTTTCTCAGCGATCAAAAGACCGACTATGCTTTGTCCATTAGTAATCCATTACGATCATCTCTTGCAGTTGCTCAGGTTTATCAGTTTCTTAAAAACTAGTCATAGTTTACATATGAAAAAAATACGTAGGCTTATATTTCAGCGGTTCTGTAACGGGTCGCAGGTCGGTTTTTGTCCATGTTGCTTAGTGCTCCTGAAGCTCTAGGCCGTGCTCCTTCATCTGCTCATAGATGCAGCCCTCATAGGTCACGGCTGCCTCGCAACTGCAAATGATAACAGAAACGGTGAACATTGAGAGACACGCGAAATAAACGACAGAGGACACTACTTACTGATCCTCGGGGACCTCAAGAGCCTCGCACTTTTCCACCACCTCGGCGGGAGCATCCTCCTTCTCCGCATCGTGCTTGCTTATGGCCTTAACCATCTCGATAGCGTGCTCTTTGCTCAGCTTTCCGTCCTCAGTCATCTGTAAACGAAAGGAGATAGTGAGCTCGTACTCCTTCCCCAGTTGAAGCAGTGGCACTTACAATCTGGAACTTCTTCATCACGCAGGCGCGCAGGCACTTGGCCTCGTGCCTCTCGGGCTCATCGTGCTTCATCATCTCCTCTACATCCTCTGTAATGAATTTTTAATTAGTGATTGGTGATTAATGATCAGGCGAGATTACTTACCATCAGTGGCTCCCGTTTCCGCCTTGCATTCGTTGGCCAGCTCCGTGGCATGGTCCTTGGTCATTTCCTCGTGCGGCTTGGCAGAGCCGGCTCTCAGGCACATAAGCACCAGCACCAGCAGAGCAGTTAGGTTAACCAGACGCGACATTTCCAAGCAGCGTTCGAACTTCGATTTGGATGCGAAATGCTGGCATCCACCACGTTATATAGGTGGAGCCAAGGCAAGCCAAGTCCCGTGATTGATTCGGCAGATCCATCTACGATCTCGAGATCTCCGGTACATTGCGTCTCAAGCAGCTCCCGCAATTACTCGCCATTATCGGCTGGGAAAGTGGCTGAACTACATGGGCAGCACATGACACTCTAATGCTCTGGACGAGATCCGCCGGAGATGCCCCTGGCTGGGTATCGTGTGAACAACTGACACTTGACTCCGTGAGGAAGAGAGACGGTGGGAGATGGGAGATGACCCACCGATCACCAATTACCGACTTAATTGGTGACTGGCATGAAATCTGAATTGGAATGGGAAATGGAAATGAAAATGCAAAATCTTTTCCATATGCAATTAAATCGATCAACGGCTCCCGGTATTCGGGGTTTGCGGTGTGAGATGAGTGATTTGCCAGCAATTATCAATGTGTTCCCAGCCCATTTGATCCACTTGGAGGGTTGCTCTCGGACAGCCAACGAGGCGAACTGACCGTTTAGCCCGTAAAATACCCCTGATCACCGTCACCTATTCGTCTCCGGCTTGGATAACTTGCCTGTTCGCAGCATGTACTCCCAGCAAGTCTGTTTACCTTGTCAACTCCACAGCTAGTTGGAATTGGGATGCACGCAATGTGCATCCAAACTAGAAATGGGTGGGAATCAAAGGGGGAGAAAACTGGCCTGACACTGTCTTATATTTTGTAGATTATAAATAATGTTATTATTATTTTTATAAACCTAGAGATATATATCTCCATATGGATCATCCAAATTGGGCTGCCTTCACTGCCATATGCCCTTTAAGATCACTTCTATTTCGATTTTCAATTACCTAGAGTGTGAACTTTCGGCATGGCTGTTTTGTGCTTCTCGTATAGCGTCTTCGGTGCGTGACTTGTGGGGGCGACAACGCTGAGCATGAACTCGATACTCGAAAATTGGCTGCGTCAGCGGAATAAATGCAATGGAGGGCAGTTGCACAAGATGTTAAGGTCACGGGTCACAGCACTATATAAGCTAAGAGCCAAGAGCCAAGAACCAGACCCAGAGCCGAAGTTAGTGCAGAATTAAGCTCATCCCAAGATGAAAGCATTCACTCCAATCATCACCATCTTGGCCGGCATCCTTATCCTGCAACTGATTCCCAGCATCGAGGGCCAGAACCAAGCCTTCGACCTGGCTAAGCTGATCCCGAAGAGCGGCTCGGAACCCATCTGGACTGTGATCAATCGGAATCTGCCGCAGGTGCAGGAAATGATCAATGCGGCCCGCAAGGAGTGCATCCAGCAGCTGGGGCTGCCCAAGGATCAGCGACCGCTAATGCACGTGGCCAACCCCACCGCCAAGGAAAAGTGTCTGGTTGAGTGTGTGCTGAAAAAGATCAAGCTGGTGAGTGGCAGAAACTAGAAGTAAATCAGAGCTAATATCTAATATGTAACCTCTAACCCTTGAACTCCAGATGGACGGAAACAACAAGCTCAACGTAGGCCAGGTGGAGAAGCTGACCAGTTTGGTGACCCAGGACAACAAGGTCGCCATCGCTCTAAGCTGTGGCATGGCCCAGACCTGTAACAGGGTTATTAATGCCAAGGATTCCTGCGAGGCCGCCCATCTGTTTAATCAGTGCATCGGCCGCCAGCTGGACCGCAACAGCGTGAAGCTGGTCTGGTAGAGAATTGTACGGGATGTAATGGGGTAACACATATGACCCAAAGAGGTCAGGCCTTGAACTATATTTAACATATTTTGAAACTAGACCATATAATCTTAATGATGATGCCTCTAACTTAACTGACCAGAACTTAGAGGATTTGCACGATTAATTATAAACTATATAAATAAACTTACTTATTATATATTATATATGTGCATTTTAATGTATTTAAATAATAATTTTAATTAATAACAAAGGGTTTAATAATGGACAATTCTTTAGGCTACGTTAAACCATTCTCTTAGGCCTTAATGACCAGTTTTTTTAGTCCACTTTTAAGAATCGTAAAATTTGAGGTCGTTTTCATATTCTTTAGGCCTTCCATTTTTCTGGATTTACCTTTAACCCGATAAAACTTGTAAACCACAATTACACTTCTCGGTCTGGGCACTTTATTTGTTTTGGGAACCACACGATGCCCTGAAGCCGTCTCTTCTTAAATTGAAATCTATCACACACACAAAAAAAAAAATTAAATGGAGAACAGGCGCATGTGGGAACGGGAGGAGATCAACTCTGTGATCTCGCTACTCCTTTATTTCCGGAACCTTGAAGCCGGAGGCGCGCATATCCTTCAGCATACACATGGAGATCCCATGGGCGGCATCGCACCTAAATCGAGGAAATAAATGGGTTATTCACTGGAACTGGAAACTCCTTAAAGGATACGTTCCCTGAGAAACTATTGTAAAAATGAATGAGGGAGAGAGGCAGCATGAATACTACTATAAGTGTATCCGCCTTAAGATGTGATGAATATCCATTAAGCTGTGTCAGGGGGCCAGGAGGAGCACCAGGTATGGTAAAAGTTATCATACATTCTCTACTCACTTGTCGGTCTCCGCCTTGAAACGATCATTGCAGGTCTTGATGATGCGCCGGGAATCCTCCTCGTTGTCGGGGAACATCATGTTCATCATCTCGACGGTCTTGTCTTCGTTGAACTGCAACTGGCCCTCGGGCATCAGCTCGAACTGTTCCAGCATGCAGTGGCGGAAGCACTTGGACTCCCTCTTGGCATCCTCCTTGTTCAGCACCATTTCCACAATGTGTTCTAGACAGGTCAACCGCATGGAAATGGTGATAACGAATCCCAGCTTGAATGCCAGCCACTTACCCTTTTCTGGCACAGGATTACAGCCCTCGCCGAAGGGCTGAATCAGCTCCACTACTTCGTCCAGGGTCATGGTAAGCTCCTCGTCCGCCACCGTCGATCCCAGAAATATCCCGGCGCAGGCCAACACCAGTACGGGCAGGAGTTGGTTCGTCATCCGCTTGCTCTGCATCATTATCGCTTGTATTGTGGAAAGTGGAGGACCATTGAACACCGTTGGACGCTTTATACCCGCCACAGCCGTGTCCGGCATCCGGTACATCCGGTACATGCCCAACGCTCCGCTTGTAGATCTCTGCTGTCCGATAGCCATGACATTGCTGAAGTAGATCATGCAACCGTCCAACGCCACCCAATCACAAAAATGCACCACCATTAGCTGGGCCCTGTAAGGCTAACCTTTATTGGTTGGGCTTGCCCGGAAATGGAGTTGGGGCTCTGAGCATGTGTCCACGACAATCAATGGAATGCAACATCCCTCTTTAGGGGAAGACGAACACCTTGATGTTGCTCTTCAGGCAGGAGAGCAGCGCCTGGGCGGGATCGCAGTTGGGCGCGTTTTTCAGGCCCACGGTGGAGTCCTTGCACAGATGGATGCCCTTGCGGTACTCGTCCTTGTAGCTGTCCGGTAGCATTATTTCCATCTGCTTGAGGGTTGCATCCAGCTGAAACTTGCCTTTTTTGATCTGATTTAGTAGCAAGGAAGGGAAATAGGGAATAAAAACCATAAGCAGAACAATGCCCAAGCCTACGTACCGACTGCATCATCTCCAGGATGCAATTGATGTAGCAATTGCTGTCTTTACCGTAGGGTATATTCCCCACCTGGATGGCATCGGCAACTTCCACAGTAACCTTCGGGTACTTGGGCAGGCAGACGTCGCGAATCAGCTTGCCAGCGGATCGCATTTGCTCCTCCGTCACCTGGAAGTGTAAGGGAATTCCCCTTGTAGCCATTAGTGGGTATACGATTAAAGGACCTACCCCAGCATGGGAGATGTCGAGGAGTATGGCGCAAATCACCAGGAGCAGCAGCAGATGAAGCTTCATTTCCGAAACGACAACACTGAAGGAGAAATCTCCTTTTATATCTGGCCGATGACAACATGCAAATAATTTGGATCTTGGACGGCACTAATGGCATATGTGGGATCAAACAGGGTTGGGTATGTGGGCATAGGAATTACGGGTCAGTGCGAATTGATGCCGCCCATCTCATTTCCATATCTTGGTCGGAGGTGGGCCCGTTACGGGCTCTATAATCTTCTCACGTTAATTGGCAGTCCAGTCAGTCCGGTGTTGGGTCACCCCGTCGCAATGGGGCACGCGATTCCAGATTGCGTAGCCCGTTTGACAGCGGAGATGCGTTGACAGTCGTACATCGAATCGAAGTTTTGAAGTCTGAGATCTGAGGGGGCGGCACCCACTATTCCAATTACAAAGGAAGCTGGATGATATACTAATGGTTTTATACACTTAGTGGAGTTACTTATGGGAGCTACCTATCCTCGTATGGCTTGAGGGTTCTTGCTGTCCTTGAAATCAACTTTCTAACAAACCGTTTGATCAACTCGTCTGGGGATTATTTCGATGCCTCCCAACCAAGACCATATCGATCATATACCACAAAAGTATTATCTGTAGTAAGTGTTACGATACCTTTTTTGCAACCAGGTTGCCTCTCAGCTCGACAAACTTCAGGTGAATATTAGAGGACTCAGTCTAGGTCAGGGCATCATAACTAATAAATACAATTGAATATCATTTGTAGTAAGTAGCAATATTAGGGGGACTTTAAGTGAGGGTCTTGCTCCCTCCGAGCATCATACTTCGGATCCCAGTAGGCCTGGCCATTGCCGTTCCGTTCCCATCTCTGCCATTCACATACGACCCAGGCCCGCCCAGAGACAGCACACGCACACACAGCAGCTCGCAACCGGATTCCAAATCAGTTCCCAGACCCCGACAATGGCCGAAGGCTTCAAAAAATACTTCAACGGTACCACCATCAGCGGCCGCGCCAACGTAAGCCAATTCCTTATTTATCTCCCATAATTCCCTTTTGGTACATGTTTAAGGAATATTGTTCATGCTATATCCTCCTGTCCACCTCCTCCAGGTGGCCAAGGCCACGTATGCCACGTTGGCTCTGCTATTCATCTTGTATCGCATGCGCCGCGGGTCGAGTAAGCAGTCCCAGCTAGCTAGCGATACCTGCAGCTGCGATGCAGAGGCAGATCCGATGCCCCACGGTGATACTGGCATCTATGGCACCGATCCCGACTGCTCCGTGTGCCGGGATCGATCTGAGCGGGCAATGAGCGAGTATGATCGTGAGCAACGGCGAAAGGCGGCGGCCGAGGATAATGGGTGTCGCGACGATCCGCCGCCACCACCGCCATCCAATGGCGGAGCAGGCTCTAGCAAGCCGCGGGCCAAGTGCCCCTGCGAGGACTCTCAGAAACGAGTGAACAGCGCCTTAAAGAACAATAGCAACAGCAGCCACAGTAAGGCGTGGAGTCATCAGCTACAGCCCCCGAACCAGTATCGGCAGCATTTCCAGCAGCAAAGCGCACCCACACCATCGGAGCAGGAAAATCCGGTCGGCGAGCTGATCGGGCAGGTGCACGATGCTGTCTCCCGAGTGGTGCGAGGCGTCGTTGGCGCTGTGCTGGGCGGTGCGGCGGTCAGCACCACCGGCAGCAGCAGTGTGGGCGAGGCCCAATCCCAGTCCTACTACGAACAGGACGAGGACGAAGAGGAGGACGAGGAGGAGGAGGAGTGGGATGACGGTCAGGCGTATGGATCCCGCAATAATCCGCTCTTCTGCACGCCCACTTCCAACAACAATGGCACGTCGAGGCCAACGGAGGAGACCGCGACGGATAGTTACAATGCCTTCAGTGATGGCTTCGCCTCAGATATGTTCTTTACCAGCGACGCGAAGTGAGCGACGGTTAGCCAGGGCTATTCCGGGTCTATGAGGGCGCCTGGAGTGGGATCTAAATTTATGGTTATCTTAATAAATTTGTCAAAAGGCCCATCTATCTCGGCATTTCATGTCTTTAGAGTGTAATGGGAATGCTACAAAAATCTCCAGGATTTTGAAATCTCGCAAGAAGGTGCTAGAAAATGTTACAAGTTTAAGGAAAGGACATAAATTAACACAGAATTGGTTGCATCAAAGATATTATAGCTTTCTCTCAAGACAGCTTTTTTTGGGATTTCAAATTCCTAAGGATCTCTGGAATGTGTACATATGTATACATATATGTATATTTCTTTTAATATATCCCTGGTGATTTCATAATATTTTGCATTTTATTTAGCTTCAGTTTAGTTTAAATAGAGTTCTGGCGGCGCCTTGCCTAAGTTTTGAATTGTGATCATCATTAGCAACGAGTTCTCAAGGGCTGGCTGGTTTACTTGATTGCTAAGCAGCGCCCTTGAGTTTTAGTTAGAACTATTAATATCAATTGTCTCGCTTTTTGGGAGGCGGGATGGATGGAATGGGAATGGCTTGTTGGATTGTGTGGTTTGCGTGGATTGCGTCTAGGGGTTACAGTTATAAGTGGGCTTCAACTAACATTTATATTTATCTTTATGCTTATGTTTATCTTTAAATTTATGCGTAATATGTATATATAATATAATATATTATGGAAATAACTTTAACGCTTTGCTTTTTGGTTTCATTACGCGATCAACATGTGTGTATCTATCGCTCTCTTCTCCCCCTACTCAACTCTATATCGCTGTCCTGCTCAGTGTCATGTGTGCTAGTTTAAAATATATATGTTTCTACGTGTATATGTGTGTAAGTGTGGGTTTAACTTGAATGCTTTGCTATTCTAGGTCCTAGATTGGGTGAGGATCATAAACTGCTGGGAGATTCGCCGGTTGACAGGGTCCACGTTCGGCATGGAACCCATTTGTTCGGTTCAGCTATATCGGATAGGTTGGTTGGTTGGTTGGTTGGTTGGTTGGTTTGGTTGGATTCTGGACATGACTGACTGTGCAGTCTAGCCCTCATGGCTGGCCACCGACTCTAGGTCGCTGTTGTCCTCGCTGCCGGTTGCCTCGGTGGGTTCGCCCATGGCCACGCGTGCATACTCGTCCGTGTCGATGCTCTTGCAAAAATGTATGGCATACTTAAGCTTTTCTAGGAGCACGGCCTGAAAAAAATTAATCAAGTACTTGTTATGGTTGCGCTTGCTATTGTGTCCTGTGACACTCATACCTTGCACGAGTAGCGCGGCATCTTAAGCAGAAAGAAGCACGTATAGCTCTCGGGCAAAAAATGGTCAGGCGGATTTTTCTCCAGCACCTGCAGCACAAAGTCCCGGCCCCGGAAGTCGGCAATGGTGCGCGGCAGACGGGTGCGGCCCCAAACGAAGCGCAGGAATAGAGAGCGCTCCTGCAAGGTATCAATAGTTTAATAACACATTATATTGTAAGTTTTATAAGAAAAGACACCCACCTGATTGGTAAACTCCTCCATCACCTCCCAGAACCAGGTGACCAGGGCCGAGCTCGGATCGAAGCCCTTGTAGGTGGCCACCGATTTAAGCAGACCCAGTGGAATGTCCGGAGAGCCGCAGACCATTGCCTGCAACTCTGCGGCGGAGAACAGAGAGAGCAAAGGCACTGGTATCACCTTGGACATGCCATCACGCACCGCCTTCACCTGCTCGTCGAACTCGTGCAGCCGAAAGCCGAGGGCCAGGCGAACGTACTCTGAACGGTTTCTGGGTGAGATGTGCGTATAGCGCGTGGATAGCGGCACCTCGTGACCCCTGGCCGAAGACGTTGAGAATGGCAGTTCCAGTGTGTTAAACAACTTCGGGTCGTCGTCCATATTGCGGATGCACAGCAGCCCGGCAACATAGTCGCGGTCCACCTCGGTGAGGTCCGTGGGACGTAAGACCTCGCCGGTTAACTGCCGCCAGACGGGCTCCGCCAAACTGAAAGAGAAAGAGACAAAGTTAGTTTAATGCTTTAATTAAATGAAGATCAATCGCTTTTTGAAATTGCAATGAATTCAATTAGTTAAACAAATAAACAAAATAAATAGGTAAATTATTAAAAATATATACTAATCTATACAATGTAGCCTCGTTGATCTAGACAATCCCCTTGTCGTTCTCACTGTTGTTTGTTTTTAATTGAAACTATTTAATTAAGCTACAAACATACATATAATTTCACGGGAGGAGCTTTATTACTAACGAAACTAGATTAGTGTGTCACCAAGCTAAGTAAACTATAGTTAATTATTTTTTGAAACTGGTTATCAACTTGAATTTCTATAATAAGTTCAAAAGCTAGATACTACAATAGGTTGCATGTTTGAATTATTACAGGTGTCCTCAACATTTCTCAATCAATATTAACTTCGGAAATATAGGAAATGGAAAAATCGTGTAAAACGTATCCAATTAGTACTCACTTGATGCTAAGCGGTGATCCAGTGCGCACCGCAATGCCCATGAGCACGCCCAGAAAGCGGAACATGTTCATTTGCAGCACCGAGCCCAAAGTGGGGTCCAGCAGGAAGCAGTCACGATTAGCACCGGCTTCACCTCGTCCATTTGGCGTGCTGATCAACAGCGGCACGCTGCCATTCTGCAACTCATCGCACATCTCGGCTATGGATTCGCTGTAGCCGCCGCCACAGTCATCCACGCTTTCCCCGACAAACTTGACCTTCCAGACGCGATGCGGTAGGGCTAGCGCCTCCTGGGTAAGCAGCGGCAACTTCTGCACCATCTGTCCGAACACGCTCTTCATCCCGTCTACGCCGGCTAGGCCATTGCAGCGGCTCCGCGAGCGCTTCACCTGGATGCGGTTCAGCTCAATGACAGGTCCGTGCTGCTTGTCCCGCACCATGGTTGTCTGGATGACTTTGCGGAAGGCCGCCTCCTTGATATTGTAGACGAGGACATCCTTGAGAGCACCCAGACTTAGATCGCCGGCAATGGGTAGCATGGCCAGGCATGGGCACAGCAGCTCCGAGAAGTGATGCAGCAGGATGAGGCGGGCATGGAGAGCCTCCGGGGCCAAATCGCGTACCAGGTCGTACTCCAGCGGGGGATTGGGCAGCGGACGCAGCCGCTCGCTCAGCTGGGATGTGGACAGAGCCAGCGTGTGGGCCGATCCGCAGGTGACCTTTACGATGTGCTTGCCCTGGAGGGCGGCCACGAGGCGTGGACGTTGGATTGCCGTGACAGTGCCGTCGCCCAGCTGTCCCTCGTCGTTGTCGCCCCAGGTGTAGACCTCTCCTGAGTCACTACAGGCGACGCAGTGCAGCGATCCAGTGGCAATCGAGATGATCTTTTTTCCCTGCAGTGCAGCCACCTTCTTGGGCCGCCGCACATGGTCTACGGATCCGTGGCCCAGACGATGAAAGTCACCTTTGCCCCAGGTGTACACAGCTCCGGACTTGGTCAAGGCCACGGAGAACTGTGATCCGCACTCCACCTTGACCACTCCGAGACCGGCCAGGCTCTCAATTTTGTAGGGCAGCTTGCAGCCGTCGCTCCCGCCGCGTCCCAGCTTGCCGTAGTCACCGTCGCCCCAGCTCCACACGTTGTCGTCGTCAGTGATGCACAGCGTCTGCGCATCTCCGGATCCGCAGGCAATGTCGATTGCCCGATACCCGAGCAAGGCCTCCACCAGCTTCGGGCGCAGTTGATCCTCGGAGTCACCATGTCCGAGTCGCCCGTACCGGCCCTTGCCCCAGGTCAGAACATGGCCGCTGGCTGTTATGGCCGCTGAGTGGGCGCTGCCGCAGGCAATGTCCGCCACGCTCATCCCGTTCAGATGTTCCACCAGCTTCGGTCGGTCGTAGCTCATCCGGTTGCCATGTCCCAGCTTGCCGTCTTCGCCTTCGCCCCAGGCATACACCTCGCCCTCGGTGGTCAGCGCCAGGCAGTGCTTGCCACCGGAGTTTACGGCCACCTTCTTGACGAACACGTGCTGCAGGGAGCCCAGGAGCGTAGGTATGGCCCAGCTATCACTGCCGCCGACGCCCAGTCTCCCGCCAGATCCGTAGCCGGTGGCGAAGAGCTTGCCATCGGGTGTGACGGCGAACAGAGACTGCTCTCCGCCGGCCAATTGGACGGGGCGCAGCAGGCTGAGTGCTTCACACGGCGTGGGTGTCTTAATTCTCGATCCCTCGAGGCCGCCCAGCTGTCCACGATGGTTGTGGCCCCAGCCGTAGATGGTGCTGGCTCCGCCCCAGCTCAGGGCCCAGTCGTCGGGCCGCCGGTTGAGCCACTGCAGCAGTTGGGCGTCGTGCGGTGCCTGGAAAAGTGAGTGGTCCTCGTGCAGCAGGGTGCTGCTGGAGTCTAGCTGATGGATGGGGCAGTGCAGATCCAGATGCTCGCTACGCTCGGTTCCCGGTGGAGGTGACACATTGCTGGCCGTGCTTGACGACAGCGAGGTGGTGGAGTTTAGCATGGAGGCGCCGGGGGATTGGCCGCCGGTATTGGACATCGCACTGCAATGGGAGCTCGAGTTGGGCAGCATCTCGGCGAACTTCTTACGCACCTCTAGGCAGAAGGCGCGTGGCAACTCGGTGCGCCGAATTAGGGACTGGGCCACCCGCACGGCGATGCAGTAGCGCTTAAACCAGGCCCACTTATGGACGTCGCTGGTGGAGGAGGCGGAGGAACTGACGGCGGCCGCAGAAGATGACATCGTTGAGCCGGCCGGAAGCGAGGCGTCCAGCTGCATGTCGCAGGCCAGCGCGGCCAGTGTCTTGAAGTAATCCGAGTGCATCAGATGGATTCCGCCTCGTACCTGTGGCTCTTCATACTCGTACTGCCGAAGCAGCTCCGGTATCAGCGGCTGGAGAAGCGTGGCAAGCGCGGGATCCTGTGGACGGGGCGCCTGCTCCAAGAGCAGAACGGCATGTAGCTTGCGCAGCGACCAGATCCTCTGAGCCGTGGTGAGCGCACCCAACTGGGAGCACGCGGCCAGGGCGGAGGCCAGGCGTAGCAGAACACCTGACTGGCGGGGGGCCAGCCTCGAATCCAGCAAGGACATGACCAGCGACATAGACGGCTGCGAGAGCACCGCCCGGTCCGAGCCGCTCTCGCTCAGCGTAGCCGCCGGCATGATGGCGTGCACCCAGAAGCGCCAGCCCCATCCATTGACTGAACTGTCCGAGGAGAACTTCCAGCGTAGCTCGTCGCCCGGCACGCGGATCTCGGGAGCCCAGTGTGCGAACTCTCGACCCGAGCGCATGGCCAGCACACGGCCGGTACCGTCCATGATTACCAGCGGATCGTTGCGTTTCTCCGTGCTGCACTGGCTGTCGAACTCCAGGCGCAGCATTTCTGCGCCGGGGATGCGCACCACGCCGGTCACGTTCACATTGTCCACATAGGGGTGGCTGCTTTCTTGCATCACCGGCTTGGGCAACTTGCCGAGACAGTGACGCGACGTGCACAGATCCTCCAGCTCCGTAATGCAGGTCTCCAGCAGCATGGCGGCCACTGGTGGCGCTCCGGCACCCAGCGAGATCAGGGTCTCGGCAATGGTTTGAGCCGTGCTCGGCGGTCCACAGCGTCCGCAGACCGCCAACTTGAGCAGCTCCACCAGACTTTTGGCCTCCGGCTCGCCGAGTAGGCCTCCGAAGTCTTCCAGTCCATGACAATGTCCAATCTGAGCCAGCATTTCTTCCTGCTGCGTCATGGTGGCTGCCATTACAGACATGGCGCTGGCTGACATCCGGGAATGCTTGTGCTGGGGCAGGGCACTGCTAGACAGCGAACCCGACATGGACAGCGACCCGGTGAGGCTTTGAAAGGCGCTTAGTGGCCCGGCAGTGAGCGGCGGCAGTGTGGCAGCTCCTCCGGCTATGGCGTTGGCTCCACCGGCTCCGCCTGCTGTTAGCGCCTCCAAGGGCGCGTCAGGGCTGTGTTCCTGAAGAGCTGCATCCGAAGCGTCTGCAGGAGCCTCTCCTCCTCCTTGGGCAATAGTCTCGGCCGTTTGCAGGGGCACTCCTCCCATGGGCGCTCCTCCTCCTGTCAGCTGCTCCTCCTCACCGCCACCGCTGCCACTAGCCACGTTGCGTTCCTTATAGTTAACCTTGCTGTGGCTGGTGAGAGCTGCCACGATAAGCTGGCGGGCCTGCAGAATGCTCATGGCGCGCAGCACATGGCCCAGGGCTGCCTGTCTGGCCGCCGGCGTCTCCAGGGCCAGGCTCTCGCTCAGGCTGGTCAAATTAATGGGTTTCGGGTCGGGCTTGAGCAAGGCCTGCTGCACGGTCTCCGCCTCGTAAATTCCCAGGCTACTGCCGCCGAGCGGATCGCGTGTACTGCCGAATGGCACGGGTCCGCGCTTCTCCTCGTCCAGCGAAGCATTGGGAAGACCCCAGGCAATGGAGTGCGAGCTGCCGCAGGCCACGCGGTTCACGAAAACGGCATCCAGGCCGATGACCAAAGCGGGCTTCTTGTTGACGAAGGTATTGCCGCTGCCCTGCTGGCCGTGGTCGTTGTCTCCCCAGGCGTACACCTGGCCGGCATCCGTGACGGCCAAACAATGCAGAGCGCCCACGGCCACGTGGATGACGCGCCTGCCACGCAGGCCGCCGATGGGCTGCGGCTTGCGCACATGCTGGTCCCCGCCGTGGCCTAGGCGGTAGTAGTCGCCCTTGCCCCAGGTCCACACCTCGCCGGCCCGCGTCAAGGCCAGGCTAAACTGGGCACCGCACTCGATCTGGACTACTCCGATGCCCGACAGCCGTTCGATCTCGTGTGGTGTGTCCGATCCATCGCTGCCGCCGCGTCCCAGCTTCCCGAAGTCACCGTCACCCCAGGAGAAGACGGCTCCATCCTCGGTGAGGGCCAGGGTCTGGGCATCCCGACTGCCGCAGGCTACCTGTATGACTCTGCGGCCCGTGAGGGCGGCAACCAGTTTGGGCTTTAACTGCGTGGCATTGTCGCCGTGTCCCAGACGTCCGTACTCACCCAGGCCCCAGGTATAGAGTTCTCCCTGGCTGCTGATGGCTGCCGAGTGCGATGATCCGCAGGCCACGTCACGGATCTTCTTGGCGCGCAGCGCCTCCACTAGCCGGGGCTTGTCCAACGTCGTCCGATTTCCGTGGCCCAACTTGCCGTCCTCGCCCTCGCCCCACGAGAACACCTTGCCGTCCAGGGTAAGGGCGAGGGCGTGCTTGCCGCCGGAGTGGACGGCCACCTTCTTCACCACGTACTGGTGCAGCACGGGCAGCTGGTGGGGCAGCGGCACATTGTGGGTGACCCCGAGGCCTAGGCGTCCGTTGGTTCCCTCGCCGCATGCGTACACCTTGCCGTCCTGGCTCACGATGAACAGGCTCTTGGAGCCGCCGGCAATGTGAATCGGACGTAGTCGGCTGATGGTCTGTGAGAATGTAGGCACCTTTACTTTGGAGCCCTTTAGGCCGCCAAGCTGTTCCTTATCGTTGAGGCCCCACACCATGACGGTGCAGGGTAGATCCTGCTCCGGTCCTGCACTGGCCTCGCCATGCTGAGAGGTGCTCACAGCTCCCAATCCGGCTGCAGCGACTCCAGGTCCAACGCTGGCGCTATACTCGCTGGCCAGGAATTGTGCGTTTGCCAGGATGTGATACAGATCGGGCTGCTGGCGGCGGCCGATGAACTGGATGCCGTGGATTTTGCACTGGATACCGTTGTTCTGGCACTGCTTGACCACCACCTCTACCCACGGATAGTAGGTGGGTACCTGTTGCATAAGCACTACTTGGCTAGCTCCAGCCGGCACCGGGATCCAGGTGTACTCCTTTAGGCTGTCCACGCACTCACCCACACGGATCTCTAGTAGCGACGGCATGTGCGAGTGGTCCTCGGGACTGACCTTTAGGGTCAAGCTGTGCACCAGGATGCGGTCGTGGAGCTCGAGTCGGATCCAGTGGCGACAGGGTCCGCTCGAGCAGCTCTGCCAGGGCTGTCCGCTGCCGTCCAGCAGATGCTTGGCCGCCGCCTCGTTGGAACTAACAGTAAGTGAGCGGATGCAACGCGACCAGTCCTCGATGAGATCGCTGGGCGCAGCCTGGTTGCCGGCGTCCGGGGCCAGGGGAGCAGACATCGCGTCGGCGGTTGAGTTGGTCACCAGCGGTGCTACTAGCTCCACCTCGTTGATGTGGCCCTGCCAAGCGGGCATGCCCGGGAAGTCCACGGTGAGTTGTTTGCCTCGTATAGAGGTCACCACACCCACAGACGACGACGACGACGTTGAGGACGACGATGAAGAGCCCGTCGTTGATGATGCCTCGTTCCTGGCTAGGCGCATCTGTCCGAGCAGGGCGAAGCGCAGGGAAGAGGTGCAGAGCCGTACCCGGGCTCCCACGACGATAGGCGGTGGACGGGGCTGGTGCTGCGTCTGCGCCGCCTCGACCAGTTCGATGTGAACGAAGCAGACCCAGTAGGTGCTGCCGTGGTTGCGCCAGTCCACCTGCACGTTGAGGTCGTGCAGGCCCTCGGTGTCTACGATGAGCACAGTGCCCATGTCGCCCTGCTTGATCTCCTCGAAGTCGCGGCAACAGCGAACCGTCATCCCGGGACGCACCAGTCCGCGAACGTACAAAGCGTATAAATCCGCCGTTTGGAAGTCCTTGCGAGACTCAAATCTTACCGGTGCCGATACCACAGCTCTAGGTCCGGTCGCTGCCACTGGCTGTCCCTCCACCGTATCGGAGGACGAGGAGGAGGATGAGGAGGAAGTTGTCGAGTTTGAGCTGGGACATTCGTTGTCTGAGTCCGCTTCCGGGTCGTGGGACGACCCAGTTGAAGTCGGGGCCAAGGCCAGTGAGTCCTCCTCTATGGTGTTAGCACACACGTCCGGGTGCTCTAGAATCCATTGGACGATCTGCTCGGGCGTGGGCATGATTTCCGCCTGTAGCGACAGCTGCTTAAGAGCCAGCTCAACGGTGCGTCGCGTGAAGCCCATCTCCATGATCTGGCCGATAAGCTGAGCATCGGTGGCCGCGGCTGGCCACTTGGTGGCCTTCTGCTCCGCCTGCTGTTGATCTGGAGGCAGTAGTGGCTTCTGCTCCCTCTTGGCCACGTTGTAGACCGGCACGCCGTGCACCATGGTCGGTTGCGGGGACGGTACCAGAGCCTGGGCATTCGTCGAGGCACTGCCGCCGACACCGTCGATAACGTCGCTTAACTCCTGGTGCGCCTGTGTAGCCAGCGATTGGATGCAGTTGAGGGCAGCGGTAGCCAGGTCTGTGTAGCTGTAGCACGCCTTCACGGGAGAGGCCTGCGTGGCCCTTAGCAGGATGCACTGGATCAGAAGCTGCGTCTCCTGCGCGCTCCCGCCACTGCCAGTGGATAGCTGATGATCCTGATCCTGCTCTTGTTCCTGCTCCTGCTCCATCTCCTGCTGCGACTCCGGATTACATTTGTCGGGGTCCGACTCCTCGGCCGATGTGTAGATGCTGCCAGGCGCCCGCTGCTTGAGAATGCGGCGCAAGGCAGCCTGGTGTCGATACAGGACACCATTCGTCTGGAGCACCGCTATCTGCAGCTGCTGGGCACGGAGCAGGGCCAGATCCAGGCGGCCTTCTGCGCTGGCGGGCAGCTCGCGGAGCTCCGATGCTGGTCCGTAAAGCAGCACCGTCCAGGCATTCAGCAGCATCTCGTTCATCGGCAGCCGACTCAGGCTGAACACACTGTGGTCCAGATGCGGCATGATTGCCGTTAGCGGCACCTTCACGAATCCTGAGCCGGAGCCCACGCCTCCGGGGGCCAGGAGACAGCGACCCTTGGGAGTGAAGCTGGCAATAACCATATGACTGCCCTCGTGGAAGCAGTGCAGTCCCACACGCGGACGCAAATCGTGGCCACCCATGGCGCCTAGGACGCCAAGCACGAAGACCTGCTCGCTGTCTAGCGATATGGAGTGCGACGGCAATTGTTCCGCCAACAGCTCGGCGGCCACGCATAGCTTTTGTGCAAGAAATGAGTTGATTACCGGATTCCAGACTGGCAGCGTGTGGAGGCGCCGGAGCAGCGCGACCAGCTCCTCAGCCACGCTGCCCGAGTGGGAGGCGGTGAGGAGGACGCGCGCCTTACCTTCGCTCGTCGGCTGCAGGCTTGCATCCCCAGGGCAATGGAGGGCAATGCGTCCCAAGGTGGCGAAGAGCTGGCGCACTAGTGTAGGCATCCTGGGCTCCTCCTCCGAGCCCCACTGCGCAAGAATAAATTGCAGCAGGCGCAGGCAGTGCAGCTGTCGGTAGACACCGGCCTCGTTGCCCGCCGGCACCTCCAGCAGTGATAGGTAGTGACTTAGCCAACCGGAGGTGCTCAGTTCGAGGCAGAGGCGTGGACAGTCGCCTGGAAATAGATTTAAGGATAATACTCTCACCTTGGGATGGGATGGAATACTTTTAAGAACACACTTACCGGCAATGGCTCGAATAAAGCCTAGGTTCAGCCAGCCCAGGGAGTGAGAAACGTTGGACATGTCTGGCTTGGGATCGATAATGGCTCGGAACATGCTCGTCATTCCACGCAGCGCATGCTTGTCTAGCTGAGCGCCGTGCAGACCGCTGCCCACGGCCAGTATCTGCAGCAGCTTGGCGGCACAGTGGCGCAGCAGCTTGGAGGGATGCGAGTCGCTGCTTGGCGAAGCCTCACCTCCCGCTAGATGCTCCTCCCGTTCCGGTTCCGTGGGCGAAGCCACGTTCATGGCACTGTCGGCCAGCTGCAGGTCATACTGACCCTCCTTGCCCATGCGGTAAGAGTTGGTGGCACCAGTGTACCACTCCACGCGCACCCAGCTGCAAAAAATATACAGTTAATCAGTAATTATTTACGGGATAGAGAGATCAAGCTGGCTTACCCGTCTTCGCCCACTTCGCTGATGATGCGTCCCTCACCAGGCGGATTGCCATCCTGATCACCCCACTTCCAATCCGCGCCCCTCACAATCCGGGTACCGATCTTCATCAGCTTGGCCAGGTCCGGACCACTCAGCTGGGCCTTGCTGGACTTCTGCTTCAGCACGCTGTCCTCGTAGAGCACACTCAATTCGCCGTGCACCTGGCCACCGCCGAGGCCTTCGCCGCCCGTCTGCGCCAGCAGACCGAGTACCGTGCCCAGCAAGCCAGAGTTAATGAGCAGGCCCAGCTCGTTGGGGCCCAACTCCTTGGCAAGTAGTCCAAACACGCTTAACAGGAAACGGGCGCGTGGCAGGCGCTTCAGCAGGACATAAGTGCCCAAGTTGGTGCTGTCCTTACCGCGGGCATGCCCGTGCTGCTCTTGGTTGACCAAACGACGCAGCTCCCGCACCGCCCAATCAAGGACGCGTGCCTGGGCCAGGAGCAGCCTGGCCTTCTGATAGGCACTCACCATGTTCAGCTGGCCCAGAACATGCAGGGAGCTCCCCGGTGATGATCCTCCGTTGGACGACGAAGACGTGGACTTCAGATGCAATCCAAGAAAGCCGTTCAGGAGACTATACTGCGCCGCATCCAGGAGGCCGTGCAGCTCGAGCAGCTGCTGGACGAGCTGAAGACCGGCCAGCCGTAGCTGGAAGCGCTGCATCTGGCAATACATGGCCCGGCGGGCAGTCTCCACGTCGCAGCTATCCTGCAGGGCAAAATCCACGATGTCTTGCATAAGCGCTGGGTCCAGCTCGCCTTCGCCGTGGATCTGTCGCTCGTTCAGCCGCCGCAGCAGCGTCTCCTCCTCCTCTTGCTCCTCCTGCTCTTGCTTGGGCATGGCTTGTGGCTTCTTCTCCTGCTCCTGATGCTGCTGCTGGATGGTAGCGTTAAGCAGATCCTCTGGCTTGGCCGGCTGTCGCGCGGAGCGAAGCTCCTGAAGAAGTCGTCGCACCAGCAGTCGGAAGCGTGGTAGCCGCTGCAGAATGGGCAGGCGGCGCAGTCCCCGCTGCTGCGGACTGATCGCAGGACGTACCTCGTACAGCAGAAAACGCAGCCGTTCCAGGATTGGGGCACAGACCTCCTTGTAGCTGCGGTTGAGCTGCTGCCGCGTACGCACCACCGACCACTTTGCCTGGTGCACCAGCCGGATGATCTCGCCCAGTTGCTTCGGTGGCGGTGACTCTCCCTCCGTCTCCAGGGCGCTGAGCACGAGGCCACCAAGATACTGGTGCCGGATGAGCACGGCGCTCAGCAGGCGCTCAAGTTCCTGGACGGGATGTTCAGTGGCGAACTCCTGGTGCCACATCAGATTGTGCGCCTTGCAGTAGCGCTCGGTAAGCCCCAGCCAGGCGGCCACCAGTGGCTCCGAAAGCCGTGCCTCTGCCAAGCCGCCGATGAAGGCGTCCGCCCGTTGCTGCAGCTGGGACTTGCCTCGGCCCGGCGTCGGCTGCTGATGCTGCTGCATCGGCAGTGGCAGTGGCGGTTGCTCCGTGGGAGTGTTGCCTGCCGTGCTATGACAACTGTGACTGCTCCGCGCCTCGCCCTTCTCCTCATCAAAGGGATTGTTGGGCTGCAGCAGCTGCAGGCCACCGCTCAGCAGGCTTGACTTGTCCAGTTGGCGGCACTGCAGCTCCGCCGGCTGCAGGGCTGGTCCGCTGCACATCAGGTTGGCCACCAGCCCAAGCAGCTGGGCCAAGACGCACTCCGAGCTGAAGTGGGTAAGGCGGCTGGGTCCCGATGTCGATGACTGCAAAGAATTCGGTCAGAATGTTTGGTAAAGGCACAGTATAGTACTATATAGTTCCAAAGAAACTCACCTTCTCTTCGGTGCTCGCCTGGGCCATGTACTTGCCCAACTTGTGATGCTGCAATATGTGCTCCATGGCACTCCTGTGGGACTGGCCCAGCTCCGTCGTAAGATCTTTGGCCAAGCCTGTATCCAGAATGCTTCGCAAGGTGTCCGATTCGCAGCTGTTAGGAAAGAGGTGCAAGTTTATCCTCCCGGGACTTAAGAAAAACCTTACCTGTATCCATTCAGGTCGCAGACGTAGCCGGCGAGAATGATGCAGCGACTGCCGTCGAGCAGCTGGTTCTCCATATCTGCCCGACGAACATAGTGGGTGTCCGGATCGGCGGGCGGAGGGCAGCCACCCTTGGGGCCTCCTCGACAGATAATGCCAGGCCAGCCCATGTCATCGCCGTCTCGAAGCTCTCCTTCACCTAGCGCCCGATTCAAACGGTCCAGAACGCGCAGGAGGGGCAGGAAAAGGCGGGCCCACCTCAAGTTACCCAGGCACTGGGGACGGTCACGCTTAAGAAGCACCAGGCCAACCAGCAGCTCGTGCAGCAGGGCGTCTGAAATGTCTGCTTGGAGGATGCGGCCCAGGTGGCCCACCTGCTGGCACAGAGGATGCTCACCGGGATCTCGGCACTGCAGCGCCAGCTCGTGGGCCTGCTGCAGTGTGGTGACGCAGGCCGGGATGAGGGCGTGCAGATATTGTAGCAACAATGCCTCGGCCCCGGTCGTCTCCTCCTCGGGCTCCGCCTGGTGTATGTGGGCCAGCAGAAGGCGCTGAAAGCGATGCAGCAGACTCAAACTTGGACTGGTACTCGGCTCTTTATGGTGATGATGTTGGTGTTCGCGCTCCTCCTCCTCTTTCAGCAGCTCATGCTTACCCAACGTGGGTGATAGCCTGGTCTGGGTGAGCGCCGCATTATTGCCCAGCAGCCGCGTTATCAACTGCAATAGCGGCAGGTGGACACCGTCTCCGCAGTCCGCCGAACACGAGCTGCTCTCCAGGCGTATAGCATGCTGGAGGGCCGACTCCAGGCCACCCTCGGCCATCAGGGAGCTAACCAGCAGATCTGTCATGAATCGGTGGCCAGCAGAAGACGCCTGACCCGGTTCCGAGGGCAGCAACGAGGTCAGAGTCTGGGCACGCTCCGCTGCCGTGGGCAAAAGGACACTCCATCCGTCCTAAGGTTGGCAATAAGAAAATAGTTATAGTTATCACCATTGAATTCGATGGAAACAGAGAGACCTTACCTGCAATGCCTGTTGGGCAGCCACTTGTATAGTGCGGAGAACCTGGCTACCACCAGCCAGTCCGAGGACCCGCGTCTTCAGGCTGCTTAGCAGGCGGCTGCCACTAGCCAGACCCACCTGGCGCGGCTCTACACCGTTGGCGATGAGGGCTAGCAGCTGCAGACGCACCATATTCAGGCAGGCCACGGCAATGCACTCGCTCTCCTGGTTCGGCGTCTGCCGGTTATCTTGACTGCTGCACATTCCCAGCAGCTGATCGAGCAGCCTGAACGTGGGCTCACCAAGGTCTATAACGAAGGGGGCGCGCAAGGGCACACCCTGGTGGGAGCTCTGTGTCCACACCAGACTCTGGCCGGCGGTGCAAGCAATGCCGCTGGCAGGCAGCGTAGGCAAGGCCACGAGAATAGGAGTTCGAAGCAAGGGTTCACTGGAAACGGAGGCGGGACAAATCTGTTGGCTGTCGTTGCGGCCCCAGCCGAAGACCTCGCCACTGCTGGATAGGGCCAGGCAATGGGCCACACCCACAGCTACGTCCACAATGCGTTTGTGCTAAAAGACGAAAGAGAATGTGAGTAAAGCTGAATAAAAGATTAATCTAGAGGTAACCTACCTGCAAAGTGGTCACAAGGCGCGGCACACTGCAGCCTTGGACGCTGCGCTCAACCAACTGATGACCCAGACAGGTGGCTTTGCCCCACGTGAAGAGCTGACCCTCGCTGCTTAACGCCACCGAGAACTGGGAGCCCGCAAAAACGCGCTGCACTCGTGGCAGAGCCTCAACCAATATCGGCTGCAGACTGCCGTTGCAGTTACCGTTGCCTAGTTTTCCATAGTCTCCATCACCCCAGGCGAACACCAATCCCTCGGAGGTAAGAGCCAACGAATGGGCATCTCCGCTGCCTAGGGCTACATCAACTACCATGTGATCGGCCAGGGCCACCACCAGAGTAGGCAGGCAGCGGTCGTCGCTGTTTCCGTGGCCCAAACGCGCGTAGGTGCCGCGACCCCAGGTGAGAAGATTGCCGCCGCAGGTTATGGCCGCGCTATAGGAGCAGCCGCAGAACACCGACTGAACGCAGTGCTGTTCTAAAGCAACGATCTTGGTGGGCACGGCTCGGGCATGCGTGTCGCCATGGCCCAAACGATGATCTTCACCAGTGCCCCAGGAGTAGGCATTGTCTGCAAGAAAGAGCGTAGAATGTATGTAATGGGAATTAAAAAATAATTTAAAATTGTATTTAAAGACTTTGAGGATTGTACCAGCGAAAGGAAAATGATTATTTTATTAACATCTCGTTCTAGAAAGAACGGAACCAAACCTGGAGTAAGCAATTTATGTGTTTATAGATCATTTTCCCAGAAAATGCATGGCTTCTGTGTATGCAGCTCGAAAAAGAAATTACAACAGCTTCGAAATAAACAATTTATACACTACTATTTTGTTTTTGAAAAGCGGTACATGAATTTATCCAGGGCTTTTGAAATCTTGTAATTACTTGGAATTTCACACTAATTAAAGGTATCTTTCAATTGAATTTCTTTCTGGCAAAGGCATTTGGTTATATTCGGTCTTCAAGGGACCCTTTTAATCACTTACGATTGCTGTCGATGGCCAGGAAGTGACGTCCCTCGCAGTGGCCGGCAATGCTGATGAACGTCTCGTGGGCAACCTCCTCCATGGGCAGCGGCTCGGACTCTGGCTTGGTCAGGCGCCAAGTGTGCAGCTTTCCCTCCTGGCTCAGAATCAGCATCTGGGTCTCGCAGCAGGCCACTTGCTTAATCTGGAAGCGGCAGCTGAGCATCGGTACCGCTGTGGACTCTCCCCTCCAGCTGAGAGACGGATCGGCACTGAATCCCTGCTGATCCTTTGAGAGCGAGGGCCACCCCAGGGCGTAGATCCGTTGCTGAGGCGCAGACGTGGTTGAGGCGGCTGGCGCATGGCCGCGGAGCAGGCAACGGGGCATTAGTGGCTGCACCAAGCGATCCAGATGCGAGATAATGACAACGGCGGCACGACGCAGATCCACGATGGCTGCTGTGCTCTTCGGTAGGGAAAGGAAGCGCAAAAAGGTTTCCGTAGCGCTGGCCACTGATGTTGGCTCGCCGCCGGCCAGGCCGCCACCCTTGGCCGCCGCTCCGATCTTCTGGTAGCGCAAAAGGATTCGCAGCAACGGAGCTCCCGTCTTGCGCGGCATATCCCGGTTGTCGTTGCCAGCTCGATCCTTCTCCCAGAGCAGCAGCAGCAGCACCACGCACTCGAGCGTGGCGGCCAGCGTGCCCTTCTGCACTCCCAGTTCTAGCAACAGACAGAGTGCCGTATGTCGATCGTTTAGTGGGGCAGTGCAGCGACCACCCATCGGATCACCGAGCGCCACCAGGCGCAGGAACTTGATAGAGCGCTCCATGACCTCCATCCAGAGCGGCGAGACGGCGGCCGCCTCGAAGAGTGTGGCCTCTGGCAGCTCTTGCAACGATGCAAGCGCCTCGCTTAGCAGCTCGCTGCACATCTCCGTGTCCTCGCCGGAGCGCCAGGCGCGGCGTAGAAAGGCAAAGCTGAAGTTAAGGGCGGCCCGTGTGGCCACGCGAGCCAACCCCAGGGCTCCATGTTCCGGTGGTTCAGTCGGCTGAAGCTCCACTGATGGTAAATTCGTGGCGTTAGTGGTGTTTGCCATGACGGTGGTAGTGGTGGTGGTGGTGGTGGTTACGTTTGTGCTGATGGTGGTGCTAATTGTGGCCGCGGCCTGTGCACTGGTCGAGAGCAGTCGCTCCCGCTCTCGGTCTCTTTTTAGGGCCACAAAATAGCGCTCGTAGACGAAGAGCTGCTGGCGGAGATGCTGGGCGGAAAGACAGTTGCCAGCGGCTCGCAAAGCCAACTCATGCAGCTCCGAGATCAGGGAACGCTGGCATTCCTGACGCGCCTGATGCGAGGGCGGTTGGCTCCAGAGCCAGCCGCTGAGCACCATGTCGGTGGCCTGGCTGAGATGGGCGGCCTGCTGGGCTGCCGCTTGCGTTGTTAGCTTCTTAATAGCAGTGTCTGAGTCCAGCGGCCGGCAGCCGTCGCAATTGCAGGCGGAGAGCGGCCCACAGTAGTCCGGCTGGCAGCAGGAGCACTTGAGCTGCTGGGCGCCGCAATAGTGCTTGCCGTCGTCGCCAAGATAGGACAGCTGGCCGCGGGCATTGCGGAGCGGGGCGGCGGGCGAGGAGACCAACTCACAGTCCTGGATCAGATGGTTCCATAGGACCGCGCCCTCGGCGGCGTTGCGCAGGGAGGCAATGAGATCAGCGCGCAGCCATTTGGCGTCCAGGAAGGGTAGCGGACGCAGGTAGAGATCAGGTGACTGGTTGGGCGAAGGCGCTGCTGCCAGGGATGCAGATGCAGATGCGGGTACGGATGTGGTCGGCGGCGGAGCCACAGATGGCTGGGGTCCCGAGCAAGCACCGGATCCCGATCCTTGACCACTGGCCCCGCTTGCCTGGCGGTTAAACATTTTCTATTTTTTGTTCTTATTTTCTTTGGATATTTTGGGTATTCCTTTACTGCTCTACACCTACGACTGGACTCGGGAATTGGGGCTTAGGATGAATCGCAGTTTTCCTTCACCGCACTGCACTGTTTTTGCTCATTTTGTTCTTTCAGGCCGATTACGGACCGCGGACTAGGGACAAGGTTACGGGACAGTTGTTACGACACCGAGGTTCCTTGGATTACGATGTACGCACTCCCGAATTGCACTAACTGCGCGCTGCGACGCTCACCACACAAATTAAATGTTTTCGAATGCGTTTAATCAATTAATAGTTGCCTTTAGAGATGGGCGATAGGTTCCAGTCCGTGACTGGTTCGCCAGTGTTCTAGAGTCGCGGTATTGTTGGTCACTGGTCGGTGGACGGGCACGGTGAAAATAATATACATGCTGTTCCGATATTCACTGTTATAAAAATCAACCATTACCGCTTTTGAAAAGTAACTGAAAATGAAAAATAAATCTATCTTTCTACATCAAGTGTTTGAAAAGAAAAACATAGTTTACTCAATTAACCTGTTTGCAAGTTTGCCATCTTACGATTTTTAAATATCGAGAACGAAGAGCAGGCGTTGAAATACAAAAAATAATTAAATTCTTTTTTAAAATAATTTCCAAGCAGGCAAGTAACAAGCAGGGATATCTCTTATAGTTTTCATTCGAAATTTGATATATTTTATAATGATAAACATATTTAAATATATATGGACGAGTCACGGTTTTCGCCGGCGAACGCCGCGCTCGGAGACAGAACCTTTGCAACCTTTTCCCAGCAGACGTACTTGGTCACACTTGAACGAGAGTAAGCTGGAAAATTTTAAGTTTTAGCCATATTTTGCAACTTTCCGAACGCAGAAAAGGCTCGAGGATGCCATTTATTTACTATAACTAGCATAACAAAGCAACCACCAACGATGACGTCGCGTAACCTGACGGAGGTGTTCGTCATCATGCGCAACAATGCCTCCAAGAACCGAAGTCACTACGATGATCGGGTGAGTAAACACAATATAAGCCAGGCGAAGTCTGTTTTGAGCATATGTTTTTGGGTTTCTGGCCATTAAAGCGGGGTAGCGACGCAGAGCGCCTGCTGAAGCACTCGGTTCGGGAGGCAGAAGAGGGCCTGGAGCTGCAGGACGACTATGGCACGCCGCCCGCCTGGCTGGACAAGTTCGAGGAGGCGCAGTACACCATGTCCAAGTAGATGTTCACTGACACAGCCTTTCTGGCATTCCTCTAACATTGGATATTTTCCGTAGGATCAAGCCAAAACTAGACGAGCTGGGCTCCCTGCATGCCCGCCACCTGCTGCGTCCCGCCTTCGATGACAAGCAGGACGACGAGTGCGACATCGAGGTTCTGAGCCAGAACATCTCCAAGCTGATTACATCAACGCACCGGCACATCCAGTGTGTGCGTTCCAGCCTGGGCGTGGGCAGCAAGGTGGAGCAGCGCCTAACCGCCAACGCCGTGCATTGCGCCCTGCTGCAGTTACAGGAGCTGACGTTCAAATTTCGCGCCAGTCAGAACGCCTACCTGCTGCAGCTTAACTCACGCGAAGAGCGTTCGCAGAAATACTTTGACGACGGCGGCGCCGGCGATGTTTTCACCAACGTGGAGCTTGGCGAGCAGGGAGCCAATAACTTTGTGGACTCCTTCGACAATTTCCTTCGGCCTGCAACAAACGGAGCTCTGGCAGCAGCAGGCAAAATGAGTGGAGCCAATGCTTATCTCTTTGAAGACAATGAACAGGAGATCGACGATCACTTTCAGCGTCCGCCCACCAGCCGTATGACCCAGCAGCAGCTGCTACTCTTTGAGGAGGAAAACTCGAGACTGGCGCAACACCGCGAGGAGGAGGTGACAAAGATCGTAAAGTCCATATACGACTTGAATGATATCTTCAAGGACCTGGGTCATATGGTGCAGGAACAAGGCACTGTGCTGGACCGCATCGACTATAACGTGGAGCAAACACAGACTCGCGTCTCCGAGGGCTTGCGCCAGCTCCACAAGGCGGAGATGTACCAGCGCAAAAATCGGAAGATGTGCATCATTCTGGTCCTGGCGGCTGTCACCTTTTTCATGTTACTGCTGCTCATCCTCACCAAGCTTTAGATGTAACTCCACCGCCAGCGCCAATCCGGGCTACGGCCATTCCATATATGTCAATCCTTTTTGTGTGTGTATATTGTAAATTAATGCATGATTAAAATACATGTTATATTTATTATTTATTGCTAATGCTAAAAAAACAAACTAAGTTTTCCTTCTGCGGTGGGGCGAGATCACAGACCCGAAAGCCGATCTTCTTCCCGATCACATGCGCTCCGAGAGACGCGAGGCCACAGAGCGCAGGTTGCCGTACACCTTACTGGGTGGAGATCCAAGGATCAGGTTACAGACAGCACGGCGCGCTAACTGGATGTTCTGGTAACTGCCCAGGATGTGGATTTTGCTGTCGGCGAGCACAATGCGGGTCTTGGTCACGTTTTCGATGGTAAACTTGGTGCGTCCGCCCTTGCCGGCCAGGCGACCGATGGCACGCGACTGATGGTCACCGCGCAACGTCTTAACATCCTTAATCTCGAAGGACTCCACGAAGAGGTCCTCCAAGCGCAGGAGAGCCAGGGCGTCATCCACCTCAAAGCCGCAAAGGAAGGCACGCACAAAGTCCGCTCCCCGCTGCAGGTTGGCAATGTCCGGCGTCTCCGGGCCGACGCGAAGCTCGACCTGGCGCGCCTTCATGTTAAAGCGTATCTGTAACTTCATGTGCTCAACGACGGGCGTGAAGATCTTCATCCAGTGCTCCTTCAGCGAGGAGTAACGGTGAGGCGGCACAGACACCTTGCGCAGCTCGCTCCTAGCCCGCTTCGCCTTGGGTGGGGCGGATGCCCGTCCGGATCCCAGTACCTGGCCCTCGATGCCAGTCGCCTCGTCCACCTGCATCTCAGTGTCCTGCTGGCTGCTCCCGGCGGCACTGCGCTTGGTAGCCCTCTTCAACGGCTCGAAGGCATCCGCCTTGATGTTCTCCACTTCCATGATGTGAATATTTCCTTTCTCGGCAATTGCGTTGTTTTCCAAAATTTAATTCCACGTGCGGCAATCTCACAGCAACTACGACGAAAACACTAAATAAAAAATAGCTGGGCACACTGATGAAAAGGCACTAACATTCACTCTGGCAACGCCATTTCATTTATGCTCGATAGAGGTTGAGAAACATCGAATATTTTTGGCGCTTATCGAAGTTTTAAATTTTGACTGATTTTTTGATTAAAATTGTCAATAATTGACAAACAATTTTAATATTTCTTTAAATGTTTAATTTAATATATGATCATTTTTTTGCCAAATCAAAGCTTTAAAACTCATAACTAAACCAATAAGACATTAATTTTAATTGGAAACACTTTCTTGCGTTGGGTTGTATTTACTAACTAAATCAGCATACTCCATTTAAAAATTTAAATTTTTGCCAATTTTGGCAATTTTAACGATGTAACCCCTTATAAAGAATATATACGATTTATAGTATCGGAAATGACTCCTTCACAAAGTTACAAGCTTCTAACTGAAATTAACCCCTTATACATATTTGATAAATTTATGATAAACTATATGATTTATCTTCTATTGATGGGTTTTAATGATAATACCCTGAAAGAGTATATGGGCAAATATAGATTTAAATAATGCAAATATTTTAGATAAGGGGGAACCACACTTATCATAAGATGTTCCATATATTCATAATAAAGCTCTCATAAACTTAATCCCAGAGGGTGTTTATGTACATTGTGATATTTCTCCCGACTTGCCCATATATGTTTATATATTTACATATTTATGTAGCTAAAATAAAAAAATAGATATATGTATACATATATATATATATATACAAATCCATTTAAACCCTTGCAGAGGCTACTATTTAGCTTTCCTTTTGCCAGGCTTGCCTTTAATCCTTGGAGCAGGAACCTTGAGCTCGGGAGTGGCGCGGTATGTGCCGTGCAACTTATCCAGCAGACCCAGCACACCGTAGTTGTAGGTAAACCTGCCAAAAGATACGAATATAATTCGGATTAGAAGGCGAAAAGCACAGGGTCACAGATCACACCCACTTAGCATGGTGGTAGTCGTGGAAGCGCACCGAGCCCGCCGACCAGGGAAAGCTGTATCCGGTGTGGTCGCTCATGGAGTTGACGATGGCCAGGGCAAAGATGACATAGGCGAGGGCCACATGGGTGCCCAGGATGGCAAGAGAGGTAGCCACCGGGAGCAGGTTGGCCACAATGTGCTCAACGGGATGGGCGTACAGAGTGATGGCCGCTATGGGAGCAGTCCACTCGTGATGCTTCTTGTGGACATACTTGTAGACCGATCGGTGGTGCAAAAGGCGATGGGCATAGTAGAACATGACTTCCTCCAACACCACGAAAGTGGCGACATCTCGCATGGCACGACGGAACGTAGGCAGCACCCGGATGTCGCTGCTGTTCTCCGACTTAAAGACTAGCTCGAAGAACACCCAGGAGGTGAGCAGATTCACCACCGTCAAGTTGAAGAGTACCACTTTTACGGCGCTCCAGAGGCGCCCTAGATCCACTGGCTCGTTTTGACCCGGCTGAATCTTGTACTTCCGCAGGAATCTCGGCCGATTGGTAATGTCCATCAGCGTAAATATGGCCGCGTAGAGCCAGTAGACTGAGAATATGACTACCGTGCTGCCGAGCACCCAAAGGCGCCAGGGATCCTCGCCAACAACATCGAGAAGTCTCAGCCACAGGTGCTGCAGATAATCTCCAGATCGAGTCCAGCCAGCAAACAAGGTGTCCATGATAGTGTCGTGTCGAGGTCTTGGCGAAAACTAGTCGCGGAGCTAGGAGTCAGCATTTGGCTCCGCTATGGCATAATGCCCTACGACCAGTGGGTTCCATTGGCGATGCTATGTGCACGCTTTTGCTGTACCCCAGAAGGAGCATATAAATATTCCCACAAATAATCATATTCAAAAGAGTTATGGACACTGTTTAGGTAATTAGTCCCAACTTCCAACTATGCTATAGTTTTTAATAACTACTCTTAAAAAGGTCTTCGGAAGGTCATTGCAGAGATCGGTTAAGCCCAATCATTGGGTTCCAGAGTACTTTCTATATCAATAAATATATATATGACTGTACGGGGATCTGATTAGTATTACGTTCGAATTTAGAAATCAAGCTCGCTTACAGTGACGGATACTGACTTTTCATTGAGGGGGCGGTAAAAGTGAATCTTGCCGGTATAGTGGTTAAGCTTCAAACAATGTTCTATTCACGACCTCCGCCACTGCTTGCTTATCGTTTTATTTCGCAGTTGATGTGAGATTATTGCCAGGAATTACTATTGTCTTAAGATTAGGATTTATTCTATATATACCGTGCACTTTTTAAGGTATGTATGTATTTTCCTATTCTTTCCTATGGTACAGAAATTCTATCATAAAACGATAGTAATAGGAAGCATAAGTAGGCAATGACCTGAGGAACGGGTATTGTATAGTTGGGACACTCTCGATAAAGGCGTTCTTTACTTGGCCTGTTAAGAGCTTTCACAAATCTTACCGTTTCAAAGTTCAAGACGTTTGAAACTGATTAGATCGGTGAGCCCTTGCCCAATACAATATTATGGCAGTTTGTATGCAAACTTTTGCGTTGCCAGCTTTGCTATCTTGAAAAAAATATAATGAAAACAAATTTATTTTATTTTTGGCACAACATTTTATCAATGTGTTGGCAGGTGGTACGATTGGTATCAAAGGGGTAACTCATTGGTCATTGGTTGTGGTTTAAGTTAGAACATGTTATCTAGAAATATCTTTAAGTTCGCCGTAGTAGTAAGTAGATATATTTTAGATCTACAAATTCTAGAACGAGCATATCTGATCATAATTATGCAAAAAAGTTATCCCATTTTGCTTTACAAAAAGACACTTGTGTTGATTTCATTCTTTTATTTATTGTTGTATTTTCCATCTTTGTATATTTGACTTTAAATGGGCTCTTAGTTATTTCTTTCTTCTTTTTTGTATTCTTAATTTGTTTGTGGATTTTCTTCAAATTTATTTTGGTTTTCGTTTCCCACATTAACAACAATTCACTTGCTTTTTGGAGATTTTCGCCTTCACGACTCTGCTCAGTATTCAGTGTTCAGTTTTCGTTTATCAGTTTTGCTGTGCTAAATAATTAATTAATCAATTGTTTAGTTGTATATTTATGTATATGTATTGAAGCACAGATAGACGAACTTGAATCGCGTTGAAATAAGCCAGAAGAACTAAGAGGTTAAATAGATGAAATGGTCTAAGGAAGCTGTTACTGATGCACCAAAAAATGCCAATGAATTGTAAAATTCACTTAAAGTAATTGTTGCACACACGCACGTATTCATACATACTCGTACACATATATCATATATATCTAATGCTTAAGCAGATTTATAAATATTGCCTTTTTCATTGGATTGTTTCGTGTCTTTTTGCGGATTGGTTTGTTGGCCTTCCTCTTGCAGTTCTGTTTCCGGTTATGGTTCCAGTTCTGGTTTCGATTCCGTTTCCTGTTCCTTTACCATCTATGTATGTGGACTTTAAGCTTGTGTTAATTTTGAGTCTGGCTCCCTTTTTGTGGTTGTCTTGTTTTAATTTAGTTGAAAGGCACTGTTGCATTCAATCGCTTCCTTCGCTTTCCATTTTTTTCACATCCTTATCTCCGGGATTTTGTTCCCTTAGTCTCATTTTTGGTATTTTCACTGTTTTTCGATTCTTTAATTTAAATTTTTCTCTTAATTTTCAACCGAATGCCTGCACAGTTTTGCATATTTCACATATCTTCTTAAGCTGTATCTGTACTTTGAATGTTCCAGCAAAAACAATATAAACAAATAAGACGCGTAACGCCATACAATCTGATTTGAAGTTATCTTAAAATTTTGTTAAATAGCCACGTTACGCATCTTAATTTTACATTGCCTTTGCTTTTAGTTCTCTTTGGATTATTCGTGTTAGATTGAATTCTTACAATTTATTCCTACTTATAAAATCTCCATCTAGGCGACAAACACTTTTGAATCCATTTGCTCCTTTGGTTTTCTTGTGTTCAATATTATAATTAAGTTATATTACCACGCACATACATACATACTCTATGTCGATTTAAATCATTTGTGCAATTTGAAATCTGTCTCTTGTTAAAATCTTCCAAGTGCAACACAAGAAAGGCCTTCAAATAATAATGCAAGTTAATCTGGCACCGTCTTTCGAATAGAATATATCGGTTTGAACATCGGTCGACATTTGAAAAATCTTACTTTAAGAAAAGTTTGGAATAAACATTGTTATTTTCAATTAATTAATGAAACCTTCCACCTTCCTTCGTTTTTACATAGTATACAAAATGTAAATCTGCTTTTTTTGTTTTTTTTTAATAGCTAATGAAAGGGATTTTTAAATTTCAATTCTTTATCTATTCATGGAAGCTCAAAAAACAGACATTTCCTTCTTGCAACTATAATAATATGATTAAAAAATGATATACTTGTAGTAAGCTTTGTTAATAATACTGATTGTTAAAATAATGATATAATTCTGGTGTTGCGACTTTTCAAAAACTATTCAAGTTAAGTATAGTATAGTAGTATACATAAATTAAATAACATTTAAGATTTTAATGTGGAAATTCCTGCAGCATCGATTAATCCTGTTTGCCAGATTTGCAACAGTTCAATTCTCCAGTCTCTACGGGCGTCTTAGTGGGTCTAGTAAAAGACCTTATAATAACAAAATGATTAACGTTCTACGATTTTGTGCTAGCGAAAGGCAATGTGCCGCTTGCATACAAAATTTCTGCATATGGTATTTTAAATATATGGACGTTATGCATCTTCTTATTATAACGCCTTTGGTTAAGTCCTAGTCCCCAGACCGGCTCAGGATAAGTTATTTAATGCAAATTTTTGTAAACTGCTTTCCATTTCCCAGAACGCTTACTAAATTTCATAACCTAAAGCTAACCGACTTGCCGTTCCCTCAGCCTAGGCGTGCTGCCCCTGCCTTCGTTTAAAAGCTTAATCCTAGGGGAGAACCTTGAGCTACAACAACAACTACTAAATGACACTGGCGAACGCTGTGACCACGCCCACTATTATTCAAGCTGCCCACGACGATGGCTGCGATGCCCTCGATGGTGACGATGCTGCTGGCGATGATGATTCCTCGCCTCCGCCTCCGTTTCGCTGTCGGTATCCTGATGCACATGATTCCGATTCTGTTGGTGCTCCTCCTCTTCTTCGTCGTCCTCGTCATTATCATCGATGGCATCCTCATCGTGCTCGTTTAGCAGCAATGGACTATCATCTCCAAGTCGATTGGGGGCAGTGCGCTGCCGGGTGTCGTGGGCGCCGACCGAGTGATCCAACCCTTTCGGGCCACTCGTCCCCGGTTAACAAAAAAGCTAGCTCCGCTAACAACGCTACTCACCGGACTTTTAAGCACGCAACGCTGCGCTCCACCGGAACCCGATCCTGATCCAATGGCCGCCATGGGTATGTATAAAGCCTTGTTGGGCTGTGACTTGCTTCCGGAGCCAAAAAACTTTTTACTTCGCCCGCTGCTGAGGCCGGTTCCACCGCTGCCGCCGCCAGAGATGGATACTGAAGTGGTCAGGATGGGCTGGAGTACCTGCTGCGAGTTCGAAGGCGTCGATAGCGTGTGTTGAAGCCGTGGCTTGGCCCCAGTTCCGCCCAACAGGAGCTGTTCGTAGCTTACACCCGCCTGGAGCTGACGAATCTGGTCGAGTATCTCGCGAACTTCGCCCGTGGGGCTTGTGGCTTGCGGCGGTGATCCAGGTGTCCCGATGTTGGCCAAGCTGCTGACTCCTGAGGCCTGAGCCGACGGCTGACAGCAATTCTCCAGGCTATGCAGGGGATTGGGTTGAATGCACCCGTTGCTATAAATAACCGGCGTGCCAGATCCTCCAGAGGCTCCCGTTCCACCTGCACCCATTCCTCCCATGGCTAGGCTGCTGAGGGAGGCAGCCTGGGTGGCTGCTCCACTCTCTGCGCTCTGAGAGACACCTCCTGCTCCACCTCCAATGCCAGCACCAGCGCTTTCAGGCAATATGCCCGCCACACAGCTGTTGTTCACGAAGATGTCGCTCAGGCTACTACTGCTGTTCGCCATGTAGCGGAAGTGCTGATCGCTCTGGGATTGGAGGTAGCCGACTCCCACGCTCATTCCCTCCTCATGGGAGGCGTGCAGCCGGGTGCTGTAGAGAGCTCCTCCGCCGGGAGCACTGCCCAGGGCCACGGTGGCATAGTGTTGCGCCTGGACGGGCATTATTCTCGGCTGGTAGGAATCTGGCTCCACCAGCTGGGACGCTGACCTTGGCAGGCCATAATGATGCACGGGAGCCGTTTGCACCTGCTGAGCGGCAGCTGTTTGCTCAATGGATCGCAGATGGCTGGCACCGGCGCCATGTCCTCCGTGGGCATGGGCATGTGCCACATAATGATGCAATCCTAGTTCCGGACTGGCTGCCCGGGAGTACGGCGGGGGCACCAAGGTGTTCGCTTCATTCGTATTGCAAATAAAACTGGAGCTTAGAGAGTCGACGGTGCTAGCTGCGCTCAGGGATCCGCCCACCGCCGGCCGGACGATGTAGTTGCGGAAATACTGAACCATCAGGTAACTGGAGCTACCGTTGCCGTTGCCTTTCCCATTGCCCGTGTCGCTATTGCAGGTGAAGACGAGTGGATATAGATCGGGTTTGGAGGTCACCTGGCGAACGCAAAATGAAAGTATTAGAGAAATAATCATTTTAAACCCGTTCAAGGCTCTTGAGAATATTTTTCAGAAGCATTTACCTCCGTGTAAGGCGGCGGTGGATGATGGAACGAGTTGCAGCGACTATACTGTGGAGGCGCATAGCAGGATCCAGCGGAGTCGCCTTCAGATTGGGTGTGATGCTCGTTGAATCCCCAGCCACATAAAGTTCGCCGCTTCTTCCACAGCGAGTAGGCACATAGGATGGCCAGTATGATGGCCACAACCACACACCTGCAGAATGAAAATGGATGCTGTCATATGGATTTTCTCTTATTATTATTATTTCGGATTCACTGCTCGGTTTGCAGCTGGCGGGACTGGATAAAGAAGCCCATTTTTTGACCGGATGCGACTGCCCAGATGCGGCCACAGATGGCGGTATCCGTGTCCTGCTGTGCCCGTAATCGAATTCCGACTGAAATTTGTTTGCTGTTTTCGGCGGCCAAGAGATGGGATTATGTGAACAGTGCAGCGGGAGCGACGACTGTGGGCCGTGTGTCTCATTAGTTGGCATTGCCATTTCCATCGGCCCCCCCTGGGGAGGCACCGGGACCGGCAGCGGCAGTGGCACTGGCACTGGCACCGCTTGCATAAGCCTTCCCTCCTCGACTTGACTCGACTTTTGACTTGACGCAACCCAGTAGTAGTGCCGGCTGTGGGCGCCACCTTTGCTGCCAATAATAATAATATCTCGCATGCCATACAATGCCAATCAGCTGGAGGTCCGCGCCCAGTCGCCCATTGGCCTTGCAGGCGGCCTCCAGGGAATTCCCCATCCACCAAATGCATCCATGACCATGGCACTTGTACTCATAAATTCGTAAACTCAGACTCTGGCTCGGACTAGCACTTACCAAAAAAACCAATGGCTGATAAAGAACAGATTGAGGACATGCTCCGAGGGCGGCGGTAGGGGCCGTGGTCCGCCCTGATACGGCGGACAGCAGCCCTGTGTGCAGCATCCTTGGCTGCAGCCCTCGCAAAATCTAGCCGTCACCTGTAAAAAGGGAATGGAGAAATGTCAGCAAAAGGTAAGTGATGAGAGGCTTTAAATATCTAGATTTTGGAAAGATTTCCTCGTCGTGTTTGTATATGTATATAAATTCCCAAGTCAAGACATTGCAAATTGCTTATATTGAGTAAACTATTTAAGGTCTAGATTTTATATTAAATTATTTATTATATGTTTATAACTTTACTTTCCGTAGCAAGACGATTCCTATATCTTTTCTCGTAGAATAAATATTCAATTTGAATAAGCTTTTTGTTTGCACGACTGTGGGATTTTTCACTGTGCAGCAATTAGCTCTTTTTTTGCAATTTAAAACAAAAGGTACAACAAACAGTGGGTCCAAGGAAGGGCAAGGCAAATGAAAATGTCATTGTCAATAGCGCTGAGCCCAAAGAGGAGTCCAACAAGCCATAAACAACCAGATGCCATAATAAAGCAGAGAAAGGGAAAGCAGCTATGGAAATATGGGGAAATGTGCCCTCAGTTACACTGGCTTAAATTATTTCCAAATATTATTTATTCAGTGCATGGAATGTTTGGAATTTAATTAAGTTGTAGTTCATTTAGAATTCGTTGACTTTTGTTTTGTTTGGGGAAATATTAAATGTATTTATTGCCGTGGGAAACAAACGCAATCAGATCCAAATTCAGGTGCAAACAAAATTGATGTGGCATGTGTCATAAACCTAACCAATAAGTAACTATGATCAATGAACATTCAATAACTACGATCCGTAAGTAACTATGATCAGTAATTAACTATGAGGAATAAGAAACTATGATCAGAAAGTAACTCTAAACAGTAAGTATCTAAACCAGTAAGTAACTATAAGCAGGAAGTATCTATGACCAGTAAGTAAGTATGATCAGTAAGTAGCTATGAGCCTTAATTAACTCTGAACAGTAAGTAACTCCGAACAGTATGTATGTATGACCAGTAAGTAACTATGATCACTTAGTATCTGTGACCAATAAGTATGTATGATCAGTTACTAACTTTGAACACTAATAAACAATGACTTGCAACTTTTGTAACACAACACATTTCTGAGACCTAGCTGGAAGAAGTCACTTTGTTCCGGGGATGTTAGAACAAGTTAGGAATCATATGCACAGATGTGCGAGATGTGGAACAAATTTAAAAGGAAGGTATTGGAATGAAACTATGGAGATTTTCTTCTATATAATTTTACTAGTATATAAGTCGGAGCATGGCGAATCGGTGGACTATATAGATATATACATATATATAGCTTGCATAGGAACGATCGGAAAATTTTATAAAAATCGGACTACTATATCATATAGCTGCCATGCAAACGATCGTTAAAAATAGAGGAAAATGCAAAACGGGGAATGTAAAACTGTAAATATAAAATGTATAGGTGAATGAAATGAAAGCAGGCATAACATTATTGTTTTTTAAGAAAAATATACTATATAATTTATATTATATTAATTCCTAGCGATCGAATTTCAATCTGCAATGGTATACAAACTTCGGGGTGCCGAAGTTAGCTTCCTTTCTTGTTTTTCTTTGACGTACCGAAAAAATGAGTGTAAATATGAAATGTATTTATTTCCGCGGGGATGCCTTCGCGAAAGCAAACGCAATTGGAATTTAATTTAAATTTATCGAATGCACTTACGTTTGCAGGCAGCAGGGCCAGAAAGAAGAGGAAGAAGCAGGGCAGGATCCAATGCAGCGTGCGACAGAGGAGAGCGGGAGAGGCAGAGGAAGTGGAAGTGGGTGTGAAAGAGGAAGAAAGCCACCACATGGTGCTCTGTCGCAGCCGCAGTCGCTGGCTCTGCCCGTGCTGGCGCCAAATGTCCAGAGGGAGTGGGGGTTGGGGGTCTTGCTGGCTGCCCTCTCCTTTTCGCTATTTTTCCTTCCTTTTTTGCAGCCTCCGTTTTCCTTCAGCCTCGTGCGTGATTTGTTCCTGCCTTTTGTTTTGTTTTCCTATCTATTTTTTTGTTTTTGCTACTTTGCTGCCCCGTTATTTGTGCCACATGGTGTTGTTTTTATTGTTGCACTTGCTCTCACACACACAGAACGGCGTCTTGTTTTGTCCTTGACAGTTTACCGTTGCATGCTTCTGTGCATTTGTATTGTTGCTCCTGCTGCTGGTGCTGTTAAAACAAAACAAAATTGTTGCTAACTTGGCTTTGTATATGGTGCACTCGTCGGGAGTATTATTTTTATTATTCGAACACAGACACACACACGCGCGCATTTATATACATATATGTATATAAAATCACAAACTGAGAGGGCATACACAATCACACATACACAAACGACGCCAAAGAAAATTTTCTTTTCGTGTGACGCCACTCTTTCTATTCCGTTTTCATTTAATTTTGCACCACTAATAGCGACAGCAGAATTAAAAAGTCTGCACCGACGCCTTTTGGTATTGTTGTTAACCCGAAAATTCAAGGCATATAGAAAACAACAACAGCAGCAGCAGCAGGATAAACGATTGCGAGAATGTGGGGATTGGGGGATGAATGGCGCCGTGGCAGGCAAAATTCACCATAAGACTCGGACGTGGGAGCGCGCACAGCAACAACTGAGTGAGAAAACGAAGTGAAACAAAGGAGCCAGCAGATTTGTAACAGTAAATCAGGGCTGCCACCCAGTTTCAAAGGGCCGACGCCAGTAAGCACGCTACGGATTTGTCGCAGATCCTGGCAACCCCAACAGCTGCTGTAGTTTTGGCCAGGTGGTTGGACAGGGATGGCAACAGTGCGCATGAGCTTACAAGGCGGCAATTTTAAATTTTAAACTCTTAAATCAAAATAAAATATGGAATTAAAGAGAGTATTTTGTCATTTTGAGGCACAGCAGTCAATGCTCATTATCCTAAGTTAGCCTTTAGTTTACAACCAACCGCTAGCTTTATATAAATAAATAAATAAATATGTGTATGTATGTAATCGCGTAAAATTTCTTAGATCATAACTATTATATGCATGTAAGCACGTTTTAAAATATTTTGCAGAGAAACCGAGCTTCACAACGATGTTGTTTCGTGAACATTTGAGAAAAGGTTCAAAGTTATATACGGAAAAATAACAAAGTGGCACTTAGTGAACTCAAAAAAAAAAATGCAAGTACCAAATTTAAAAGTGTATATTAAGCCTACGATGCCACGAAATAAAATTTGAATTATGTATGCACATGTATCGAAATCATTAAACCTACTTGATTTTAAAGAAGGAAGCAATGCTCTTAGTGCCCTTGGCTCCCTTTGCCAGGGCTTTCTCCTTGGCGGTCAGCGAGCGTTCCTTTAGCGGCGTGGGAGTGGCTGTTGGCGACGTAACGCTTGAATTGTGATCCCCATCGCTGTCCAGGAGACCGCTGCTTTTCAGCTTAGCGCCGATGTCGCTATCATTCAATTTGATCTTCTTTGAATCGCTGCCTTCGTCTTTTCCCGCCTTTGATTTCCGCTTCTGGGCAGCAGTCTTTTCCTCTACAATTGCCTGAATCTCACTCGGAATGTGCAGATATTCTGTGAGGAGTTCGTGCAAGTCGCCGTCCAGATACCGACCCACAATATCGCTGGCCATGCGCGTGTAATCCATTTCACTGGTCGCATTCTCTGCCGCCAGTTTGTCGCTGCGTACGAAATTCTGCGACTGGGCACTGTGGCCGCAGTGGACCTGCTTCTCCTTGAGGATGCCAGCCACCTGGCGCGTCTTCAGGGCGAGCCAGGCCAGAGTGCGCTCTTGGTTGTACTTGTAGAAACTCTGCTCTCCGGATGTCTTTACATCTGCAACGCACTTGAGGCTGTTCGGACTAAGGAACTCAGTTAGCAGGCGACTTGTGCTGGCCTCCTCCACCGCAATGTTGTCCAGCGACATTGCTCCTAGGTGAAAAATGATAAAAACATATAATAAAACGTTCAGCTCAGTAATTGCAAACTCACTTTGTGCACAATGCTTCCGGAGGTGATGAATTCCAAGCAGCGTGGGATCCAGCGGAGTGGTCATGTAGATCCGGCCATTAGAGCACACCTCGCTGTTGACGAGCCAACTACGGCGGGGTTCTGCATACTCCAGCAACTCCATGATCTGCCCATCGGGATGGGTGACAAACAGAGCGTCCTTTCCCTGTCCCGGATGAAAAAACCTTTCCAGCTGAAGTCTCCGATTGTCCGCATCTTTTGGAAGCAATTTCTGCGACACAAAGAGCACTTTCTTCATCGCCGTGGCTATGGATTTCTTGTTGGTGGCCACCGTATCCGGATCCGGCTTGGGCTTAGTCGCTCGTGTTGCTTTCTTGCTCATTGTATTGCAGTGAATTGATTAATTAAGAAACGTAAACAACAATGAGTTTCCCGCTTTTTCTAGCGATGAGATTCTTTCGATATGAACATTCGATAGGCGTTTTCGGTATTTAAATCCCATTCGACTTATTTAAGGTAATTATTATCGAGCAGGATCAGACAAAAAAAAAAAAAAAAAACAATATTTAACAAATTAATTAATTTTGATGTTCTCCTTGGGGGCCCTCCGACGGAATGAGGCGAGCGCGGCAATGGTGCCTCTATTTATACTCTGTGGTCGGGAGGCAGCGCTCAGAGCGAAAGAGGCATTTCGAGAGAGTGAGAGAGAGAGCGAGGGATATACTAGGCAAACCAATGAGAGTGAAAGGGAGAGCAAGAATTTTGCTTTCGGATATCAAAACACTGTGAGAATTAGAGAAAAGATTTGAATAGACAGAGAGAGTGAGCGGGAGAACAAGAAACAAAACTTAATTACAGAAATTAAAGCTAAAAAATATACCGATCGTTCATTATTTTAAAATGTTATTTAATGACTTCAGAATTACGGCTTTAGTTTTATTAAAATTTAACAACAATTTGGCAGGAATGATCGACAAATTAATAGAATCAAAATAGAAAACCCCCAAATATATAATCACAGTATATTATATTTGTTTTATTTTTATTAACCATTAAAATGCAATGGATATTGTTGTGCTAGTGCACACGATATGTAAAAGCAATACTAGCATATAGTATAAGAGCAGTTATCAGATTAAAAGCATACCTTATGCTTCCGTTAATGTATTATTTTTCCCGTTAGCCATCTTCCATATAAATAGCTTTGACTAAATTACTCAAATTTAAAAGTATACATTAAGGACACTTGCAACAGTTAAAGGACTCTTTTTTTTATACACAAAAACATAAAAAATGCAACGAGAAAGGAATAACACATTTTGGACGTTAGCAAATAGGCTTAAATTGACGGGTATTGTTTTTCTTATAAAAAATAACGGAATGGTCGTTTGTGCATGCAAATAGAAAATAATGTTTAAGTGAAAATATGTTCACAATCAAATAGTTTCCAGCAATAGCTGGAGAGGGACGGGTACCATTGATTACAGTTTTGTTCCTACTTAAGTGGAATGATATATTCGATAAAGTGCAGGGTGAAATTATTTTCACAATCAGATTCAGATTTTTGGACGGATGTGAATTCGTGGAATTTGGGTATAACTATTTCCACGAACAGATTCGTTATCATTTTTTGTTTTCGTTAAATATCGGTTTGAATTCCTCCTGGTGCGGGGGCGCTCGGTGCACGGTGTCCTGGCTGGGGACGACGCGGCCGACTTGGCTCCGGTGCAAAGTAGGATGACGGAGCGGGAGCTGATGGGATGGCAGCCGCTGCGGCATGTGCCTGATCCTGATAGTAATCGTCTCCGTATTCACTGACTTGGCGGTTGCTGATCTCGTTCAGACGCTTGTAGCGCTCGCGGCGCGCCTCAATCATGTACAAAATACCAGCTGGCATAAGCATGACGGCTCCAACCACGCCCAAAGCGAATGACCAACCCATGTCGTTGTTTTGCCAGCCGGGCATCCAGTCGCGCGAGTCTCCCTTGGCACCAAAGATGACCACGGCAATAAAGCCGAATATTGAGCCAACCACTTGGCATGTTCCAACCGTCAGCAGCAGCACAACGTTGCGGTCATCGTCGCGGGAGGTTCGCAGCAAAGCCAGGGTCAGCGGCAGGGCGATGAGACACATGACGAAGCAGAGCGTTGCGAAGAACTGCACGGCTATGTAGAAGCCGGGAAGCAGGAAGTCGTGAATGATATAATACTCTTCCTCGAACACCCACATGCATCCTCTAAAGCGGTTATCGAAGAATCGGTGTATATCTTGGAAGTTATTAAAGCAAACTTCCCACAAGCCCAAGTTTGTGAAGCGTGGATTTTCCAAGCGGCCATCGGTAACCAGCCAATACGGCGTCGAGAACGCAATGAGAAAAAGCAAAAAGGAGAACGCGGATAAGCCGAGGGCCACTTGCGTATTGCGATTGGACGCCCCCATTTCGTTCAAGTTTTAGTTTAAAAATTTCGTTTAGAGTTTGACTGTCTTCACCAACTGTTTACCAAACACGCCCTACTGTGTGACCAAATCAGCATAACAAAAGGACGGCAACTGTATCAGCGATCAGTGGTGGATATCGTACGATTGTGGTGAATTGCGGTGGTGATCGACTATCGATCGATTAAGAATCATCGATAGGGAGGATATATAAGAATGTTTTTGAAATCCCAACTTCATATGACATACATCGATACTTCATTTAATATTATCGGCCTTTAGCGCAACTCAAAATCACAATAACTAATTTTTCATGATCACTTTTTTATAGTTTTATATTTTAATTTTATATTATATTATTTTATTTTATTTTCCTTTTCCAAGGTATGAATTTGCACATTCTAGTATTAAAAAGAGGTACATTTTTTTGTGCATGCCTGTCAGTATTATTTACCGCTATCGGCACGGTCCTACTGATGTACAGTTCGAACTTCAATTTAACTGCAGCGTCCTTTTAATCGTTCATACATATTTTCATTTCTTATAAAATTCAGCCCAATTAGCAAATGTCTTATTTATACTGAAAACAAGCGTATTAGAAGCATACATGGAATCACACGGTTCCACCCCAATAAAGGCGGAGATCCTGGAAATGACGGCCGGGAATGTGGACCTGCTGCACGCTATGTGGATCCGTATGTTTGACCCCAAGACTTGCGACGAGTACGTCCACAGGCTGAAGGACCACGTGCAGAGCTTTTACACGGATCTATTGAACGAGTCGCGTGAGAAGCATCAGACTATCCTTGATGAAATCGCCGGCCTGCGGGCAGAAGCCAGCAACCTTGCGCGCTTGCTCCACAGGCCAACGGACATCGCCGAGCGTCCAGATGACGTCCCGCTGGTCATCTGGCAGCTCAAGTTTGATAAAAGCATCGAGGTCTTGCGCGAGGAATTGGTCAGGGGACGCGCCGAGGTCTGCGACTTGCTGCTCCAGCAGGAACAGCTATGCGATGAACTAGGCGAGGAGCCACTTTCCCTGCAGTCAGATCCTCTGCCTCTACCGGAGGAAATGGACGCGTTTCGGGATCACCTCGAGCAACTGCGTGCCCAGAGGGCAAAGCGCCTGGAGGAAATGGACCACATACGCCAGAGCATCAAGCACAGCATGAAATTGCTGGAGTGCCTGCCGCAGACGGACCTGGAGGAGCGCCTACTGAACCAGGTAGATCACTGCCTCACGCCCGACACATTTGAGCGGTTGCGCCGAATGGAAAAGGAACTCGCCGACCAGATGCAGGAAATGCGTGAACGCATCGATGACATGCGCGAAAAGATTCGTGTTCTGTGGGAGCGACTTCGGGAGACGGACGAATATGCGATGCGAAGAGTACGCAAAGCGACTGAATACACACAGTACACGTACGACGTGCTCCGGGAGGAGTTGCAGCGCTGTCAGACACTTCGAAGGCGGAATCTGAAGTCATTCATCGAACAGCTGCGCGTCGAAATCAAGGAATGGTGGGATTTAACCCTGAAAAGCCCAGAGGAGCGCAAGCGTTTCACTAGCTACTTTACAAATTTCGAGAGCGAAGATGTTCTGGAGCTACACGAGATGGAATTGGACAGCCTTAAGGTCTTTTACACCAATAACAAGAAGATTTTTGAGCTATACGCCACCCGAGCAGAGCTGTGGTCACGAATGGAGGCGCTGGAGGCCAAAGCCAACGAGCCCAACCGCTTTAACAATCGTGGTGGGCAGCTGTTAAAGGAGGAAAAGGAGCGCAAGGCCATCTCGGTCAAGCTGCCCAAGATCGAGCAACAGATCACCGAGCTAGTAAATGTCTATGTGAGCCAAACGAAAACGCCCTTTCTGGTGTTCGGTGAGGACATCCTTAAAAGCATGGCGTTGGGATGGGAGCAATTTCGACAGTCCAAGCAGCAGCCCTCTGTGCGCAAGAAGCAAGAGCTGTCCGGTGCGGTCAGCAAAAAGATGCCACCGCCACATCTCACGCCGAAGGGTAAGACAGGCATGTACCAATCTTCTACGTCGCTGAAGAAGAGCCCATCGAAAGTAGCCGTGAGCAGTGCTACCAAGAGCACAGGCAATCTGAAAAAAAGGAGGCATTCCAATTCCGGCAATGCCATCTCACCAACAGCCACTGCCGCCAAGCGGAATCTTATAACGTCACTGGAATGCAACAATTCCGCTACCGCCCTTGCTGTGAACTCCCAAAGGAAGCTACTCAATCCACCGAAAAAGGTTTTGGTGCTGACACACTCCCTGCGCCGGGTCAAGCGAACCTCGAGGCCCAGTGCCTCCGGCGTGAACCCCAGTCGGAGTCGTCCCATACCGAAGATTCGTATAGAGGCGCCGTCCAGCGAGGACTGTGGCAGTTCTTAGACATTCTGGCCATAGTCTTTGGATCTCCACATCAATTTCTAATCGAGTCAGCTACTGATCTGTGTTTTTACTACCTGAACTACATGTATTCTATAAGTATTTTAACTGGAAGCCCCTATAACGTCCTAATTTAGTTAGTTAGGTCCCGAAAGTTTATATCTTGCAAATGTAAAACTGTCGGGTGATTATATAAATAATTTTAGAGTGAATTGTAGCAGGGGTTTGTAATAAATGATTAATTATAAATGACTAACACACGTTTTCACTTTGTTTCCGGCAATATTTTGGATATCGAAGGGACTTTTCTTATAGGCAGTTTACTTCTTGGTGGGACAAAAGCATATTTGCATTTTTTAATGTAGTCTAAGCTTAAGCTTGTTGTTTTGTGAAAATAAATAATAATTTAAATTATAACTGCTCGTTTCCAATCCAATCGATCTCCAGCCTTGGGAAACACAAGGTTCTAGTATTTTCTGATCACATTTTAGTATTTTATTATGAATAAATACAAAAAAAAAACACAGGTCGGCCACACTTTTTTGTGGCAAACAGTTTTCGGCCGCCATTTCGATTTGAATTTACTGGTGGCGTCGCTTAATTTCGTCAAGATAAACACATTCCAGTCTGGTGCAGTCAACTTCGAGTTCATCTGAAACTCCAGGCGGCTATTGGCAAATAGTCATGCCTTTTAAATAGAACGTCAACGCATTTCTGGACGCCAATATCAAACAGCAAACATCACTACATCTGAACTCAACAAAACGGGTCATGGATAGCCACAACTTCGCGTCGTTTAAGGCGGAAATCCTGGAGATGACAGCGGAGAATGTGGACTTGCTGCACGCTATGTGGTTGCGCATCTTCGACACAAAGACCTGTGGCGAATTTCTGCACAGGCTGAAGGATCACGCGCAAACCTTCTACACTGATTTGCTGAACGAGTCGCGCGAAAAGCAGCAGACAATCATCGACGAGATCGCCGGCCTGCGAGCTGAAGCCAGAGACCTAACGCGCCTGCTCCACGAGTCTGTGGACATCGGTGAGCGGCCAGATGACGTCCCGCTGGTCATCTGGCAGCTGAAGCTGGACAAAAGCATCGAGCATCTGCGCGAGGAACTGGGCAGGCGCCGCGCTGAGATTTGCGAGCTGCTGCTCCAGCAGGAACAGCTATGCGAGGAACTGGGAGAACTGCCCTTGCCCCTGCTGGCAGATCCTCTGCCTCTGCCGGAGGAGATGGACGCGTTCCGGGATCACCTTGAGCGGCTGCGCACCCAGCGAGTGTTGCGCCTTAAAGAAATGGACCAGCTGCGCCAGAGCATCAAGCACAACATGAAGTTGCTGGAGTGTCTGCCGCAGACGGACCAGGAGGAGCGCCTACTGAATCAGGTGGATCACTGCCTCACGCCCGAGACCTTTGAGCGTTTGCGTCGAATGCATAAGGAACTCTCCGACCAAATGCAGGAGATGCGTGAGCGAATTGACGACATGCGCGAAAAGATTCGTGTTCTGTGGGAGCGTCTGCAGGAGACGGACGAATATGCCATGCGACGGGTGCGAGAGGCGACCGAATACACACAGTACACGTACGACGTTCTCCGAGAGGAGCTTCAGCGATGCCAGGCCCTCCGAAGGCAGAACCTTAAGATATTCATCGAACAGCTCCGCGTCGAGATCAATAAGTGGTGGGATCTAACCCTTAAGAGCCCGCAGGAGCGCAAGAGGTTCTCCAACTACTACAACGACTGGTACAATGAGGACCTGCTGGAGCTTCACGAACTGGAACTGGACGACCTCAAGAGCTTCTATGAAAATAACAAGGAGATATTTGATCTGTACGAAAGCCGGGCGGAGTTATGGGCGCGCATGGAGGCGCTGGAGGCCAAGGCCAGCGAGCCCAACCGCTTCAACAACCGCGGTGGTCAACTGCTTAAGGAGGAGAAGGAACGCAAGGCCATTACATCCAAGCTGCCCAAGATCGAGCAGCAAATCACTGAGCTGGTGCAGGCGTACGAGGCCAAGGAGAACACCCCGTTCCTGGTGCACGGCGACAACATCTTAGAGCGCATGGCCGCCGACTGGGAACGCCATCGCCAGGCCAAGCTACTGAGCTCCGCTCGCAAAAAGGCACCGACCACAGCGTCGGCCAGCAAGATCATGCCTCCGCCCGCTATGGGCTCGACAGCTCCTCGCACGCCACGCACGTTGCGCAATATGTCGGCCATGTCCAGCTCAACTATGTCTCTCCGGAAGACACCTTCAACACAGCATTTACGCCCGTTGAACGTCACCAAGAGCACGGGCAACTTGCACAAGCGCCTCAATCCATCTGGCATAGTTCCGCCTGGTCCGAAGACACCGAACGCCAAGCGTAGCCTGATCGGTTCTCTAAACGCCGTAAAGGGATCACCAGCTGTGCGCAGCAGCAGCCAACGCTTGTTGGCCGTTGGTCAGCCCCACAACCAGTTAAAGGCCAGTAAGTCACCTCTGAAGCGGGTGCGCGTCCTTGAGACAACACTACGTCGCAGCGGCGGCATGGGCAGACGAAGCATTGGAACGCGTGCAAGCAAGAAACCACGCACCAGGACCACAGAGAAGGAAAACACACAAAACGGGCCGGACGACTACACCACGGATGATAACTCCGACCAGGGGGTATCCTACGAAGAATTCCAGCCTCCCGGCCGCTCTTCAATGCTTCCGCGTCAGCGTCTTCAGGCGCCACGGATGATGCGCCACGCGGTAGCCACCACCATGCAGCGTCAGCTGGAGGAGGAGGAGCACCAGCAGGAGCCACGCGCCAGGAACACCCCACCGTCGCCTCGGGAGAGCCTGATGGTGGTCCAGCCGCGTCGACAGTTTTAGAGAGACAGTTCCCCAGGACATTTACTTAATTTTAGTTAGCACGTACCTTTACTACTCGGTTAACAGTTCGTGTTTCCCTTGTTTGCACTGCACTTTATGTTCTGTTTTATCATTAAATTCTGTTTGCTAACTAATAATAATTGGAAACATTGTTTTTAGAGCGAATGGGTGGGTGGATTCCCCTTTTTAACACATGTGGTTCTTGTTCAATTACACTTCCAATGCTTCAATATATTTTAATTGTTTATATAAACAATAAGAGAGGAGGATTGGGGATTGGGGTAGCTTCTACATTACTATACATACGCGTTCACGTAAGAATTATAAAAATGTTCACACCACAGTGCCTATTCGACTATTACTAAATACAATATTAACACGGTAAAATGGGCAGTCAGTTAGGCAATTGCCCACTGCCTGCGTTTGTGATGTACGCTTCGATTGACCAGCTATTCCGCCGGCTATGTACAGGGCTTATAACTACACTGGAATAGTTTTGTTTGTGTTCGGGGGCAGGATGCGGAGCCAAGGCAATGGCTATTTGCCCGTGTCGCTGCCACTCTGGCTGTGTTGGCTGCTGCCGACATGGTTGTACATGAGATGCGCTGAAACCGAAAGAGAAAGAACATGTTAGACAAGGAAAACAACGCAAAATAATGTTCGATCATGAAAAAATCGACTTGAACGCAAGATAAGGATAATTACCCATTACGGCGGGCGGAAAGTTAAAAGCCCCAAAGGATGCTGCCGCCGAATTGACCGGAGTCGGTGCAAAGCTGGCTCCATCGAGAGTATTGGACGCTGCTCCTGCTCCCGCTACTGCTGCTGCTGTCGGAGCCAGCCCAGCGGATGTCGCATTGCTGCTGTATGCTTCCGGGGAGTGGATGACAGTGGACGAGGATGTGCACTCCGTACCAGCAGCCGCTGCCGTTGCCAGCTGTGACGGCGGCATCACAACGGTTGTGAGATGCGACTGGCCGCCATCGTCCAACAGACCTGTCCTCTGCAGCCGTCCCGTCTTCGTCTCAATGTGCTTGTTGTGGGCACTCAGGCAGTGGTTGCGCATGTTGTACAGCTGCAGAAAGTAGGCATCACAGTGCGGACACTTGTACCGCTCGCCCGTGTGACGGCGGATGTGCGCCTTGAGGTCGTTGCTTTGCGTGAAGCTCTTGGGGCACTGGTCGCATTTGTACGGTCGCTCCCCGGTGTGGGTGCGCATATGAATGGTCAGGTTGTAGGCCCGGTGAAAGCTCTTTCCGCAGGTATTGCACAGGTTCGGTTTCGTGTTTGTGTGGTACCTTCAAGCGTAATGGAATGGTTAGGAATATGCGGCAATAAATCGTACCAAGACTAAACTTACCGCTCGTGGACCTTGAGATCGGTGGCCCGGGGAAAAGCCTTGACACAGTAGCGGCACTTGTAGGGCTTCTCGCCGTTGTGGCGCCTCATATGGACGCGGAGGTAGTCGTTACGGGCAAAGCTATCGCCACAGATGCAGCAGAGGAAGTTGCGTTGTCCGGTGTGCGTCTTCTCGTGCTCCCTCAGCTGGGCGCGCTCACGGAATGTCTCCTCGCAGCTCTTGCAGGCGTAGAGGAAATCGGTGTGCAGCAAGGTATGCTTCCGCAAATACGTTTTGCTGGAGAAGCGCTTGGAGCAGTACTCGCAGGTGTGCTCGGCCAGCTGCAGCTTGAGCTCACTCCCCGGCTCAAGGCCCTCGCCGTTGTGCTTGCTAACCTTGTGCCGCTCCAGAGCGTCCAGGCGAGAGAAGGCCGCCTCGCAAAGGCCGCATTTGTGCTCCTTATTGCTATGCAGACTCTGGACATGCGCCTTGAGGTGGTCGCTGCGCGCGAACGCTTTGGGACAGTGCGGGCAGTTGTGGGGTTTCTTCTCCAGGTGGGACAGTTTGTGGCGCAGCAGGTGGCAGTGGCGCGAGAAGGTACGCTGGCATACATCACACCGATTCTCCGGATTGGGTTCGCCCTTGTTACGGCGGCGCCGCCTGCCAGACTTGGACTTCTTTGGCGGCTGCTCACCGTCCAGCGGCTCCACCTTCAGCTTGAAGTCCCCATCGTCAGCATCTCCATCCTCATCGTCTTCCTCATCCTCCTCGTCGTCATCCTCCAGGGCACTTTCGTCGTCGCCATAGTCACCGAATTGGTCCTCATCGCTGAACGGCAGTTCCCTCGTGGCATGCATTGCCATAAACTCCTCCACACCCATGGGTGCCTCGTCTTCGCTGCCAACCAGCTGGCTTTCCTGCTTGATGCTTAGTTGGGAGTCACCAACGGCTAGGGGCTCACCTAAGGAATGTAAAGAATTAGATACTGCTGGACTTTAGAGGCGTGGGAGGCACTTACGTTTCACCTGCGAATCACTGGAGCTCGCTACACGCGGCTCCACCTTCTCCCGCCGCCGCCGCTTCTTCTCCAGCTTTAGTTGCGTGGCCAGGCTTACTTCCTCGGCCTCTAGACAGGGCTCCGGCTTGATGTGCAGCCACAGTGTTTGCTTAGCCTCTACGTTATCCTCATCGTCGTCTTCGTCGTCGTTGCTGGAAATGGGATTCGTGTTGCATTGAAAGATGTCGCCCTCGTCGTGGTCGTCTTCCTTCTCGTTGAGCAGCACTTCAGCAGAGACTAGCTCATCGCCCGCGGAGCTTTGCATGGTCGTCTCGTCCGCCGGCGGCCAAGTGCGGAAGAGGTCGTCTTCTAGGTGTCGGTGCTGGTTGCGCATATGCCGCAGCAGGTGGTCCCGCCGACTGAAGGTGCGCTGACAGTAGCCGCACTGAAGGCGAGCGGTCTGCTCGTGGCTGCGGGCCAAGTGGCTGCGTAGCTGGCGGAGATGCGGAAAGTGCTGCGGACAGAACTTGCATTTGAATTCCTCGCCAGCGCCGTCGTTGCCTTCAGTGCCCTCTTTCGTCGTTCGGTGCACCCGGTTGCGGTGCAGGCGCAGCTCCAGGCTGTTAAGGAACTGGTCGTGGCACATCTCGCAGGGCAGCAGGGCCACCTGCTCGGTCTGAGTGGCCGCCTCGGCGCCATTTGGCTTTAACTGCGGGGAGCGGCCGAGCAGCGCCACCAGGGAGCAGTAGGAGCGCTCGGCATTGCGCTTGAAGCGGTAGGCGTGACGGGCTGCCTCTACGCAAGAACCGCACATGTTCGACGGCATTCCGTCTTGTCGTTCGCACGGATGCAGCGTACACTCGTCCAGGATACGCGCCAAGTTGGCGCCCAGCTCCAATGGCCCGTCTGCGAAGATGAAGTGCAGCTCTCCGTCCTGTGAAGCGTCCTTAAGGCAAACGCGGCATATGCGGTCTGCGTCAATGGAATCCAGGGCGTCCAACTTACCGCCCGCCGGCTGCGTCTCGGACTTGAGGCCCGGATCGGGCTGCGGGTGCGGGTAGTGCGAGGCCATGGCTATTGCTCTTACTGGGTGCATCCACAATTACCGCCACTGCTGCTGCATTTCCTTAATTTTTTTACCACTTTTTACCAGTACAAGGCGTTTGTTGTGACCCCAAATGTGGGCATACTAGGTGCGCCGTTCGTCGTGTGGCAGCGTACGGTCACATCTGGAATAAAATCGATAGGTGAAGGGTCGTGTCATCGGTCTCGATAGAAACTCGACTATCATTTTCAAGCAAAATCTAGCTTTTTTTTAAACTTATCGATATAAAATTTAAAATACATTGTAAAAAACAAATTCAATAATCGATATATATAAAAAGACCAAAAAATATAATTATTTACAAGATTCGTTATTATATTGTCATGTCAGGACTTCAATCTCCTTTCCAGCTCCCGCATCTACAATTAACGTCAACTGTCCTTGAACGGGATTCACCCAGGCAGCGGGAAACTCCCTGTCCTGATCCACAAACACACGCTGTATTGAAATTGGGAGAAACATTGTGATGTTACAAAGCTAATGCACAATACCGAATCATTAACTGACCTTTACGACACTTGCTTTCCCGGCGCCCGTCACCACGAAGCTCACATCCCGGGCATTGTTGATTAGCGGTAGGGTGAAGGTGATGCGCTCTGGTGGCGGCTTAGGAGAGTTCCGGATGGGAATGACCAGGCGTTGGGATTCCTGCAGCGTGGCTGGCTGCTCGGGAAACAGGGAGCATGTGTGGCCATCGGGTCCCATGCCCAGGAGCAGGAGGTCAAACTGCGGCAGGCAACCGCAGCCCACTTGATCTCGGACCTTCGATTCGTAGTCTGCGGCGCATTCGTCCAGCGACTTGGCGGTGTCAGCCTTGACGAACTGCGAGTCCTGGATGCCCGGCAGTTGGGTTAGCCACTCCGTCCTGTAGGCACCGTAGGTGGAATCGCCGTCAGCTTGCGGTACATAGCGCTCGTCACAGAAAAAGAACGTCCACTTGGCAGTGTTCAAATCTCCCGCTCGCGCCTTTAGAGCCTTCGTCAGCAGCTGGACCAGAGAGCCACCTATCAATGGAAACGAAATGAAACACTTGACTTTGGAATAAGAACGAGAGCACCTGACAAGGTCACCCTAAGTTGGGCTTATCGGCACGCACGGTTGACCTGGCCGGGTCGATGCTCACCTGAGAGCCCGATATGGAACCTTTCCTTCCTGGCGACCGCCTCCTGGGAGCAGTGCTGTAAGAGATCGGCCAGACCATTCACCAAGTGGGCCTCCGAGTCGGCCCGGATTACCTTCAGAGGTCGATTTCGGTCGGGCATATTGGTGATAATGAAACCGGATTACGGCCGTGCTGCCAACTTGTTGCTATTTGAAAGTTTTCACCAAAATTAGTGCTTAACAATTTTAATCTTGTTTATTTCTTTCATCTTAACTTTCAAATTAGATCTTGCTTTCAAATTAGATTAAAAACAACTGCTATTGTGTTTCTGGTTCTTTTAATCTAAAAACAAATGAGAAAATACATGTTGGCGTACAAGAAACTGCCAGATTTGGCGTTAAAATAGCTAAGGAGTCGATACATCGATAGTTTTCCCGCATTTATCGGTAGCCCGCTCGTCAGCCGGTCACACTAAAAGTACAACCATAAAAAAATATTTCATAGAATTGCGTTGTCCTTCTTTTCATTCCCAAAGTTGTAAATCTAAATTATTTCGAGCGAAAATTTGTGCCGCCAAGTGATCAGTAGGTCAATAGGTAAACAAATACCGCGGGGAACAAGCGGCGCATTGTGTTCGGTGCGCTGCGATTCTTGACAAAGCAGACTACCAAAACTGAACCCAAGCAAAACGTGTACGCGCGTGCTGGTTGCACATATTACCGGAATCAACTTTCGCAAAAGTTTTCTATAGTTAAGAAAACTCAAGATGCCCAAGCGCGGCGGTGGAGGTGGACAGCGTTACAACAACAACGGGGGCGGCAATGGTGGAGGAGGAGGAGGAGGAGGCGGCGGTGGTGGCGCTGGTGGCGGACGCTACTCCGCGCTCAAAGACTTCGACGGTAAGTAAACGCAATGCACATTTCCCTATATACTGTATTTGATGGCCAACACAGAGTTTGAGGATCATCAGCGCCGCAAGGATCGCAACAAGCGTCGCGTTAGCTTCAAGCCGCCACAGTTTCCGCACAACAAAAAAGATATCAAGTTGCGACTCGACGATGTGCGTCGCTGGGACGAGGATGATGATATGAACGAAATGACCACAGCAGCCAGAGTAAGCATGCTTTCTATATATTCGTGTTTTGTGTTTTATCTAAATATACCTTATCCGATCCTGTAGGACCGCCCCAGTTCCCGACGTCGCGGCTCACCCATACCGCGCGGCAGATTTGGCAAACTGATGCCCAACAATTTTGGCTGGTACCAAGTGACGGTAAGTCCACAGCCGCAATAAACACAACTTCTGCGATCCATGTGCTGCGTAAACCAAATAGACGGGGGTGTATATCTATATAGACCAGAATTGAAATAACTATTTTAGGCTCCTGCAACTTATCGCCACGGTACGCATGTGATTCGTATCGCAAGTGTGGTGTTTATCGTCTGGCAGTTATTTAGATACTAGTTAAAAGGTCTCTCGCATCTACTTGTGGATATGTACACATACCGACCTAAGGTCACTACCAAATCCCTTGCTCGCCCTAATGGTACTCTGGCATCGTCGAACAACCATTAAGAGCTCCCAAAGTTACATCTTTCGGGGTGTGCACACAATGGTTGTCGTTGACTATTTGTTTATTTGTTCACATTCCGCGAGCATGCGGGCATTGGGCGCCTCTGTGTTCTTTGCCCGTTGTGTTTATTAATTAATTTCACTCGTAAAAATCGTAAAGCAAACAAGCACATTTTCAATAACCGCCGGACTAGATCTGGATAGTGGTTATGGTGGGAAGGAGGGTTGGCGCAGAGATTACAATTGCAGGCATAGGCCAGCCAGCGAGCGCGCAAATAAATATTTATGGATGGCTAAACTCTGTCGGCCACAGTGCCTGCCTGTTGCCTCTGGCCCGACTTGGTACTGCAGCTGAATTTCCCTCTCTCTGCCTCTCTCTTCTATCCCATTGAGAGTTCGAGAGGTCGGGAGGCTGTGGGTCATAACCAGTTGGTGAGTGAATGCCCCTGAGCCCACCACCACCAACACCATCAGCGCGAGCAGCAGTCTCGCGCTATCTCCCGGCGGTGTCGTAAATGGCGTAAAGGCCCTAAAAGCCAGCCAGTTAGCAGTGCCAGTGCCTCCTTTTGGGCCTTCATTTCATCGGCAGCCGGCAGACGGTGAAGACGTAAAGTGTTCTCCACACACACTACTCGCTGAATCTCAAGAGGCCCGATTAGGGTCACTTATCAGCCGGCAGCGATTAGATGTGCGATTAAGTTTGCCCGGGAAAAGCAACTACTACCAAATTCGAATAGCAGCACCTGCTCTCACCTCATCGCAGCAATGGCCACCCTCGGCGCCTGGGACTACACCATCCTGGCGGTGGTGATGATCATTTCGGTGGCCATCGGCATCTACTATCGTTTCGTTGGCGGTAAGCAGAGCACAACCACAGAGTACCTGCTGGCGGATCGTTCCATGGGCGTGGCCCCAGTAGCCTTCAGTCTCATGGCAAGCTTCATGTCAGCCGTAACCATATTGGGCGTATCGATGGAGAACTATCAGTACGGCACCATGTTCGTCCTGATCAATCTGTCGTACGTGGTATCGACACCGGTGGCCGCCTACCTCATCATACCGGTCTTCTATCGCCTGAAAGCGGCCAGCGTTTACGAGTATCTGCAGCTGCGCTTTGGCTACGCCACCCGACTGGCCGCCTCGCTAAGCTTCTCGCTCCAAATGATCCTCTACATGGGCATTGTGGTGTATGCTCCGGCTCTGGCCCTGGAGGCTGTCACCGGACTCAATCAGGTCTTCTCCATTGTGATCGTCGGCGTTGTGTGCACGTTTTACGCTACACTGGGCGGCATGAAGGCCGTGCTCATCACCGACATCTACCAGTCGCTGCTCATGTTCGCCGCCGTCTTCAGCGTGATCATCTGTGCCTGGGTCAAGGCCGGCAGCTTGGAAGAAATCTGGCGGGTGGCAAAGGAGAACGGACGCATCGATTTGACAAACTTTAGTGTGGATCCGACGGAGCGGCACACTTGGTTCACACAGATCCTTGGTGGTAGTGCCACATATTTGGCCATCTATGGCGTCAACCAGACGCAGGTGCAGCGCCTGATGTCGGTACGAAGTCTGAGTGCCGCCCGAGCGGCTCTCTGGTGGTGCCTTCCCATTCTGTGCCTGCTGAGCCTTAGCACCTGCTTCTCCGGGCTGTGCATCTATTGGTATTACCGCAATTGTGATCCTGTGCTTGAGGGACGCGTCAATTCCCGCGACCAGGTGATGCCGCTTTTCGTCGTTGACACCATGAGCGAATACACTGGCCTTGCCGGGCTCTTTGTTTCGGGCATCTTCTGTGCCAGTCTCTCCACCATCAGCTCGATCATCAGCTCGCTGGCGGCCGTCACACTGGAGGATTACCTCAAACCGGTAGTGCATCGCTTTGGTAAGCGAACCCTTACGGATCGCGAGACGTTGTGGCACTCGAAGCTGCTGTCGCTGTTCTTCGGTGCCCTCTGCATTGGCATGGCCTTCTTGGCGGGCTCCATCGGCGGATTGCTGCAGGCGGCTCTATCGATATTCGGCATCATCGGAGGCCCCCTCCTGGGACTCTTTACGCTGGGCATGTATGTGACCAAGGCCAATGAGAAGGGAGCCATCGGAGGTCTGCTCATTTCGCTGGCGTTCTGCTTCTGGATTGGTTTCGGTCAACCAAAACCGGTGCCCCAAAGTCTAGACATGTCAATTGCGGGATGCCCGCTGGACAGGAGCTACGCACAGGACATCTTCTTCAAAGCTGCAAAAGCGGAGGCCGAGGCGGAGGAAGAACATTTCTTCTATCTATACAGGATCAGTTATATGTGGTATGCTGCCTTGGGCTTTGTGATCGCCTTCTTTGGCGGCTGGCTCTTGTCCTGGCTGTTTGCCCTGCTCAACTGGGACAGCAATCGGCACATCTACCAGGACGCTGACTGCACGTTGATTAAGCATGATCTCTTTGTACCGCCAATTGCCAAACGCCTACAGCGACGCCAGATGCCGCGTCTGGTGATCACCGCCACCAGCTCGGAGATTGGCGGCATATCGGTAGATGCCCCACCGCGGCTGGATGAGATTGAGTGGGAGAAGCACAAGAATGTGGCGTAGCAGGCGACAGAGGCTGTAAGCGAATTCGTAACAGGGAATGTTGGTCATGGGCACAAGCAAACCCTGCCTAGTGGACACATCTTAAAATAATATCAAGTTATTAGGGATTTTGTAGTTATTTCCATCATTCCCTAACCATGACCTAGTCTGCAGGGGACTCCGTTATAGGTTCAAACACGCCTTCAATTATTTTTGGCACATTTTATTAAGTGAACTTTGGCTTTAACATTCCGCCACAATAAACGAGCTTACTCATCGTCATGATTGTCACCAAACCAAATCGAACTGAAATGTGGGCATTAGGCTATGGTCTTTTTCTGATCGCCTGCATCGTAGTAGTTGCGTCCCTGGGCTAGTTGATAGAGCGCTAGGAGCCGGACCAGTTCCTTGTAGGTGAGGGTATGCAGAGCACGGCGATCGGCGGTATGTACCCCAGCGGCTTGTAGCTCTTGCACCAGAGTGTCAAACTGCTCCTCGGGTCTCTCCTCGCTGGCCTCCTGGACCTTGGGCGCAATTCTGCCGACGAACTCCGACTCCGGTCTGCGATGTCCGGTGGGCAGCAGCGGCAGCGACTGTTCAACGGAATCCAAAGCCGTTAGTTCCTGGTCGTCGTTGGTCATGGGCATGGCACGGGCCATGCAAATGCCAAGGATCAAGAGGAGGAGGAGGATGTTGCCCGGAATTAAGTTCATGTCTGTGTCCGACTGCGACAAGCTTGGGTTTAAAACTGCTGTCGAACCGTCGATCGTGGCCTCAACTTGGGGTGCGCTCCAATTTCTATATGTATGCTCTTTACCCCGCTCGCTTGTTCCCTTGGGACACAGTGCTGTCCAGTTTGGATCTAGCTATATTTATACCCTTGCACAAGGGTATTATAATTTTATTTAGAAGCTTGCAATGCAGTGCAGTTGTAGTTTCTGACCCTATAAATATTGATGTATTCTCTTCTACATTTTCCAAGAGGTAATTCAAGTGTTCAATAGATTATTAATTCATTTTTAACTGGGTTAGTTTGTAGTGTGGCTTTGTAGTCTTAAATCTTATTGAATTGTGGGTTTAACTTTTTCTGAGAGTGTACTTTTTCCCAAAATTGCGACAATATAAAGCTTAAATGCTCAGCACTATCAACGTTCAGCGACGTTGATTGAAAAGTCAGTGTAGGGTCGCTCGAAATTATTTTATCTGCATATGCAGCACAATCGGAGGCAGCCAGAGCCCAGAGTCAACCCCTCTGTCAGGCTTTCAGCATATGTTTTGTCTCGTCCACATGTTTATTTATTAATTGCCAGTGGAGAGCTTTCGTTTGATTTCGCTTTCGTTTCTCGTTTTTTTTTTATATATTCTATATATTTTGCTTGTTTTGTCTCCGCCTCCGATTCACGTTCAATTTATCTGCGCAGTTTGGACAGTGTTTTCTCATTGCTGTTTTCTATTTTCTGCATATTTAGCTGGGTGCCACTTGTCTATCCCCCTTCTATAATCTTATCTATTCTTATAGCCTCTTGGATGAGTTAGAATGGCGGAGCAGTTGTTACTGGCATTACATTAAATTATATTTGTCAGTTACTTCCATTTCTTAAAATTCTTAATGATTACTGATCGAAAAATACCACTAATCTAGGGACCTATATAGAGGGTCCGATACTACATAAAAAATATCATAAAGTTTGACTTATTTAAATTTAAAGTATCTTTATTATGAAGAGTACCGAATAAATATTTAAAAAATGTTATTTAAATTATTAAACATTTATTTAACACCTGATATATATTATGTAGACTATAGATTTATAGCTTTTGCAGATATATGCCATAACCATAAGAATTGGATTTATATGTGGGAGATTTGTATCAAATATCAATACAGTAATTTTTTTTGGTACCTTTAATAGAGTTTTAGGCGATATTTTTGCCTTGTACAAGTAGTGGCCAAAACCTCTCTAATAATAAGCTTCTAGAATCTATATGCATATAGGAATTCCCCCTTTTTCCGTGTGAATATCTGTTGTCTACCTTGAGGCGGCTTAAGAGCTTTTCCCCTGCCGAATGGCTCACAATTTATATTCAAAGATTCACTTCTGCATAAATTATTGGTAAACAAAATCAATACTAAAGCAAAGTAATTATTTTTTTCTATTATTATTGTTTTCATAGCTCGATGATGTGTGTATTTGTTGTGCTCTTGACTGACAAGAGAACAACTAGATTGTCAAGTCGCATGTAACGACCTGGTCAGCGTAGTGTTTATAATTGCGAATTTCGAATTGCAAATCGCAACTGGCAGTCGCATTTGCATTTGCATTTTCCCAATGATTTTCCAGCTAACATACTAGATATTGAGCAGCATACTATATATATACTCTATAAGCTATGTCCATACGTGTGAATGGAATGGCCAAAGCATTCCAAGACACAATGACTGATCGGTGTTAATGACGGCAAACACGTGCCCGTGTCCCTTGTTAGTCATTCTCATTCTGGCCAGCATGAAAACAAGGCTGTGATAACAAACTGTGTTGCCTAATGTGGCCTAAAACAGACACAACTGACTCATAGAGCGTGTGTTTGTAGGGGGTCGGGCAAAACCCAACCCCCCAAAAAGAGCTTCCCCTAATCGTAATCACCTTCCCCATTCAATTGTGACTCCGTTCACTGCCCCCTTGTGCATCGCCTGATGTCATCGGCCAGTAATGCTTTGGATCGCTCTTCTTATCGCGCCAATTGAACTGACAGGTTGCCCTTTTCAGGCCACTCCACCCCATCTGTTGTCCCCACTTTGCACAGTGGATATCTCTCGAGTGAATCTTCCGAAAATCAGAGAATGTTTTTTAAGAATCTTTCAGTGGGATACCATAACTTAGTCCTTAAAATGGGGGTCCCTAACTTTTAACTAACTCTAATAACAGCAATATAGCAAGCAAATTTTGTTATTCTTATTCTTATAATTCAGCAACTTGGTTCTATTTTCTTCTCGCACTCGATCTCCTCACCAATTATCTTTAAATATTAATTAATTTTCATAAAAGATCATAATTAATATGTGTAGTATGATATTATAAGATCCTGAACTGTATAGTTCTTAGCGGAAAACAATTTATGGTATCATTGAAATTCCCATTTTAATCTAGATTAAGAACGTACGGAAGCGGGGCTGTATACTCTTTCATAGTCAAGTGAAATTGACGCCATATATATACTTAAATATATATATATATATATAATATATATATAATGGATGAATCAGAAAATATACACTCTGTGTGGCATTCGCAAAAGAAAACAAACAAAAATAAGCAATGTGTAGGCACAGCAAAGAGCAAACTCTTGAGTTCCTTTTGTCTTTAGACTCTAGACGTAGTTCACCATACTTTACATATAAGGTATATATCTAGATTAACCAATCCGTTAAGAATCGAAATTATATTGAACACAATCGACTGCAATTGATTAGATAAAGCTTGAGAAAACTGGGAATTATTGAGTGTCTGGGAAATCAAGTTTGTTGAGATTTAGCGTTTCAACAATTTATTGCAAAATTGGAATTCAGGCGCATAACAATTAATAATTATTACTCGTTAACAGCTTAACTTGATTCATATATAGACTATATATTCGTCGTATGCACATTGTCTCTTATTCTCAACACATTTTCACTCACACACACTCACAACACAACACACTACACACACACACCACTGTTGGAATCGTTTCAACAACAACAAAAAAGGTGTTAAAAAAAAAACAGATTGAAAATAAGGAGCGGGTTCTTATTTTAAATATTTGGCAGCTCAGCTCCAGCTACTACGACTAGTGCACCGACTACTCCTCCGGCTCGTCATGGTTGGTGGTGGTCACCGTCTTCTCCTGACGCGTGCTAGTCGTTGTAGTGCGCGTCAGTGTGAATACCCCAGTGCTGCCCACCTCGTCCAGGGGCTGGGCAATGATGGTGGATGTGGTGCTCTGAAGGGGGATTAGGTAGGGCCCATTAGTTGGTACAAAAACAAAAGGGTCAAGGTCCTTGTCCTTACGCCATTCTTGGTCTCCTCGGGGCTCCAGGAGCGCTTGTCGTCCAGGTCCTTTGAGCAACAGCCTCCCATGGTGGTCTTTTTATTGTGTGTGTATGTATCTAGGGATTCCTTGTCGGTTCGTTTTGAATCTCTGCCCAGGGACCACTCTTATTTGTTGTTGCTTCAACTCCGCACGTCTGGCAGCGAATGGTGCGTTGTTCGCCGGTGTTCACTTGTTAGCCAGCACCAGTACCAGTCCCAGCCGCAACCCAACCCGAATCCGAATCCGATTCCGAATCGGAATCGGAATCCAACGACGACATTGCCGTCGCTGTTGTGGCTGACGTCGCCGTTGGAGTCGTCACAGAGCTCCATATCAATTCTAGAAATATGTCTCGGCGAGCTTGTATATTTTGTATTGTGCGGAATACAATAAATAAAGTATTCCTATACCTATATACAGTTAGCAGCTTGCTAAGCAAACAACAAAGCACCGCCTTACTCCCTCCATGGTCTTGGGAGCGGGATGGGAAACTGTTACCGATCCCCAAAGCTCTCACCAGTCATCATCTGTATTTACTGGAAAGGTTCTTAATGTTCTTAACGGATTTAAGTTTGCCTATTATCAGCCATGCTCAGGTGCGTTGTTCGTTCGATTTCAGAGCTTCCGTTGTTGTCCCAGGCCCATAAGACATTCCATAGCCAACACAAAGGATGAGGTTTCTCTCGAGTGATTCATTCAGATGCAATGTTCTAATTTTGTCAAGTGATTTCATTCAGATAGAGAGGAAGGCATAAATGATAAAGTGTTGTGACTTGTTCTCATTTAAGAAAACAAACAAAAATAAAACACCTTGTAAAAGTCTCAACAACAAGTATTAATATTATTATCTCCAAAGATAAAAGGCTAAAGGGATCTTATTGTGTGGAAATAAATGGCTTATTAAATTGAAAAACTAGATTAAGAGAGTCAAAAGTCTAGGCAAAACCTGGTTTAAGGTAAACCTTAGATGATAAAAGGTACTCTAAATGGAAATATTCCAAAACCTAGGGTTTGGAACTACTACTCATATCGAAGGCTTTCCACAGACATAAATAATAATAACATCTAATGCCGGTAATAAATAAATTTATCGCATTAATGCGCAATGAATGAGTGGGATGGATGGGCGGGCCGGACTTATCTTGTTGATATAAATAGTGTGTCGTTTTCGTCGTGGCAGGGGGATGGATCATTCACACGATCATTATTTCGCCTGCGTCGGCAGATATATAATACATATATGATATGTAGATACATATATGTATATATAGCCGGGACTGGAGGACTGTACTCAAAGTGATCCCATAAATTGAATTACTTTCCACTGATTCTTTTGTGTATTTACCCATGCATGATGGGTACAGTCTGCTGTAGACCACCGATTAGATATCGCCTAGTACATAGCCAATAATAGCCAAGTGACCGATATTGGTATCTGACCTTGGCATAAAAGTGGAGTGGAGTCGAGTGGAGTGCCATGGAGTTCGCGAAGCCTCTCGCTTCCGCTCTGTCTCCATTTCCCTCACTCTCACTCTCCCTCACATAATTAAATCAGTGACAGTTCCACTGATAAGAGGCCAGCTCTGCTCCACTGCGACCGCTCCGAAAGTGTAATTAGGTGACAAGTCCATAGACTCGGATATGAATGGCATGCAAATAGGCGGTCGTCCCACTAATTCGCCTATCGTAATTGGGTGCAATATGACGAGTGAACAGAGGCAATTACCGATAAGTGAGTGGATGGGTGGATGGAGTACACACCCTTCTCTCTGTTCACTCATGTGACTGGAATTTTGCATCCCTTTGAATGTGTGATCTTTTATCGAACGTGAACGTACAAAGGGTTATCAAACGCTGGCGTTAATCTGTTGCATAACTGTAATTATTCCTAATAATCAAACAATATATAGATAACATTGTTGAAATATTAATATTTTTATTTCCATATACGAATTAGTGAAGATATGTTCTTTCTGTTCTTTTTTTGTACAAATCTACTATCTTTCAATTTGGTAATCCAATAAATCAGAATCAAAGCTTTTTAAGATCACTATATGATTACATTTGCGAGACCACTGTGACAATTGTTGCTTTCCTAAACCCAGAAAGTGTTACCGGTCTGGTACGTGCTCCTCCAAGGTGAGACTTTTGGAACTATCTCTGGCTCATACACTCCCCTATTGATAGAGCACACATAAAGTCAACCACAAAAGTGGAGCATTTCGAGCAAACAAATCATAACAGGGCGCACACACAGGAATTCGTAATGCGTTGGCGACAGATGACATAACATGAATGCTATCAGCTCTGTGCTTCCTCCACATGCAGATATATCAGATATATGTCCACATGAATCTCATCCCTACACTTTTCCCTTTTTACCAGATTCACAATGGACAGATCTACGACAAGGAGACACTTTTGCGTGCCCTAATGGCTGCCATGTCACCGCATATCTTTATACCACAATACTGGCGTTCGGAGCGCAGCAGTGTCATATTCTTCACGGACGATTTTGAGGTGGCCGAGCGTATCCAACACTTGGGCAGAAATGCCCAGCTACCGGATGGATTCCGCCTAATGCCGCGCGTGCGCAGTGGGATACCGCTGGTGGCCATCGACGATAACCTCAAGGAGAAGATGAAGGTGGTAATGGCCAAGCGCTATAATATACAGACCAAGGCCTTGGATCTGTCCCGCTTCCACACCGATCCTGACCTGAAGCACATCTTCTGTCCGCTCTTTCGTTCGAACGTGATGAGCACCGCCATTGACATTATATGCGAGAATATACCCGATCTGGAGGCGCTTAATCTGAATGATAACTGCATGTCCAGCATGGAGGCGTTCAAGGAGTGGAGAAGCGCATTCCCAATCTCAAGGTCCTCTATTTGGGTGATAATAAGGTAAGTTCACTAGATACTCTCTGTCCAGTCTAAACCAGTCTTGCTCTTACAGATTCCATCGCTTGCCCACCTGGTGGTGTTCCGCAATCTGAACATCCTGGAGTTGGTGTTAAAGAACAATCCGTGCCGCTCCCGCTACAAGGACAACCAGCACTATATCAGGTATACTATGGTGTGATCAGTTTTCTGCTAACCTTTTTAGAGGATGCTGCCGCATAGAGTAAATTCGACGTGGGAGTCGCCGCGTCAGGAGTCACAGAGGAATTAGGATTATTAGCATATTTTATTCCATATTATTCTGTTGCCTACGTTTTTGTTCTTTTTAAAAAGCGTATGGTCTGCCAAGTTGTGGCCACATACAGAAAACCAGGATGAGCCGGAGGTCCTTGAGAAGGCCTTCAGTCTTCAGGCTTCATTTGTTTTTGATCAAAAACCCGACTGAGCAGGCAAATGCACTTTGGGGGAAGAAGTTTTTCCAAAATAGAGCTGCCTCCAAAGCAAAAGGCTGCGCATTTGGTGGACCAGATATTTTTGGGCAGTGTACAAAAAAAAAGAGAAAAAAAGAAACAGAAAAATACAAAACAAAAAAAAGAAACAGAAAAATAAAAGAAATAAAAGAGACACATGCAAAAATAATTCTGAAACCAAGAAAAAGTACCGTTCAAGGACTACACTTTCGACATTATGGCAATGCCAAACAAACTTTACACGCACACACACGCACAGTATACCCTGCACCGCTCGCAATTCCAATGAGGCAGGCGAACATGCATCAGTCCCAAGCAGAGCAACAAAAACAACAATAACTGAAACGAACGTTGGCAATGCAAAGTTGCAAATAGAAGTAAACGAAGACTTAGAAACTATCGATAAAATCCACCGACCCACCCACCGTGCATCCCGCTGCAACATATACGGGCACACGTACACAGCCACACGCGCACAGTGACGTGTGTGTCCTGTCACGCGCACGCGTGCCGTGTTGTGTTATCGTGTTGCTTCTTGTTGCTTTTGCGGTGGTTGCCGAGAAGAGGAGGCGAAGTGAGGTGTTGGGTGCGCAGCGACCAGCAGCAGGACGACAACGACAACGACGACGACGACGACCAGAGGGGCAGAGAACTGACACACCACCTAACCAAGAGACGGACTAGGGACTTGGAACGCTGCTGGCGTCGGCGGCTGCAACGTGATAAGCAATGAGTTGGGTTGCGGGCCGTTCACAGTTCAATTTTGTGCGGTATTTGCTTTGGGCGCATGCTTCGTCTGCGGTTGCGATGCACGTACACACACACACACACACATACACACACACACCCACGACGATCGAACATGTTTGAACTGAAGTGATGGAGCAGCCACCTATGACCTGCTGCCCTCGCTCATATCACTCAACTTTTTGCTTGGTATCACACTGCTTAAAAAAAAAAGAACGAAAAAATTAAAATAAAGAAGAAAAAAAAAACAACAAAAAAATCTATATAAGAAAAAAGAAAAACTAAAAAAAACCACAAAAGATGCCCTACACTGGCACACAAATGCACTGCTCAAATGTACTCTTGTTCCGCCTACATTCAGAGTCAATAATCGCTTCCAAAGGGCGCATAATGACCGCCAGCGACCAAGTGCCTCTGCCTCTTCAGCCAGTCCAAAGCTCTAACCAGAAAGCGAGCTATTAAAGTATAACGGTAAAGCTATATGATCCACAAGGATCTCTGGGCAATTCCTGGGTTTCGTCTGCAACTACAACTCCCGCAGGACATGCTCCTCACCAAAGAGCCCATTTAATTATTATTTCTCGCTATTTAAATCGCATATCAAACTTCATCGCACGGCCGAAACTATCCACATCGAACTATTTACAGTGAAACCCGTCGCAAGTTCCCCAAGCTGCTCAAGTTGGTAAGTCATCAGTTTGTAAAACAGGTTTAGATGGGGCTATTCAAAGACAATTTGAGGAATATGATGCGTAACTCTCTACGAAAGCCACAGAGAGAGATTCAACCGTCCTTTATCCAATGCGCTTTACGCATCTTATTTCTTATTATTTAATCCTTGAACCTTATACCTCTCATTCCTTTAGTCTAGTCTAAAATTCAAGTGAAAATGGGACTTGGGATAGCTATTGTAAACAGATCTTTAATAACAATTTTTTACCTTCCCTATGAAATTTTATAAAAGCAAACCCTCTCAATAATAACCATTTGTAGGATGGCGAGACCCTAGGGCCACAGGTTGACTTTGATCTCACTGAGTCGGGACGCATGCCCGAGACCAAGGCCTCCTTCCTGTGCGACAATGCCGGAGCCGAGATTGTGCGCCAGTTTCTGGACCAGTACTTCCGCATTTTTGATTCGGACAACCGTCAGGCGTTGCTGGATGCCTACCACGAGCAATCTATGCTCTCTATAACAATGCCTTCGGCCAGTCAGGCGGGCAGGTGAGTGCTTACAACTGATGTCCTTACACAATGTCCTAAATTATCCTCTCACCTACAGACTGAACAACTTCTGGAAGTTCAATCGCAATCTGCGCCGCGTGGTGAACAATGATCGGGATGACCACCGCATCCGTCAGCTGAAGTATGGCCGTCTGGCCTGCGTGTCCACATTGGACGAGTGGCCGCGTACGCAGCACGAGCGTCGCACCTTCACCGTTGACCTGACCATCTTCAATGTGAGCAATACAATCCATTCTTCTTATGTATTTCAAGCTAATTCCCATTTGCTAATCCTCAGGCATCAATGATGGTCTTCACCGTGACCGGACTATTCAAGGAGCTAAGCCGTGAGACTGGCAATACCAACTACGATCTCCGCCACTTTGCCCGCACCTTTGTTGTGGTGCCGCAGAACAACGGCTATTGCATTCGCAACGAGACCATTTTCGTGACCAGTGCCACTAATGAGCAGTCACGCGAGTTTAAACGCTCGCAGCATCAGCCGGCTGCCGGCGCTATTGCTTCGACAAGTGCCGCCGCAGCCGCTGCTGCTGCCGCTGCAGCAGGCTCTTCTACAGGATCAACTCTGCAGGGTCGTCTCAATCCCGGCAGCGTGGGCAATGTGGCGACCGTAGCCATTTTGCCAGGAGCCCCATTAGGTGCCACCAGTTCGGTGGCCAGTGGTGGAGCTCCTGCAGCGCCGGCAGTAGCACCTGGCCCAGTTGTTCACGACGAGAATACGAAAATGCAAATGATTCAGGCCATGTGTGCTCAGAGCCAGATGAATGCGGTTTGGAGTCGCAAGTAAGTTCGATCCCTAGCAAAAGAAGTTCTTATATTAAAAAAAAACCATACTTATTAATACCTTTTCTACATAGATGCCTGGAGGAAACAAATTGGGACTACAACCATGCCGCCTTTGTGTTCGAAAAGCTTTTCAAGGACAACCAGATACCGCCCGAGGCCTTTGTGAAGTAATTGCATCAGATGAATGCATAGGAGGAGAGGAGCTACTGCTCCAAATAAAAGAATACAGAAAAGAGGATAGATATTAAAAAATAGAGGGCCAAGTGCCACATAACAAAAGTTTCACCTTTTGCGCAACAAGAGCCAAGCAGAGCAAGCCAGAGATTCGTTAATTTAGTGTTAATAATGCTGTACATGTACACAGGTTTTTGTTTTTTTTTTGTTTATACTATTTCTTATCATTGTAATAAATAAGATCATGCGTGTGAGGCCAGTCCGCTTTATGGTCATTGCCACACGCATAATCTTGCTAACCCAACGGGTTTTGGATAGGTTTATTTATCTCGCCTTAAGTTCTCTCTGGCACTCTTTAGCTTTTAGCAATTGTTGTATAAAAGCGAAGAACTAGAAAATACATATAGATTTAAAACAAAAGTGAAACGAAGGCCTCAAATCAAGAGTTTAAGTGCCGCATGCCGTCAGTCAGTCCCCAATCGGTCACCACACACTTCCTAATCCTTTCCCCCCTCCCAAGTAGCCTTAAAAAACGTATTTAATTAGAAAAAAAACATGGACAAGCAATTTCTATCAATGAATGATATATTTATGTACATTTTTGACGATGCTGACGAGGACTCAGAAACCACCATTACCTTTTGTTTCCTTGATAGCAAGACTAAGATAAAACTTACAATTAAGCATCAGTCGATTAAGAGTTTCGGTATATAGGAGATATATACATAACACACTTATTTTGAATGTAAGGCCCATGAAAAATAAATATATCGGAAGCAAATGTAAACACACTAAAAGTTGTTTTTATTTTGATTGATCCAAGAGTATATATTCTTCCATTTCCATAAGCCGAAGCGAAATATATATGGCTTCTGGCAATTTGGCACAGATATAATCATCGCGAAAACTGAAAATATGTACCTTATAGGTACTTTAGAAGCATATTTTTATATGATAGTTTCTTTTTCTCCAATCAAAGTTTATAAAATCCATAACTAAGTCAAAAAACCATTAATTTCGATTCGGAAAGCAGTTCTGTGTTAGTTTTTTAAAGGTTAATAAATCTGCATACTGGATAGTTCATTTTTAAAATTTTAATTTTTTTCGCCAATTTTTGCAAATTTTAACGATGTAACCCCTTATAAAATTTGGAAAAATCGGTAAAATTTTTTTTCTCTTAGACGTGGCTAGATCGACTCGGCTGTTGATGCTGATCAAGAATATATATGATTTATAAGGTCGGAAATGACTCCTTCACTGATTAAAATAATAATACTCTCTGCAAGATTCTTGAAATCGATAGTTTTATATAATTTTTATGTTGCAAAATCAAAGTTTATAAAATCCATAACTAAATCAAAAAACTATTAATTTCAATTCGGAAAGCAGTTCTGTTTTAGTTTTTTAAAGATTAATAAATCTGCATACTGGATTTAATATTTTAAAAATTTAAATTTTTTTCGCCAATTTTTGCAAGTTTTAACGATGTAACCCCTTATAAAATTTGGAAAAAATTAGTACAATTTTTTTTCTCTTAGACAAGGCTAGATCGACTCGGCTGTTGATGCTGATTAAGAATATATATGATTTATAGGGTCGGAAATGACTCCTTCACCGTGTTGGAAGCTTGTAACTAAAATTATAATACCCTGCACAGGCATATTGATTATGGGGGCAAATAAAATATTAATGGTAAACAAAAATTATGGTAAAATAAGGAATGCTCGATATTAAATGCCCAGCCTGGCAACGCTAATACAGTAAGCAATTTAAGAGTGACCAGTTTCCAGGGATATCCTGAAGTATCCTTTACTCTTGTGAATGGAGAAACAGGCGAGCACACTTCACATTTCACGCGATATTTAAACAATAAAAAATTATTTTACCTACAAATATATATTTTCTAGTTAATAAAATGAAAATATTGTTCATTTTTGTAAATTAATAATATTGTACAATATTTGTTCTAATTTTGAATGGGTATGTTACATATTTTTTATCATATTTGTTTCAATAAATATATAAAATGTATGCGGTTTTTAAAGTAAGAACATTAAATAAGCCAAGATTTATACAAAGTGAGTTATTTTTGTTTATGTTACTCTGGTTTGGAAATTAATTTAAATAGTGTGAAAAGTATGCTATGTAAAATACATCACCCATTGCATACTGTGGCCCTCCTATAATTTCAAATTCAATAAGATTTATATGGACAATGGAAAGGGCAACTGGATATACTCTCAAAAAAGGATTGTTAAACTATCCAAATCTAGTTTAAAAATTAAAGTTTCCTTGCAAGATGACCCAAGGATGGGATTCCTTTGTGGCAAACAGAACCAGTTCGGTAGAACGCCTTGGAGCAACAACTCCCGGGTCGCTTTTCTATTGTCCCCGCTGAGGCGAGACAGCGCCCAAATGGTGAAAGGAGTGTGTGTCTGGGACCTACATAGGTCCTGTAGGTAGGTCCTGTTCTAGGCCCATTGTGCGTGGCCCTTTCGGAGCGTGTGACTGCGCAAGGACAACAATGGAGTCAAATAACAAAAAGCTTTTCTAGCCTTGCCCAGCTTTCCGGAATCGGGATTTTCGGGACTTCGACAATGGTTTGGGTTCGAGTTTTGGGCCACAGCTGTCCGGCATTCAACAATTGGTCAGCAACTGGTCAGCGTGAGAAGCGGCGGGCGCCCAGCATCCCAAGCTGGCCAGCTGGACCAATGTCTCTATGGTCCAGACAATGGACACGGGATCGGCCTGCAACCGGGCCGCTTTGTTATTCAAAATAAGTTGGACTAGCGGGATCAGGACCAGAACCAGGAGGATGCCCGCATCTGTCAGATCGCAAAGCTCAAATGGCGCCCAAAAATGGACAAACTTGTTCGCCAAGTTTCTAAGTCTAACGGTCATATGTCCAGCTGCCAAAATCTTTAAAAAATTAAATTCTAAAACTTTGAAATCTTTAACTTATAATATCCTGTGACAGAAAGGATATTGCATATTTTTTTCTGTGTATATTACTGAAACCGGGAACTTGAAAAGGTGTACTGACACTGACACTGGTCCTGGCACTTGGGCGTGGCTCGATAATGTTGTCAGCTCTCAATTACAAGATATCGATGCCCTAAAAAACTTAAAAAAAAAAAAACAAAACAACAAAAACAATGAAAGCCCGAATATAAAAGCGGAAAACAGCGGCGCAAAATTGAAACATAAAATTTCAAAGGATAAATAGAGGACGCCCGAAAAAAAAGTGGACCCCGGGGAAGACATAAACGCATTGGAGGCCGGGCCAGAGGGCGATGCCCAGGGCATCCCGTTGGGCAATAATACCTGATGAACTCGAACTTAAAGTCAAACTTAAACTTGAAACTGAAACCGAGTCCAAGTCTGAGGCGCAAGCTGAAACTGAGCCACGCCTGATAATGTCCCAATTAATGTGGATATAAACGGCAACGCGACTCTGCAACTGCAACTGCAGAATTAAGAGCGAATGCGTTAATTATTTATGCAACATTTTGTTTTTTTTTTATTCAGGGAGTGCCCCTCAATCATCTTAAAGCGCCTGATAAGGCGTTGTTACCCTTGCACTTTGTTTACTGTTGCAGTTTTTACTTATTTTTTATGTTTTTAAGGTGCTCATTATCTATTTAAAAATTGTTTAATATTTTAGAGATATATATTTTATCAGTTTTATAATGCATTTATATTTTTACCCTTGCAAGGGTGTTATAGTTTTATTTAGAAGGTTGTAACACAGTGAAGAAGTCATTTCCGACCCTATAAATCATATATATTCTTAATCAGCATCAAAAGGCGAATCTATTTAGACATATTGCAAAAGAAACAAATTTTACCAATTTTTTCAAAATTTTATAAGGGGTTACATTGTTAAAATTGTCAAAATTTGAACGAAAATTTGATTCTTTTTTAAATGTTATATCCATTATGCAGATTTATTAACCTTATAAAAACTGGTACAGAATTGCTTTCCGAATTGAAATTAATGATTTTTTGACTGAGTTATGAATTTTTAAAAATTTAATTTTGACAAAAAAAAATTATCATAAAAATATTGATTTCACGAAACTAGCAGAGGGTATTATTATTTTAATCAGTGAAGAAGTCATTTCCGACCCTATAAATCATATATATTCTTGATCAGCATCAACAGCCGAGTCGATCTAGCCATGTCTGGGAGAAAAAAATTTTTTTTAATTTTTTTCCAAATTTTATAAGGGGTTACATCGTCAAAATTGACAAAAATTTTGGGGAAAATTTTAAATTTTTTAAAATTTAAATTTAGTAAGCAGATTTGTTATACTAATAAAAACAAACCTAGGGCAGCTTTCCGAATTGAAATTAATGCATGTTTGGCGTAGTTTGATATATGAATAACTTTGATTTACCCAAAAATTTAACATAGAAAAAGGTCGATTTCATATACTCTAGAATATAGGTTATATAAAAATAGCCATTACTTAATGTGTATAAATGTATATAACTTGTATATAATTCATTAAACTTCAGTCTGATTTATTTAATATTAAATGCAACAATTTTTCAATGTTTTAAATTGAAATAAATCAATATCAGTAATATGATATCGATCGAGCGGGATTTTTTGTGAATATATAATGAATACAATTCTTTCCAGATTCCTGTAATTCTTCTGTTCATGGTTTAATTATATATTTTTTACTTTATTCCCAATGTTGATTAAATATGACATAATATTTTATAAGGGCAGGGTTATCTTTCAAATCTAAAGGATATCAAGTGCTTGGCTCTCATTACACAATTTACATTTTAGTCAACGACTTTTCTTATCCGTCACAGAATCCAATGGAAATTAATATTCAAAGATCTTATCCATCGCTACGTAAAAGATATCTCCAAGAGATATCTCCGACCTGGGATTGGCTTATGGCTTATGCCAAGATGGAAGGAAGAAGGGCAGACAGGAAGGTGTCACCGGTCGATTGCAGGGTCCTGGGACTGGTTGTTATTAACCTGGTTATTATCGTTTATAAAATAAATAAGCCCCGGTAATAACGATAATGAGCAGCCGAAAATTGAAATAGCTGCGCAGATCGCAGATCGGAGATCGTAGCTGCTATCCCTGGGCCATCTGCAGGCCACCCAGGACACAGGACACGAGACCCAGGACCCAGGACACAGGACACAGGACACGGACATGCAGCCTCGTTGGCAACGCTCAGCCTCATTAACGCCGCGAATTAACGGGCATTTAGGCAGAAAACAAATGCACAAAATGTTTTAAACTTGCTCGGTGTGGACACCAACGAAGCCAAATATAATATCCTTCCTACCATATATCCTTCTGGCTTGCATGTCTGGCGGCCATCAAAATTTATATTTAAAATGCATAACAATGAGTGCAGCGGCACGCGAAGCGTTAGGATCGCAGGATCAAGGATCGCTGACTGCAATGCAGGGTGGACCTACTGCTGGCACCCACATACAGTCAGGATCTAAAGGGTTACACACACACGGCAACACACAAAAGCCAAAGAACAAACAACAACGACGACGGCGGCGAAATTAAGCTGGAATTTTGAGTGGCACGAGCCGTCGCGATCCTCGATCCCGCTGCACTGCTTATCCTTAATTTCGCTGGCCCGGCTGTCGTCCTGCGCCGACTACCCGCTGCCCCTCCTGCCGCCTCCATGGCGGGACAGGTGCAAGCTAAACTCTTCTTTTTTTTCTTCAGTTTATTTATTTTTATTTTTTTATGTTGTATGTTTTTCGGGTCGTCTGTCCCCCAGGAGAGTGTCCT